AGTATGGTTTCTTGGTGCATACTATCAATAGCTAGGTTTTACAATCTCATAAAACAATCCATAATATTTCACTGATTGTACTTCAAGGAAAAAATATTCAAACAAGAAGCATTTCAACACAATTAAATCCCTCCTAAAATTTCCTGGACATTTCCCGAAGTAATCTGCCATAAAAGAATCCTGTCAGAAGCTCCAAGAAAAGGTGAACGTTCCAGCCACAACAAATAGAAAGTGTGTCAAGGGGTGAGCGTGGGACTGCAAGAGCCAACCAGACTTCCAACGTGCTGCTACCCCAGAGGTAGCCCGAGGACCCCCCAGCTCTCTGTCTCTGCAAATAAATCTTGTGTCTGCAGCCATAAAAAATTATGATGCCTGTTTATAGCATCGTCAGACACGCTATCTTCTCCAAACGTATTTACTAAATCCTTGTTGCACGATTTGGGACCTGCTACACAGGTGCACTCACACCCTGCTTCTCAAGCACTCCGAATTAGCGTTAGCTCTGACAAGAGGAAAAGCTTCCACGACACTCTTGAGCACATGACGGCACAAAATATGGCCTCCCCTTGCCAACGCACACTGATATGGTTTCACAGAGTCCCCATTGTTTGCCAGACTTTAAGAAAGTTTCCATGGTCAACTGACCACTTTTTCTTTACACGAGGCACATCATTTTGTTTAATTGCCTCAGCGTCTTTTGGCTGGTTTCCTGTCTCTTTATCTGGCCTCGCATATGCCTGTTTGTATCACAAGTGCCGTAATTCTCCTTGTATTTCCTATAAACCTTTCTTATGTTACTTCAAAGCAGTAGAACGGTCCCGTGTGTAACGAAGCATTAAGGGACAATACAGCAAGCTCTCCTAAATGAACAATCAAGCAAATGAACTCATAATCCCATAATGAGAACCCAACCAGTACAGTAGTCTGAGAAATGAGCTACACTGCAAGGAAGACAAACAATCACACACTGCCCACACAACTGTTTGTCCCACTCATTGAAATCATTAAAGATGTTCAAGCAAAGCAGCCAATCCCACAAATGTGTCTCATCATGCCTTGTTGACATGACCACTTTTATCTCGGCGCAAGGTGTTACTCATAACAAAATCATTTCATACTACAGACACGTCTCTCATTAACATGAACCCTGTTCATATAAATACCCCACTATATAGACAAAATGTTCAGGGACGAACTAGGTAAGTACATGCATTTCATCTTGTTGTTACGGGCAACTCACATTATGGAAAATGTTTTGGTGGAATAAAGGTGTCTATATTAGCGAGACAAGTTATATTCAACACTGAAACAAAAAAAGCCCCAATTTTTAGGAAAACCTTAGCAGCCCCTTTTCAATACTGTAGCTTAGTGTGACATGACTTACAGCAACAAACACCTGTGTAGGTGTAGCTGGGAAGCAGAGACGGACTGCATCACACCCACAGCCTCCACAGCTCTCAACAACCTGCCTTCTAACTGTCGAAATCTAACTCAGACACAAACAGGGAAAGGAGTGTGTTGATAAACATGCAAAGACATGAAAGAATAAAAACATAGGACAGAGCACCGACACACACTAACAGATCGTTCAAACACCATGAGCGTCTGTCTACCTCCCGTCTTATGTTGTATGTCTTCATGATTTCGATCACCCCGAAAGCCCCCCTCAATACCCAACCTCAGTAGGAAATGGCTCAAGAGGTTCAGGATAAATGCTCGGGAGACAAGTTCTTAGATGAGGAGAAATTTCCCTTGCCTCCAAAAGACACTTCTTTCTAATGCCTCTTAAAACAGTGGTCTCTAAGAACCCTTAAAAACACCTGTTCACCACTCAAATTTCAAATGTTCAATAAAAAAAAGAAAACACATACGCCTTACTATTCATACATTCTCAACATGACAAAACATACAAGACAAGATCAAACAGTCTCTCAAACACTGATAGGAATCAAGCAGGAGCTTGATGAACTGCACAGCAAGAATTTTTTTTTCTTAGAGAAGGACGAGCCTAGATAAGACCCTGGAATGGCATTGATAAAAATTTGAGGAGGTCACTCGAACACACACTCCATAGAGATATTTGCTACATTAAAAAATTAAATTAAATTAGTACTGTCAGAAAAAAAAGTTGTGAGGTAAACAGAACTATCTCTAGCAGAGGTCAAGTTTCCACCGCCATGACTATCTTTGCTTTTACAGGGTTACGCATGCACTTTATCTACAAAGGAAATCAAGTACTGGCAGCAGAGCTAGAAAGCGAACAATGAGCAATCACAATTGGAGCTGTTACAAAGAAGGAACTAAAGCTCCCCGTCAGAGCAATTCAGTACAGGAAATACCACATTGCAAAAACTGTTCCAGCTGGAATCATAGCGGCCTTGAAATAACAGCCGCCTCATTATTTTCACACAGCAGCTGCAGGGTATTTTTGAACGACGTACTGACCAATCTCCTGCTACACTCCCCCAAATAAAAAATATATGAAATTCACTAGAACGGACACCTTCTGATATTCTTAAAAAGCACCCTTGCAATGCCAATGAGCTGTTCTCCACATCAAACCAGATGAATGTGAATTCTGTGAAGAACCAACGTTTAGCTTCCGTGACAAATTGCAATAAAATGGACCTCACCAAATGTTTTTTTTTTTTTTTTCTTTTGTCTGCGGTAGGCTGGTCTTTTTTAGCTCAATAGGTAAAGCGCACCCTTCATATAAGCTAACGTTTTGTTCTCCATACGCACACACACACATCATCACAGACGGGAACCCCTTATGAGAGCAGAATTTTATCCTGCTTTTCGCATCTGAATCGTGACCTACCACCGGTGTAGCTCGCTCAAGTTAAAGGTGGCTTTCTTCATCGCCCGCGCACAAGACGTACTACCTAAGACGGAACCAAACGATCACACGGCGACGACCATAGTGGAGAAAAACGCGACACACTCAACCGACAACACCCCGATCGAGATGGCGAATTCTCTGATACACTCTACCTTGCAGTTTCTCTTCCAGAAAAAGGGTTCCCACCCGTCCGTCCTCTTCAAACAGAAAAACTTGGATTACGGAATTCACGGCACACAGCACGACACTGGCGCATCACTCTTCTGGTCATCGCAGCAGCGTTACGCAAAACAGAACCAAGGCGTTTTCGTGGTGCATTTACAAAAAAGAGAGAAAAAAAAAAAAAAAAGCTCGTCGCGACTACTCGCAACAACACTGCACTCCGTTTTATGCTTTCTTTTCGCGATGTTTCCTTTGCTTCTGTTCACGTCGCCAACTCTTCGCACACAACGATCAGAAAGGCCGCGGTTCCTCACCTTCCTCGCGGATCGGCGGGAAGCAGATTTTTGGGGGTGATCAGGGTGCCACGTTAAACTCGTTTTAGGAACACTGTCGCCAGTGCCCATCACAAATGAGACGAAATTCCGGCACATAGCTAAACTTCCCCCCTCTTCCCCGCTGGTCGCGGTCGGCCTCAAACGACGCGCGACGGCTATTTTTCGGGCGATCGCGGGACGCTGGACGCAAAATACGGACGCCTGGCGCGTCCGAGAGACCCACAGAAGCGTGAAAACACGTAAAATCGGGTGCCTTAGGCCTAATGGCGTGGTACTTGCAAAGCACACAACACAACGTTTGGATATTTAAAGTATGCTCGGTATCCATCTCAGCCCCGATAAGTGCGGCAGCTTCTCGGAGCAGTCTGTGGTCAAAATGTCGCCGTAGCGACCGCGGAACTCGTCTAAAACGAGGGACTAAAACATCGACGACTTACCTGTCGGTACGACGCTCTCGGCGGTGTCTCAGTGGTCGCACAAAACAAAGCGAATTTCTTTGACGGTAAGCTTCAAGAGCGCAAGATGGCGATAGGCAGATCATGCACTCACATTAGCCGCGAGAAGAAAAAAAAAAAAATCTTCCCGGCTCTAGCCGTGGAACTTCGTAGCAGCGATGACATTCGGAGAGCTTGCCTGATGAATTGCGACGGAGGCACGTAAAAAGTAAAAAAAAAATAAAACACACCAAACACGAACCCTTTCAGCGATAGCAGCGTGCTACATTCACCGCTATTAAGCCTACGCTCTCAAAGTGCCAACTTTGTGTACATTTGATGACGTCACATGTCGTCTGTCACAAATCGTTAATGAATTGTAAACAACGGAAATAAAGTTTCTCCGCGACGTTTTCGGGCTTTAGGAGTAGGGAGAAGTACGCATGATCTTTCCACGTGGACTGATCGCGTTGCTTTGATGGATTGCACCCAAAATCTTAAGAACTCCCAAACTTCCAATGCCTCGTTTTTTTTTTTTTTTTTTTTTTTTTTTTGCAATGTTAAGTTTTTATTGTTGCCATTTTCTTCGCGCTGTCTAGTTCAGATGCCCAAATACAAAGTTTTTACGAGGAAAAAAAAAAGAAAAAAAAAAGTACTGACCATCGTCCTTGAACTTTCAATGAGTAATAATTCTAAAAAGTTTGTGGGATGCTGTTGCAAAGGTACATCCCACGTCGGTATGTTCGTTTGATTCACAGGTGTAGCGCATTTTGCGGAGAAAACTATGTCAACACTATTTTTACTTCGCAGATAACAGGGTACACAGTCCAGGACCATACCAGATGGAACACGCTTTCTTAATTTAAGGCCCCAACTGCCATGCTCTTAGCTTTGATATGCAATAATCCAAATTAAAAAAAAAAAAAAATATATATATATATATATATATATATATATATATATATATATATATATATATATATATATACACAAACTTCTTCAAACCGATTATATTTAACGTGTAAAAACTGGTAATTCTCAAGAAAAAAACGAAAAAAACGAATGCAAATATTTTTTTTTAATACTGTTTCCCCAAGAACGTCATTCTCTCGAAGTTATTTACACATAAACCGTACAAACCCAAACCACCTCAAGCAACCATGTTAACTAAATGTGCACTACGCAAGCGAGCACACGAGGAACGGAAAAACACAAGACAAAGCAATCTCAAAGATCATGCAAGACTTTATTTCAGGCAGTATGAGAATCACCATCATAAGTTACCATTATTTACACTGTCGATTAACTTGTTTTAATTGCATAAGTTATGCATAAAAGAAAGCAAATATTGACTAATTAAGCAGTCTTCATTTGGGATGACTGGGAGGTTCGTCAATCGTTTCCACTATGGAGCTGGACAGGGCTAGCTCCTTTCCCTGCAAACAGATATGAAGCAACAAATTAAACAATGTCCACAAACATAAAAGTAAACAAAGAAATCAGTGATTTCCTTACACACACCCTTGGGGGGGGGGGGGGATGTACCCCCCCCCCCCCCCCGTTTTTTTTCTGGACACCCCCTTAATTCGCCACGACTGTTCTCAATGCCACCGCCACCGCCCCCCCCCCCCCCCCCCCCCCCTTCTTCCCTTAAAATTTAGACAACCCCTTATTTCAATTCCTGGGCAAACTCCTGAAAGAAATGTTACCTTTTGCTACTTCCACACTGCCCTGAATCAGTTCACAGCTTGCTAGGATATCTTTGTCAAAAAGAAATACATTTAAATAGTTTTTTGTTGTACGGACATCAACAGTTCAGAAAAATATATTTAACGACACCTCAGGATATCCTGGATTAATGTATGTAGTATCTGTTAAACAAAACTAAGGAATTCCCGACTCAAGGCAAAAGAATGCAATTCTGGAAAATATTCCCATTGATTCTACTTAAAAGCTGACTTTTGATGTAAAAAGATTAGTTTAATTATTACCGATTGTGTTGAAAAGCAACGAATTTCTCTGGAAAGTTGACATATACTTAGTGTCAGGAATCCTCTAAAACAATTTGTCAGTGGATGAATGATTTCACTATATTGTAGACATCAATATGCTTTACTTGACAATAATTAACAAAAATTATGGCAGACAACATTCATCAATTAAGAGACTAGGTGCAAGCTCAGCAGCTAGAATGTTGCCACAGCTTAAAAGGAAATACAATTCTTTTTTCACATATACCAGAAAGGCATTACATTTCAGTGTAGCCATTCATTTCAAGGCCTTTCCTCCATTCTAACGCAAAGTAAACAAAATATGAATCAGATTAAATCGCCAATATCATATGCTATAATTTAAAATTTAGATTGTAGGTCCATTTAATTGCAAGGCAAGAAGACTCAATTAAATTCACAATATTCTAGTCAAATGTCATACATTTGTGCTACACTCACAAGCTCAAAATGTTAGAAGTCGGCGGCATCGGTGCTTACAATACACATTGCCCCAACCAGAAAAAAGAAATCACAAAACAACTAAAAAAAAAAAAGCATCTTTATTATGAAGAAAAAAAAACTATTTTCTGAAGTTGAAAAATTCAATCCTACCGTTCAGGAAAAAGCCGCAAAACGATCCTAACAAAAACATTACAGTGCCAGAGGGATTCAGGTCCCAAACCCTCTGGGTGCACCTTGTCACAATTCCCCGATTGTGTACTTTCTAACTGAGTTGACTACTAGATCTTGCAATGAAAGAGGCAGCAATTGCTGAAGACTACTTAGGGCTAAGGAGGGCAACATTTATTTTAGAAATAAATGAACTGCGTAAAGGACGAGGACAGAGGTGTGTCGTACTCGTTTCTACCTCTGTCCTCGTCCTTTACGCAGTTCATTTATTTCTAAAATCATGAACCAACTAGCCCGCCAAAAGGTGTTACTTCAGGCAACATTTAGTCAGCGTTAGCGCATGTCGTCTAAAAAAATATACAAAAAAAAAGGAAAGAAAAAGCATTTAAGTAGGTAGTGAGCTTGGCAGCACAGAGGCACACAAAATAACTAAGGTAAATGACATGCCGGTCAAGGTGGAGTCTTTCAGACTGGAGCACCACAGGAAGCAAAAGTGGTCCTAAGCCAAAGTCGGTACTGTAGAAGAGCACCCTTTGCCACTCTAAAATGTTGCAAACCTTGGTTGAACCCGAGGTTCGACTGATTTGGCAAATGTTCGAAACTTTGGAAAAGTTCAACTTTTGATCAGTGTTGACAGAATTTTTCGCAACATTTTCGAACACCTAGTGAAAAAATAATTTGTACCGTAGTTTGCTGCACATTTTACACATCATAAAACCAAGTACGCACTTTATGTTGATTCAATTAGTTTGTCAATGTGAAGTAATACAGCCGGTAAATACTCTGCAACTTCTGCTCGGTGGCAGGTAAAGAACGAAGTGGAAGCTGTAACACCTCTTTCCACTCTGGCAGAGCGAACGCTGGAAAGGAGGCAATCTCCTCTTTAGCGTTTGCTCTGCTAAGGTGGAGAGAGGTGGGAGGAGCTCCTACTTTACTTCTAACCTGTCACCGACCATGGCATTGAGATAGCTTGAACTCTAACCTCAGCGGGTCCGCACCAACAACTGAAACTTCAATCATGTAGCTAGCCTCGACTGGGGATAAATTAATTACTTTTTAACATTAGCAAATAGCAAAACTTCAATAATTGTCACTTTTTCCAAGATTTTGTCACGCTAGACCTCAGTGGTACGGAATCAAAGATACAAAACCTGATGACGGTAAAACACCACATGCTGAGTCCTCAGTGTTGAGACAGGAAATGGACATATATAAAACGCACAGGGTGTTCCTCAAAAGATGGGCGAAATCTTTCCTGCAAGAAGTATGCATCGCGCTGAAAAAAGGTTAATGTTGTATTGATCCATTTATTTATTTTTCTTTCAATATTCTCAGGGCCCAGAGGCATTACAGAGGGGAGGGGCAAAAACAACAACAAAATATGAGATATAAAAATTCAAGCACAAAAATGCAGTAAAATATGGGTGCTGGAAGATTAACAAAAGTGATTGGTTATCGCAACTCTAACCGAACCGACTGTTGATATGGACACTAAAGATGCGAGAAGGAGGTTCCATTCGGATGACGTTTTGGGAACAAAAGAGTTGAAGTGGGCATTAATATGACAGGGATGAATTTAGACTTTGAATTGATGGTCAATGTAAGGGGAAATGTACGGAGGAGGATGAAGAAGCTTATCTTTTAGAGGAGGGTCAGAGTAATAAATTTAATGAAAAAGACAAACGAGATCTTTTGCGATGCAACAAAAGGGGAAGAGATGGGTTAGCTTTCATGGACGACACACTGGCTGTACGACGATAGAAAAAATAAATTTGCCGAAGGGCCCCATTTGGGAAAATTATTGACGTTTAGTATAATCAGTTTATTGATTACTTTCGAGAAATTAACTTTTTACTTATTGACTTTATAGCTATAATTTCAATCAACAACTTGACGAGGATTATTGAAAACCCCTAAATAAACTTACACTAGAAATATAAGAGTCAAAAAAACATTTTACCACGTAAAAAAAAAAAATTATATTAGGACATGCTTTTAAGTTTCGGTTTCCTATCGGAGTTAATTTTTGAGCCAAAAAGAAGAGAGTATAGCACACGTGCGTTGCGCACCTCAGCCGCAAGGGGCAGCACCTCTTGCTCAAAAATATGCTGTGATAGCAAACCGAAACCTAGAAACAAGTCCGCATAGAGCATTTTTTTAAATGCAGTAAAATGTTAGTTGCTTTTTATATTTCTTGAGGAATTAAATTTAGTGGTTTTCAATAATTCTCGGCAAGTTCCTAACTAAAACCATACCTATATTCAATTATTAAAAAGTTAATTACTCAAAAGAAATTAACGAACTAATTACACCGAACATTAAAATTTTTCCCAGGGATGATTACAACATTAACATTTTTTTCAGTGTGATGCACACTTTTTGCGGGAACGGTTTGATCCAAGTTTCGAGAAGCACCCTGTATATAATCGAGCAACAGATGCTACTGCATTAAGTTCACCGATGTCTCGTAGTTTTCAAAAGAAAATACGTGCGACATAATTATGTTCCTTTTCAAAAGTAATAAAGTTTTGAAATTAATTACTTCTACATAATGCTAATTCACTGTAGTTGAATTACATTTCCAAAGTAATTTACCCAAGTGTGCTATTAACGACTCCAGCGAAATCGACGCACGTGGCGGCAACACCGAGAAACTCTGAAGAGGAGGTCGTTTCAACTTTGTCGTCTGCTATCGCCGCTTGGTTCTTGTAGGCAGCATAGAAACAAACATTGTTCCCAGTAATTTATTTTATGTTTCCGCCATGTCATTCCTAGGCACTGGCTAGGTTTTTACCGTCGAAAAATTGCTTTTGCTTTCATATATAACACTGATTATACGCTGCAGTGCAAGAAATTTATGATGGTCCGCGTGCGGAACAACGAAAAAGACCTCCTTTCGTCCGCCTGACCAGCGTCCCCCAGTTCGCTGGAGTCGCGAATAGGCTCAGATCTCCCATATTGCTAGCCTACGAAGAGACTATTTTGAATGTTTCCCTTTTATGAGAAACCATACATTTCTGAAGGGTAAATAATTATGCCAGTGAGCCTGTTTATGGTTATTTTTATGGTCTTTGACAAATGAAGATAGATTATTTGTAACGTCTTTCCTCACAGATATTGCTGCTAGCGCAGCTGGCCAAGTAGGCAGTGCGCGCGTGGCCTAGCGGTTTTATCGTACCTGCCTCCCATGCGAAAAGCCAGGGTTCGACTCCTGGGAGCGACGCATCTTTTGTTATTCCTGCGATTTAGTTTTCTGGTGAATTCAAGAATCATGTTGCTTCTTCGGGGTCCGAATGTTCTATGCGTCGAACATTCTACGCCGATTATTCCAGAAGCTCACGCAGGTACACAAGGGGCTCCGCGTGGCGAGCCGCAGCGAGTTTCGCCCCAGCGTCCGATTCTGTTGTCACGCCGACTTCCGACGCCCGCGACGCTCTGCTTTATTTTGTTCCCTTTTTATTTTTGGGCACAAGTTCGCCCCATTAAACGTTTAGTTTCTCCAGTTATAATCGCCTCATCACTAGTCAGTAGTAACAATATTGCCTCACAGGAGTCCTTCTACAAAGCTTCTTTTCAATACTACACAAATACACAGAGTGTGTATTGCACGTTTGTGCAACATGCATTCTTTTCACATGAGCTTAAAAAAAAAAAAAAACTACCGTAGCTTACACAGCACAGCAACTTACCGAGTGACTGTGAAAGAATAAGCTAAACCCCCACAAAATGATGCCAGATTTTTCAAACTATTTGTTTTCTGATCTGGGACTTTTTGTATTTTTAAAACGTGAAACTCCCCTTTAACCTGCCGGCCATTATAGGTAATAAATAAACAACCAAGCTGACATTCTTTTAGCAGGAGTCCTTTTTACTAGTAAGTCCCCTGTCCCCTGTACTCCATTGAAAACTGAACGACAACAGCAATTAGATTATGAGTACCTAACATGCATGGCAAGCTTGCAGGCGTTGTGCATGCAAAGCCCTAAACAAGTAGTGATTCTCAAGATGCCATGCAGCAGTAATGGCAAGCAACACAGTGCATGACAAGCAATGCCCAGTGCTTTTCAAACTCCAGTACTTATGTTTCGTAAACTTGATACTTGCTTTTCGGAGACAATTTAGCAATAAAAACCTATAAACTTCACGAAAGGAGGAAGCACTCTACTTGAACCCAATTTTCTACAGAAAAGGGCACCTTACAAAAAGACAAGTGACCGCCACCTTCATGTTCCATTAATATTAACACTTATGTGCGTTCCCCCAGCTACCTGCATTATTTACTCGATTACAAAAAAAAAATTCCCCGATCAACCATTTAAGACGGATGATGCAGTACTTCTAGGACTGGCTTGCTACACGCAGAGGAATGAACCCAGGATCAATGCGGCTACCTCTCCCAGTGGCTCAAACAGCCCCAAGACGGATTTTCTGGTCACGTGACCGGATGTTCAAGCCTGTTCGTTTTTATACTGTGTGCAAAAGCAGACTCAAATGAACGAAGCGAGGACAGCGTTGGCAATTATGCGCCGCCTAGTCAAGGCTGGCGCAGCTTAGACGGTGCTCCATTGCCGTCAAAGCTACTTGCACGAGTACGTCGCTTCGTTTAACGTCTCCTTCGCAAGGAGCGCGTGCGAATGAGATGCAAGACAAAGAAACGGGCTCTCGCAGCAGTGCTGAGATCTAGCACTGCGGAAGCGACGCTAGCCTCGACAACGTAGCAGAAAATAGATGCAGGATTTTTCTAGTGGCGCCTCGTCCCCATGAAGCCGGTCATGCAACAAGAAAATTTCTGTAACGGCTATTTTAGCCGTTGGAAGAGATAGCCGGTTTGATCGGCAAACCGCCCCAGGTGAGAAATCCGTTGCCCCTCGCGGGCTGAGCGGTTCCCCCCCCCCCCAGCGAGAGAAAGGGCATGCAACGCAACTCGGCAGCGACCGAGGTGTCTCTACGGTTGTCCTCCAATGCTTCCATTAAACCCACCAAGAAACGAGAATGAAAACGACTCGGGGGGCCGTCGGGGCCAACTTACAGCCTACAATGGGCACGGCAGCCCACAAGGGCCAAGCAGGCAACGATGGCCACACCGCCACACACAATGCCCCGCCGGACCCCGGGAGACAGACGGCCCGGGTGCGACTGAACCAGATCCATCATCTGGAAGAACAAGCACCCCCCCGTAAAAACTCGCATCCGGCCGTCTGTCTCTCGGAGAACCGCGGCGTCTCACGCCATGGTGGCACGTACGAACAGAAGTGAAACCGAGCTTTGCCGAAACGCCGTCGCACTTCCGGAAAGCCGTCTGCGACCGTGCTGGTGAACCATTTCCACGAATTTCCCTTACACAGTTCTTCTCGGGGTTGCTTTTGCTGCTGATGGGTCCCAGAAGCGTGCTGCGTTGCCATACTTCCTATAGAACGTGATAAGCACAGTCCGGACCGTCTTTGGGTTGCGCGAGTCCTCGTCTTTCTTACGTCCAAGTTGCTCTTGCGCGTCAGCCGACGCCGTTTTGGTTGCCGACGTGCTGACTTCCCGAGTGCCGATTCATCGCAACGCTGACTGACGGCTGCCGTGGGCAAAGATAGAGGACTAGTTGATGCTCCTTCCTTTCGCCGACAATTCTGGCCGGCCTGGTCTATCGCAATGCGGAAAAACTGCCCCCGCGCATAAAAAACAAGCAGGACGATGGTTCGCTAGTGTGGATTCTCGCAAGGTTTCGAGCAGCACGTACGTCAAGCAAGAGACTGCCCTACAAGTTGGGCCCTTGTTTCTGAAGCCACAAAGAAAAAATTAGCCACGGAACACGAGCGAACCGCTTCGTGCGACACCACGACATGGTGTGGAGTCGTCGATGTAAGCCAGACTCCCCGCTAAACTCAGTGGAGGAAGCTTCCCACTAAATTTAGCAAGCCGTGAACTACGCACAAACGCACCCCAGGATGTACGACAAAACCTTGTGAAAACATATTGTTGCAAAAGGAATTTAAAAAAAATAAACATAATTTGGCTATTGTTTTTCAAGTTGTTTCAGCTCTCAAAGATCACTAGACCCACCCACCCACCCTCCTTTCGGTCCGGATTCCCACCTTGCGAAGGTCCCCATTTCCTACCTTCCGACCGCCTTCGACGGGAGTATAGTCGGCGACAAGATGAGAGCAGCGGGGAGGAACTTCGGTCGTCCCGCCTCCAGCATGAGCGTCTCACCTTCGTCGACACTTCGGCACCTCGAGCGTGCACGCACAGCCAAAGTGGGGTGGAGGACGACGAGCGCGTGCTGGAGGCACGGGCATGAGAAAGAGACGCCCCGCAGTTCTCACTCCGTCGGCGACCATGCGCCACAGAGTCTACGCCTACGTTTACAGCCCTGCCCTTGCAAAGAGGAAGGCAACTCAACACCCGCACCTCGGTGAAGGCCCTGTCGAACTCCTGGACGGCCTGGGGCGAGCTGAAGGTGACCCGGAAGTGGCGCCGCTCGTGGGGGTTGCGCGACATGTCCACCGCCGACCAGAAGGCGTGCAGGCGCTCCGTGCGCAGGCACGTCTGCACCGCCACGATCGTGTCGCACAGCGGCACCCCGCCACCCTCCGCAGCGTCGTCCGACAGCACCCGGATGCGGGCCCCGTAGCAGGAGTCGTCGTACACCATCCGCAGGTTACCCATGCCCACCATCTGCACGAGGAGACAACAAACACCCACCTCTGGAAAAGGAATAGACCCTTTGAAGGAATAGACAGTTTTGTTTTTATGGACAAGAGGCGCCTCTTGCGCCCCAAGGAACCTCCGGTCGTTCTGTTTCAATAAGTGTTTCGAGCTTGTTCATGCCACACTTTTTTGGACGTGCGAGAGCTACAGAACCGACAAACTTGGAGATAAAGGTCCTTCTGCTGTGTTACATATTCCGGGTGATTGGTTGTCCCGTAGGAGCATCCAAAACTCTCCAAAAAAATCTCGCGGTAACCAAAGCTTTAGCTATGTGCTGGTAGAACTGCTTGTGAAATACTTTATGTATGTTACAAAGACTGGTGTTATGGAGGGGATTGTATTCCCCCCCCCCCCCCCCCCCCCCATTTGACAGAAGTTTGCAGAGATGTTAAATGCAACAACATTTTTTATGAAAAAGGCCAGTAGGGATGAATGGCTCCTAAGATTTTAGTATGGCGTCGTGGGAGCAGGACTCAAAGTGCATTGAGCAAACCCTTTTTAGGACGATGGTGACAATCATGACAGGAAGTCATACTGGTGACTGTGGTGCTACATTTCGATCGCTAGGCGCAATTGCCTTGGGGGTGGGAGCTATCTGCCTTGACTGGTCACCTCTCTGGAGCTTGCTGCCTTCTACAAAGTGAGCGACTGCATCACCAAACTGTCGGCACTTACCCAATCTACAACATCCCTTGACAAGAGTGCACGATGACCTTGATAATTAAACTAGAGCAGCCAACCAAGTCGTTTAGGAGCCTTACGTTTCAAGCCTACTTGGTTCTTTGTCTTTTGCGAGTCGTGCCATTGAGAAGCGGCGTTTTTCAATCTTCTTTGAGGGATATGGCTCCTCATTTTTTTTTCGGTCTTCTTTCAGGGATGCCGCTCCTCAACGGCCACAGTTGCCCCTGACGAGGAACCAAGCAGGTTCGAAACGTAGGACACCTAAATGTTTAGGACATGGTCGGTTGCCTTACTTTAATTATTGTGTTTCCCAACCCGAGAGATTTCTCTGGAATGTTCACTTTCAAGATCACCTTGGCCCGGTGGATGGCTCCCAGAACCTTCACTGAACCTTGGTCAGAAGTTTTTCTCATGACGAGATCACGTCATCCTTATATTGTAGACATCACTGCATAATCACCATTCCTAGACGCGGCACCGTGGGTGTCCGTGGTACAGGCTCTTGCCTTTTTGCGGTTCCACCTCTCCTGGGTCAATAAAGATTACTACTACTATTCCTAGTCAATAAACATCAATTAAAGAGCTATTTACAAACTCAATAACCACAGTTTACGTTTATTATTATGGCCACAATATTGACAGCGAGATTCGTGTAACGAGCGCAAAAACAGGGTGTAGTATAGCGGCTGTTTAAATACAGTGACCAGTCAGTCACCGAGTGCTCTACAGCACACCAATATAAAAAGTTGCCCCTCAATACACAAATTGAAATTGCTTTAGCCTTGCTTCAGATGTACCTGGAGACTCGCCTACATTTCTAACTACTAAAGCGGAGGGTCCAGAAGACGACAGGGAGACGTTTCTCAGCACAGACAGTAAAGGCAGCCCCCAGCCCCCATTCGCTTGCCTGGTAAGAGTCCCCGCTCGGACTCAAAACAGCCAGGGTGACCCTCTTCTCGAACATCACATCCTCCCCGTGGTCGTCGTCGTCCTCTTCATCCTCCTCATCCTCTTCCTCCTCTTCTTCCTCCTCCTCCTCGTCCTCCTTCTCGGTGCTTTCCTGCTCACTCTTCTCCTGTTCGCCGTTCCTCCCCGACACCGCTTCCTCCGAACCTACAAAGTGGGAAGCGCCGTTAGGACGAGATGCGTGCCTCCATTAACGGCCAAATTTACCAATCACTTTCAAGTTTTAGAACAGAGCACCCAAAAGCTTTGTGTACAGCGTGCACCACTCCGAAACATAGTTTGGCGGTGCATGCGCGGTGGCGACGATGCTATTTCTTTGCTTAAAATAATACAATAATAGTTTTTCATTATTTCGTGCCTCAGAACAATTAAAGTCACGATATGAAGCATGTTCGTGATTATACAGCTTGCACTGCACGCAGATAGGAAGGCGATAAGGCCATGATGAGTAAATCAAAGTCTCAAGTTCACATTTAAAATGCACATAGGCAAAAGCATCGAAAGACATACTTGGTGAAATGACATTAAAAGGAACTTGCATGTGGGTGATAGGACGCATTTTCTCCTGAGAACCAGCAAAAACAAGCAGGAGAGCCTGCTGAAACGTAGAGGCATGTGTAACGTGAAACGTAACAAAAAACCGTAAACTGCTGTCTATTTGCTCATGAATTATTCTATGCAACATTAAAACATCTTGCGCAACTCTATGACCTAATAACGTCTGCAAGCTGAGAGTATCAAGTATGTAGGTATAGTCATAAAAGCACCTTCGCCCAAAATATCGATTGTGAACCATTCAAATAAATTTCTTTTGTACTTTTTCAATTTGCAGTGCATCAGCTGCTGTCAAAAAATTCCACACAGCACTTGCAAACTCAAGGCAGGAACGAATGAGACTGCAATGTAAGTGAATAATACACAAGGGATTAAAAAATTCCTGGATCAAATGGCAAATAAGGCCCAGTAATCGTACAGCTGAACCAACAACTTGAGAGACAAGGTAAGAAAAAAAGTGAGTAGTGCTGTGTAATTTTGTTCATTTTGTTCAAGCACCGTGCTCAAACAAAATGAAAATATGACCATTTTGCTCCGGACGCTTTTGATTTTTTTTTTATTCCAGAGCGCGTGAAAGTGCATCTCCTGGCACCAGCTCTTGGCACTGGCACTGCTACGACGGCATTTTGTTATCGGCTATTTCCTTCTATTTTTCTAGAGAGCGCGTGCAGTGGGCATCGGGTACTACAAAAACCTGAAGCATAAAATGGGTCGCTAACGCCGAGGCGTAGCTGTGTGGCAACGCCTCCGCTTCGTACACAGCGGACACAGGTTTGATTCCCACAGGCGGCGGGCGATCTTTTGAAAGATTCGGCAACATCGACGACACACACCTTACGCCCTACTACAACTTCAACAACAGACGTCATTTCCAGCGGCGGGGAGAGCCCACAACAGCCATCGCCCTAAAAGAAAGACCACTATCAAAATAAACCCCAAGGTCACAAACTACGGATACACTAGAAATAGGAGTGGAACAACGATTGTAGACATGTAACATCGCCTCCCGTCTTTTACCCACTGCTTTGGTTTTATTGGGATTGATCGACAAAAAAATTTACGAACACCGCACGTCATCTTAAGCAAAGCTTTTTGGTACGCCGTTCTAAAACTCTTTACTGCTTAGGGAAACCTACCTCCTATGTTTTCCTTCTCCAGAACAGCCAGACGGCACTCTTCGAACGTCTTTGCAAATGCATCCAGGATTTCGGCATTCTGCCAAAAGAATGACACGAAACAACTCGTATGCCAAACAATCCAAACTGCAGGGGTGACAGAAAAAAAGAGATAATGGTAAAGTACTTCAGCAGAAAGCAACTGATGCCATCCCTTTCAATCCCTGCAAGGTATGCAGCATAACAAATCTAGGCTAGCCCCAACATCGCTGCCTTTTGTTCAAGGCTTATTGTCGCCAAATGTTAGCCCACTTATGAGACGGCAGAAACTAACAACCTGGCTATGGATATTAATAGAATTTGTCGCACCATATTTACCGTACTATAAATGCTTATAAGTTGGAATCTTGAGCGCTGTGGACTACAGTAAACTCTCACTTCAGCTAACGTCAGCTTAACAAATATTTCAAATAACGAACCTTAAAAAATCCCGGTGGTTTTCCTGTGCATTTTATGCAAAAATGTTTCAGTTACACGAATTGATGAATTTCGGAATAGCAAATATTTCAGTTCAACGAATTTGATCGGTGGACCCAGGATAATTTTTGCAATTAGTTCAATGAAGTTTTGTGCTCTGCAGTGCTCGCATAGCCGACGCCAGCCGCCCCGCCTCTGCAGCGGCGCCTCTGTCACCTCTGCGCCGCCGCCTCTGCAGCGGCGGCGGTGCGGTAGATGAAAACGAACCACGTGGTGTGTCTGTTTTTTCTTTGTCATCAGTTTTGTTCGGCCATCTTAGTTTCGGGTAACACTTTTGTAACAAGCGAGATGAAACAAGAGCAGTTGTCTCTATCAGACGAGCTCAAAATCCTTCAGCGTCTAAACAATGGTCAAAGCCAAGTGGACGTTGCGAAGGGCTATGGAATTCCACCGTCGACATTGTCAATAATAGTGAAGCAAAAGTCGAAGCCTGAAGGAGAAACTGCGTTCAATCTCAACAGGAAACGACTCTGCACGGTATGTTTCGAGCCAGTGTACGACGCAGTTGCGGTATGGCTTCGTCAGATCAACATGCTGTGCCAGAGGAAGTGGAAAAAAAAAAACAGACTGTCTGGACAGTTTTGTTACTCCATGCGTTTTAAGAGTGCCGGTGCAAATGAAAACTAGATTTCTTTTCAAAATGAGAAAGCCAGCAACCTAACTGTTATGCACCTTGTATATATCGATGTACAGTGCTCATCAAAGTTATATGGAACACTTGTAAAATATTGAATGCAGAAAAGAGATAAAAAAGGATAAAAAAGCGAGAACTGTGCATATTTATGTGAACTGAAAGTATGCTACGGACATAGAGGGACACTAAGAGAAATAACTTGGGGTTAGTGCCAGCTAGCCCTATGTTATTTCTTAAAGAAAATAGAACAAGCCAAGAGTAGGCTTAGCACATGTTCCAGATAAGTTTGCTGGGCACTGTACATGACTCCATAAGTTACATTTCACACTTTTGACTCGATGCATGCTGTGCCCTATGCTGTTCCATATTCTAGTGAATATATTCAGTTTCTTTCAGTTAAGTGAACTATTTCCTTGGGTCCCTTGAAGTTCACTCAATTGACTTTACTGTATACAGGAATATGTCCAAGATCAAACATTAATTATGACAAGACATGACAAATTTTTTGAATGAGAGTATGTTAATGATGGCTTGCATATAATGCAAGCTTCTTTGCGAGCTAATAAAGCAAGCATCGGTCAACATGTGCTGCGTAGGAAAAGATTTACATGCTGACTAAGCACCAAGGGTGCATGGTATTCACCAGGTGTGGAGTATGCAAGAAAAAAACTTATTTTCCAGACTATAATTTGGAAAATAAGGTACTTGTTAGCTTCACTTCTATACCCTTTATAAAGAACAAAGAACCTTCTTGTGACAAGCGTTACGAGGTCCGTAAGTTCACCGCCTTCTGAGCAAGTAAATGGAATAAACAAAGAAGGAAGCTGATCGGTGTGTACCTTGAAGCGCACAGCAAAGCTCTCGGGCGAGGGCTTTCCGTCCGTGTAGTCGATGGCGTTCCAGGTGAGGGAATTGGCCGAGGTGGACAGGGGGGCCAACCTTATGAAGCCCGTGATGGCATGGTTGCACGCAATCTTGTGCACCTGGTCTCGACGCATCAGCACTCGGAAGCAGCCTGGGGAGAGACGGCCCATGCTCAGGGCCGGCGCTTATGCACACAAGGGGAGACAGCTAGCCCAGAGTTCAGCGCTCTGGGCATTTACACGCTGGCGTTGGAAGCCGCAAGAGATTGCTTCTATTGGAAGCGTCGGTAACAGGCATGCAGGTGAAGTAAGCCCAATGGGTTTTAGACGTCTCAAGGTAATGCGGTTTCAGCAAGTTATGCGGAGGGCATCTATGAACTGGCTTCCCAGGCTAGAGCATCACGAAAACACGGTAACACGGGTGTATGACCACCACACGGTTGGCACCACTATAGGTAACAGAGACATGTGATGTCAGTGTCACATGATATCGCGGTCATGTGACCCCAATCCACTAAATTTTGTTGGAAAACATGCATTGTCCCTTTAACGCCCCTCAATAAGCATTTAGACTGGTTGGCCTTATATACAGGATCAAGGTGATTATTTTTGTTGAAAGAAATAAACACAGCTCAATGCAAAGGACCTTCACCCAAAGCACCCAAGTGTAGGGGTGACCCAACTGAACAATTCTCGTCAGTATGGCAAGCAAACAGCGAGGCGCACCACGTGAGCAACGGCTGAAGGAGCACTCACAGGGCCGGTGTTTGTGCTTGAGGATCTTGATGTCCCCAATGGCCCTCTCCTTCCACTGCTTGAGGTCCGCGTGGAAGACGTACAGCTTGGCCCGGCTGCAGAACAGGGCCTCTTCCTCCTCCTCGCCCGTCTTCAGCTCCACCAGGTCTGGCAGGGGCACCACCGGCTCAAAGTGCACCTCGCTGCTGGGGGCCACTTCCTCCTCTCCTGCTGTCCGAGAAATGCCACAGCTAAGCCACATAAAAATGTGACGGAAGGCGTGACTAAACGAAGCACAAACATGACCAAAAGTGTAACAAAGCAATGCACACAGGGCCGTAACCAGGGGGGGGGGGGGATAGGGGGTTCTGACCCCCCCTGAAATTTTTTTCTGAGTACGGCCCTGGTCGGTGCACTTCCAGCCAGCCGATTTTAATCTCCACCTCTGCACACGCGCAGTGGCGCCGGTCGGCTACCGGGTACCAAACCGGGACCGGTTCTCCGGTTTGCTATAACTCTCCATTATATGCCACCGATGCACATGATTGATAGGCGAAAATAAGACAATAGACATTTTCAAAATGGCCGCCGTTGTCCCCGAAAACCCCCCCCGAAATTTTTTTCTGAGTACGGCCCTGAATGCACAAGTATAACAAATGGCGTGACTAAGCAACTCATGAACACAAAGGATGGGTTGACCAGGTGACGCACAAGCACAACACATGATAGGTATAAGTGACTACTGATTCCTGGTTTCTTTAAGACAAAAAAGAAAGGTTTTCTTTTTATTCCTCCTCAACCATATATTTACTATATTCACAGCGAGAATGATGGTAAAAGACTAATATTAAATGCAATAAATAAGAAAGGAAAGGTCTGCTTTGTAATTTCTTTCTTTACTCTTTCTGTTAAAAAGACAATGGAGACAATTTAGGTTATTTTTTTGGCGAATGAACTGAGTTCCAGGCACGTCCCAGGCAACGCTGCCCAAATTTCAGCCGAAATTGGCGCTTGTCTGCTGCGCAAATCAATTTAACAGTCGCGGTAATAATCATACAGGGATCAATTGCGGCGACGCATCGAGAGTTGCGGGAAAAGCCACGAGAAGTGGAGCTCGCGTGACGTTGCAGGGCCTAAAGTGCGACGTCACAAGAGACGCGTCAGCGATTGGTTGAAACGAAAGACGTCCTCGGTCAAGTTTTGGTTTGCGAGTTTCATAAACACTGTTCCAATTTCCACCTGAATAACCGTGAAAAGTATAAATCGAACCACAAATGATTACTAAACCGTAATAAAAAAAGCATAATTCTTTCTCTTTGCTACGCTGGGTGCGAAATGGGCAACGGGGGCAACTATGGACAAACAAAATAAATAAATAAAAAGAAAAAAAAAAGAACATGGCATGTAACAAGCTGGAGACGATTGGTTTTGGTTTCAGATCTCGGTGTTGTGTTTACTTTGGGAACATGGCACTCGAAGGATTTTGCAAAGCGGTAGTCATGCCAAATTTGTGCGCTGTATATGACTATTCAAACTGCCGACTAAAGACCCGCGATTGCTCAGGCGACGCTAGTTTTCATGTACTCCCATCCATGTCGACAGGTCCGACAAAACGACCGTGCCACCGCGCTGCTATAACCCACCACGGTAACCAGAGTCTCAATCTCCTAAATGCTACCAATACCGACTATTCACACTTGACGTCACTACCTACGTCACCTCCGATTTCAGAGGCCCATAAATGAGAATGGAGACAGTTCAGTTTTGGTTTCTTTAGTTCTTTCGTAGGCACAAAAATATGCGTTCCAAATGACTATAAAAAACTGGGCAGTGTACTAGGTTCCCCCAAGAAGCCTAAAAACACTATTTCAAAAAATTAATTAAAATTGTCTTTTTCGTCTCTTTGAATCTTGTCTGATTACACCCTCGAACAAATGGTCAGGCCCATTATCCAAGCAAGCAAAAAAAGAATCACCACCTGGCGACGGCAATCTGCTCAGCCATGCTCATCATCGGTGCTAGAATACAAATAATAAGTGCAATCTTTCTTTTTTTTTTTCTTTTTTTGGGGGGGGGGGGGGCCTCATAAGCCTGCCACCTAGCTATGCCACAGCTTCAGCCTAAGGCCCCCCAAAAGCATTGAAAAATAGCATTAGAACTGTAAGCATAGCTGTAAATGTGCAACAACACTCCCTTAAGATAAATCAGCAAGAAGCAATCCAGCCCAACCCCCAACCCCCACCCCCCCGGGCAGCTTCCCCTCCCACGGCCCTGGAGAAGTGACACGCCAAAAGGTTAGGACGTACCGTCATCATCCGCCTCGGACTTGTGCCTCGAGGCCGACTGGAACAGCTTGGAGCCAGCCCCGGCCAGGAGGGGGATGCTGCTCTTGGGCGGCGACCCGGCGGGTTTGCCGAAGCCCGAGGCGCCCTGCTGGGCCAGCTCGGCAAACGAGAACTGCATCACCGAGCTCGAGCTGAACAGGCTGCCCTCGTCCGTTGTGCTGTCTGCCGCCGCCACGTTGGCGGGCTCCTTCTTGACGGCCTCCGTCCGACGGGGCGCGGCTGCGGCGGGTGGCGTCGCAGACTGCCCCACCTCTGTTGGAATGGGACAGTTTGAAAAAAACGTCCCCTAAAATTGAGCGGGGTAGACGTTACGCCAAGTGCCGCGAAGCGCTAATGCGGAGTTCCTACGCTATACGCAACTCCTGTTTCTATGAATGAGGGGGGGGGGGCAAAGGAGCAGTAAAAGCTCCTTGAAAAAATTCACACCTCGTGCTTTTTACAAGTACTACCTACAACCAGTGTTTTTATTTATTTATTTCATTTTTACATACTGCAGCCCCGTTGGGGCTATTGCAGGAGCAGGGAGAAAAATCACAGTGCACAGAATTCAATATTGAATAAGACAGAAAAATCAAAACATTGTAAAACAGGATTAACCGCTGTCAACCGCACACAGAAAGTCGTCTGGAGGTAATGAACGAATGTTACCAGGTAGCAGATTCCAATGTTTGATTAATCTAAGGAAAAAACTGTATTTGAACATGTCAGTGCGTGTATAAAATGGTGAAATGTTTAGATCATGGTGGCTCCTTGTTGATGACCCTATGTGAAACCTTATGTATGTGTCTAATGAGGTGAGACGTGGTGAATTAACCAGACCGTAAAAGACTTTAAGGCTCTCAGTGTGACACCTATACATGCCTTGCAAGTGACGTCACCCTAGGGAACATCTAAGGAAGGACGGGGCCCCACACCATACTGGTGGTTGACTTCACACCGCACGGATGCGCTTACCAAGGCGCAGGATGCTGCTAACGGCCCGGACATGCATTAACATGCACCATATTTTCCACACAGGTACCGTGAACTTAAAAAAACGTGCTGAGCTTACGATGATGACGTTTATCCAGTACGTGCGGAATTTTTTGGCATTGGTGCGATTGCGCTACGAGCAGAAAGTTTCGAAATGCCGCCGGCAAAGTTTTGACGCAAAGGGATATGCCATGTCGCCAAAAAAAGAAAAGAAGCTTAATTGCGCGCTTCATACTTTGACGAGCGGCTCTAGGAGTCGCTTGTAGACAAATTGTTACGGTTTTGCAAAATACTGGTAAACAACACAATGTTACCGTCATAATCTTAACCCTGAGACAGGGATAAATCAAATAACGGACAAGAAACTCTCATTGTCTCAGGGTTTCTATTATTATGTTTCCTAACCGGCTCGCCTGCATACTTTCGCTCCTTGCAAAGGTTATCGTGTCGCGGACGGCACAAACCGATGACCCGATGGCTCGGCGAGCTTGCACATTGGGGCCGCCGATCGCCGTCGGGCCGGGCTCGCGGCGCAACACTCGCCCGGATTCGGCCGGGAGCCCTGAAGGTGCGCTCGAAGCGTGAAAACGGCGTTATGCAACGAAGGTCAAAGGCTATATACACCACGAACGAGCAAAAGCCGATGCAAAGGCGTGCGCTAACGTAAACAACGGTAGAAAAGTGCCGCCGTTCGCCGCTATGAATTGCGTCCTGCAAACTCGATAACCCGCGGCCGCATCTTTTTCCTGCCGCTCGTAGTTTCTCTAACTTGACGTCTACTCTGTCTCACGGGGCACGCCGACGAAACGATCGGAACATCGTCGGGATACGGGGTAATTGCTACAGCCGAGCGCGGCGCAGTTTACCATTGCTCTCGCTGCGAAGGGCCGTCGAGTCAACCACCAGCATGGTAGATACCGGTGTTCGGCGTCATGATGTATTGCAATACATGCAAGGCATGTATTGGAAAGAGGCATGTATTTCCAATACATGCAAGGCATGTATTGGAAAGAGGACTTAAGCTTAGAGCAGAAAGGTTAGAGGATGGGGGAAAATCTGTCGTAGCGACGGAAAATAAAGCGTACTGCTTTCTTCTGGACTGATTCGATTTTGTTAATATCACATTGTTTCCAGGGATTCCATATTTATATGTTAGAAGTTTGGTTTCTTGCGGGGCAACACGAAGGGTACTTTGAAGATAGCAGAGTTTTTTAAGTGCTTCGTTACAGGTGGAATCGATGTGTTTTGACCAAGACATGTCTTGCGAGAAAAGAAGACATACGCGCGAGGCACAGCCCGTGTCCTGCACGCGCTACTGGCAACACTGGTCTTGGAGCTTTTTTTTCTTATTTTAAAACCAAATCCAATGGAGCTGCACAAGCTTATTCAGCTTTTTGGGCTGATAATTTGATATATCCGGTCATTTTCTCAGGCAGCAGAATTGTCCTCAAGATAATTACAACTCGCCTGCCTTTGTTTGGAGGAGCAATAGGGAAAACTCTACTCAACAAAATATCCTCTTTTTTAACACATGGCTAGATACTACGAAGTGTAGAAAATACAATGTTGGAAGCACTTTTAAGATAAACCCATTATTAGTGATTTTATCACACATGCTAAATGCTAAATGTTCAATGCTAAATGTGGCTAACAAATAAAACAAAAGATGAATTAAAAAAATTTCTTAAGGGGGGACACTACCCGGAGAAAAAAAGATTCTTCAAAAAACATTGACTTTGAAATATTACATATTTACATCCATCTACATCCAGAGAGTATTCCCAGAAATTTTCACTAGTTTACACTGCATAGTTAATTTTTTATAAATTATTTTCTGTCCACCAAAGCTAAAGGAAAGGTAGGGTATGGAGCACTTTGAATGCATTTTTCTCCGTTCCACTTTTTTGTATAAATTCCATTTTAGTCAATCTATCGGTTGAGAATGGAAATACGGGCAAGGCTCGTTCTTCACTTTTCCTGACTAAAATTTAATAAGGAATGCGCCTATGGAGTCTGTTTGTCACTTTACGGATGTCTTTTATAAAAAATGTTGACATTTTGTCGGAGACAAAGACCAAAAAGTTGACCAATTTCGCAGAAGAGAAAATTGATAGAAATCAATTACTTTTTACAAAAGCCTTTCCATAGGCGCACCTCCTAGGCATTCTGCTACATATCTAGCGAATAAAAATCTTTAATATTGTGATAGTTTTCTAACGATAGATTAACTAAACAGTGTAGGGGTGTTGCTGATAGAAGCTGTTCTAATTTCCTTCCCACATAACCAACAGACCTAAAATTTTGTTATGCACCCTCTAGTGTGACCCCCAGCCTACCCTGTAAATTTCATTAATTTTAAGCCAAGGGTTCAAAAGTTGACCCTCCCAGGGGGTGTCTCCCCTTAAATACATATTAAAAAATTTGTTCTCAACATTGTAAGCTTCACACATCAAGCTACATGTTTAAAGAAAAGTAATATTTCTATCTGCCCTAAATGCTGAGATATTTCTCCTGCAAATTTTAAACAAGTCCAAAAATTGTGTTTTGTGAAAATGGTGTTTTAGTCGACTTCAACGCACATTCAGTCTGCATACACACTATAAATTGATTGATAGCTAAAATATTCATCTATGAAATTAGAAATTAGCTGTAGAGGACAACATCGCCGTTTTCAAAAGAATGAAGTTTTAAGAATTTTTTGCCTCCAAGGACCCATGTCCCCCCACTTAAGGGCGGTACAAGGTATGGGCCTTGTGAATTTGACACTACTTGTAAGAACACATTAAGGGCCTTAGGATAGGAAGACAAAAAAGCATTTCCCGCAACTTCAGATGAAGCTTCGCGCAACTGGCAGTGTTGATGTTGAGCAATGAGATGGCTGAACTGTTGTTACCCCGAGGGGTAGCTTACTTGGTGGCCCTAGAGATTGCAGCAAAGTGGTACCGCCACGACCGCAAGGAGCAAGCCTATTAGGCTGACAGAACCGAGGAGCACCCACTTTTTTTTGTGTCCCAATCGTCGCAGCCCCTGCAGCCAGGGCACGGGGGCCTTGTTTCGTAGAGGAAGAAGTTGTCGGGGAGAAGGAGCTCCCTCGCACGTGCCACCTGGGCCTCAGTCGCCTTGGCCTCAAACACCAGTTCCACCGCTGTGGGATGGAGAGAGGCAAGGGGTCATCATGGTGGGAACAATCTACAGCATATGGAACTGTTAGCACGACGACAACATCATTCCACCCAACTAAGTTTTAATTAGGGTTGGGCAACTGATCAATTAACCTACCGATTAATCAATTAATGCTTTAATCGGGATTAAGTTTTTGACAGGTTAATCGGTAAAATTTTGTGTAGTCAAAAGAAGTAAAAATTTAACGCTTTCACCATGCAGATCTTGACAAGTACACTGTATGAAGGGCTAACTTTACGTGAATTTTATCCTAAAGTAAACTGTAGGAACGAAATTTCTAACTCCAAACAATTGCAGGAGGTTACACGTGGCTACACTTGTAACCTCCACAGCCCCAGTTTTAATAAATCTTTATCAGCTAAAAAAAAAAAAAAAATCTTTTAGCTTTTTTACTTTTGTGAAGGAAGACCAGCGAAGCTGTACTATGATGTATGGCGCACCGTGTATTCACGAGGGCGCCCATCAGACCATTCTGCCAATCTCTGGCCGCCAGGCAGCTGCGTAGCTGCCTCGCCTCAGACACGATCGCATGGTCGTGTCGCCGCGGGGTCGATCGGGATCTCGAATTCGGCTCCCGACCCGCCGCTTTCCCTACTAGCCACTGGAGGGCACTGCAGGCGCCCCCGTGGCGGGTGAGGAGAAACCTCCTCGCCCATCGATGGATATATACTGGGTGGGGCAGGGGGCGAGAGGCTCTCTGAGAACTCCGGATGGGACCGAGACGCAGGCAGGCAGGTGGGTGGCGACCGGATCTAGGATATCGCGGGACGCGAGGCCTAAGGGCCTTCTTTGTGTTTAGCATTGGGCTTAACATGCGTTTGTATATTTTTGTGTAATGTCGCGTGTATTTGTAGTTTAGATTAAGTGTTTTGTAGCGTTGTGTTTTATGTACCAATAAACGGGGAGCAGAATCCCGCTCCCGGGAAAAAACCAGGCTGGACTCTGTTTGTTGTTGGACCACGTGGGAAATGGCGAATCGGCGGCAGTACGCGATTTCCTACAGGTGGGAATGAAGTACTAATGACCAGCCACAAGTCGGCAAGCCAGAGTGGAAAGGCTAGAAAGGTTGCTGCCATCTGTAAGCGACGGCAACAACCAGACAACCGGCAAGCCTGGTTGCCGCCGTCGCTCACAGATAGCGGTAGCTGTCCAATGTTCAGTGTCGTCGGGTCATTTGAGGACGGACACGATCCTGGGGAAACAGGCCCTTAACAGCTTCGCTGTAAAAAATGGCGGTAATTTTTTTTTTTTTTGTGTTAACACGTTGAGCAGTGTAGCTCTTGCCAAGATGGTGCTCAAAGGAAAAGTGACTGGCATTCCCTGGCGTAATGGGAAGGCTGTCCAGTTTCTCCGATGCCACAAGATTCAAAGGGTTCAACCTGTACGTTTATCCCTCCTAAATGCGTAGCATTTATAGGCCCTGCCCCTGGGGATTTCATGCCCGTGCTCGCATGTAGCCTTAGTGACGACGTCACACTGATAAAGTCACGGTGTTCGCAACAGTTGACGTATGATCATAGTGCCGGAACGACGAGTCCCAAGAGAGGAAACTCGCGGACTATCACTTTTCACGTAACACTGCGACTTACCGTGTCACTCGGTGTGACCCGACTCCCCGTGACTTCAGGTGATACCGCGACTTTACATCGTTATGTCAAGGAGGACACAGATACACCAAGGAGAGATGCCATTTCTTTTTTTTCTCTTCCGCCAGTTACATTTAACTGCCCTACAATTTCTTTGTTCTCTGGTTGGCACACGACTGCAAGTTCTATGAAAGTACAGTGCAAACGCTCTTTAAAAATAATAGAGATTCAGTCTAAAGCCAACGCTGAGAAGGCAAGCCAACTTGAGGTCACCAAGTGATACGACATTTCAAAGAGCAAGTTGTCGACACATTTTTTATGTTCGTGCATGAGAACGAATACTCATCACTCTTACTTTTCGAGCAAAGAGCAAGTTGTCGACACATTTTCTATGTTCGTGCATCAGAACAAATACTCATCACTCTTACTTTTAAAGCAAAAAGCACATGATGACTACAAATTTCTCCCTAATAAACTTTGAGATTCCAAATGTAGATGGGTCTCCCACACGCCGAACACGGCAGATTTCCTTTCGCTTCCGTGAATCAAATCTTGGTTTACCAAGGCTATAATTATAATGCAATTAAATGCAAAAATGTAAGCGAGCTGGACAAGAATGACGAAAACAAACCCTGGAGAAGGGGAACAAGAGGGACAAGGGACAAACATAAATCTCCAAACACAGCTAGGTGACTGGTGAGCGACCGAAAAAATCCGCCTGGTCCGGGTTTAGGTGACTGGTGAGCGACCGAAAAAATCCGCCTGGTCCGGGTTTGATATCCGGACCAGGCGGATTTTTTCGGTCACTCACCAGTCACCTAGCTGTGTTTGGAGATTTATGTTTGTCCTTTGTCCCTCTCGCTCCCCTTCTCCAGGGTTTATTTTCGTTACCAAGGCTCTTCCCCATGAAATTCGAACCCCCAGTCTTTCACTGTACAGTTAAACCTCGATGTAACGAAGTCGGTAAAATTCGCAATTTACTTCGTTACATTGAAATTTCTCTAAATCAAAATTTGGCTTTAGCATGCAAAAAAAAAAAAATAAAATCCGAAACATTTTACGGGTATGAAAAGTCACCGAAAATGACATTTATTTAGGGGCAAAGTAGTCCGCGAGTTTTGCGGGCGTCATACGGCGTTCGAGCGCCCAGAGCGCTTGCACGGCATCTTGCTGCCCATGCGACGCCGTGTACCTCCTCAGTACGTCCACTGCGTCGAGCACTTCCCGAGTGCTCGTGATCTCGGCAGTTTCTTCAGGATGGCGTCCAAAACGTTTGCTTTCTCGTGCAAAGAAAGAACTTTACGTTTCCCTATGGCAGCAAGCACGTGAGTGAACCGCCCGGTTGAGAAATAAAGCTGTTTAGGCGGTGCCAATGTTTCCAACCTACACAGCATTCTTGCCCGCTTAGATTACTTGCCCCCTTGCGCCCACAGTGTGTTTGCGCCTTTGCTTTACATCACGCTCGCAAGACGATAATCAGTCTTCCCGGCCTTCTTCTGGATGGCACTGCCCGTGCGGTCGCGCCATCACGTCGCTCCCCCGCTGAAGTTGGCTCCCGCGCTACAGTGGACTATGATGATCAGTGAATGTCAGTGGTGATGCCGTTATGCTGTGTTAACTTTTTGCTCGGCATTTTCTGGTCAGCCCCGCGGAATGCGCTTTGCCGCATGCCTCGCCGGCGCTATGGACGCCGCATCCTCGGGCAGCCAAGGAACATTGGAAGGCCTGTCCCCGTGAAGTAACCTATCAAGCACTCGCGTTTGCGCATAATTTTTTTTAACCACAATTTTTTTGCGAAGCTTTTCTTTACAGTCTATTTATTTATTGCCTTCTACAACAATGGCGCTTCGTTATATTGAAATAGCAGCAAAATAGACTTCGTTATATAGAGACTAAAAATACATGGGGTCTATGGGCAAGAAATTGGGAAAAATAAAATACTTCGTTAAATCGAGGATTTCGTTACACTGAAGTTCGTTATATCGAGGTTTGACTGTATATTGTTACAAGTGGACTGTACCATTTTACCGGCTATCGATATAACTAAAAACACACCCCCGGAGAAAGTCACCGTGCCACGAAAAACAGCCCAAAAACGTACCGTCGTCGGAGTCGGTCTTTGCGGGGGACGTGTTGCCAAAGAGGGACCGGACAACCGATTGCCGAGAGCCCCCGAACCGAGAGGCCAATGAGAAGCTGGCGGCTGCTGGGGGGGTGGCAGGGGAGGTGGCTTCCTTTGGTGTATCGTCCAGTCGGAAGGAGAACGTCGACGCATCGACTCGAGACGCAGGCTTCGATGCCGCCTTTGCAGCCTGCAATGATCACGCCCGCCGTTCCGGACTTGGGTTCAAATCAGTACACAGAGGGAGAAGCCAACATGTAAAAAGGAGACTTGAACAGAGCTACTAGTTGTTTAAAACGAAGGCTCTCAAACAAGTTTAAACTGCAGGCTCTAAGAATCCTAGAAAAACAAAAGAAAACGAAATTACACTTGTGGGCAGCTGACTTCCCTATTAAAAATCTAATCAGATAGTGATGCGCCCTTCTTTCTACACCTTGGACGGGACACCGGGGGGGAAGGGAGCGACCGTCAGATGACTTTTTCAAGCAGCAATTGCTGTATTACGTCACCTACACCCAAAGATTTGACGTTTGTCAAAGTGTAATGCATAATGTGCCCAAAAAGAGCAACGTTTGGAATCTCCACGCAATTAACTATGGTCATCAATCAAATTTTACGGCGGTGGTGGAGACCCGAAGATGGCCCCCAAACAATGCCCGTGTATTTCTACTGCTGCGAGTCTATTGGGATGTCTTGCCATCTAAAACTGGTCCTTTTTTTATACTAAAGCCCAACAAACAACATGTCATCAAAAAAAAAAAACTACTACAAAAAGCACTCAAGTGCCCCTTTAATAGGTCCCTCGACCATCTCTGCCTCTAGGCGTTTTCCCAATTTTAAACACTATATTTTGGCAGACTTGAGGCACACACTGATGCACAACTATGAGCCAAACAGCTCTCTAGAATGCATAAAACAGTTTACACCGTTTCCATAGTCGGTGACTGTCTTAGACTGAAGCTCCTCCCACTTCTCTCCACTTCAGCAGAGCAAACACTGGAGAGGAGACGACCTTCTCTCCAGCTTTCACTCTTCTAAAGTGGAAAGGGGTGGGAGGAGAGCCCCGATTTCTTAGCCTGACACAAACTGCAGGCATCCACATCGCTATATCGCAAAGGTGCCGAGAGAAAGAAGGATTTTTTTACTTTCAATGCAGACAAATACGGGCTCCTCAAGACAGAGACGTTTGCGAACCCCTGGTTTAAATGTTACTCTGCAGTCCACGTCTGTTATAAACCTTGTCCCACTTGAGCGACAGACAGCAGCAACCCCCCCAAAAAATGAAACAATCAACCTCGAGACAGTGTGGCATGCAGGCGATGGTATCTTCGACAGGCTGATAGTGTTTTAGCTCGAATGCAACTAGGGCATTGGGCTCGATTAGAGCTCCTCGCAATCTTAAAGTTGTGCCAATGATAAAACGCCTGCATGATTCGGAAGTGCCACGACTCGAGACGACGAAACCCCTGGCACTACATTGATGGACGCAATCGGGCATCAGCTATCTCGGAGGGTAGGATTCTGAGATTCTAAGCGCACAAACACATAAAAACGTCCGCCAAAGCGAGGATTGGACACATACGACAATTTGCGCACTGGAACTCTCAAGAGGTGACTAAGCGATCTATGATGCACAAGCAAGACGATTGCGCCGAGTGAAAACAAGAACGCATAGCAAACGCTGCTCAAGGCAGTCCGCCGACCGCGGCATTCTGAGAATCGGTTTGTTCTATTTACAGTCGCCGACCGTTTTTTCGAAATCCCGTACTTGTTCGATATTTCAAACCTAAAGGTGGAACCGTGACTTACCCTATAGAAATAGTGTATATTCAAGACCAATGTTTCGGACAGCTTGAAGTCCGAAAGTTTGATTATGCGGACAAAATCGTCGAGAGCGATCAGCGGAAAACACGATCGAGAAGCGGCCGTTTCGAATTCCACGTTGGCTGCCAATGGATTGGCTTGGTTTGGCAGCGCTACTTGAGCACTGCCGAGTCCTACCGCTAGATGACGCTATGCTAGCCCTTTTTTTCCCATCTAGCTGCGCATCATCATCATTATCATTTTGCTTTGTTTTTCGTTCCTTCGCGTCACCATTTTTCGCCTGTGGATTTGCACCTCTGATCTCGTTTGGACAACGCTGGCTTGGACGTCAAGGCCCCATCTGTTGTTCTGCTATTCGACCATAACGCTAGAAAACCAGGCAGTGATTCTCAAGCTAACCGAAAGTTGCCGAATGGAAACGGAGGCGTAACCTAAAACAAGGCACGCAGGCGTAATCTGAAACAAGGCACTATTTACGGCTTGTTTTAAGCCCCCTTGGAAGTAATAAAGGCAAGTTTTGCAATCTGCTGATTTTACGCGACTGCTCTATTATTCGGACGTTTTTTCGGTCCCAGCGAAGTCTGAATAATCGGTCGGCGACTGTACTTGCAACAGCCCGCACCGGCGCCAAAAGGTGTCGCACGGTAAAGGAAAGTGCAAGGCAATGCACTTCAGGACGTGCTCTTAGACAGGCTTCACTCGTAAAATCACACACTGTGGCGTGCACAGAGTGCAGCCAGTGCACGAAAATCGAACGCCGCAAATGTAGAGCAGTCGGAGCGCAACTGACCGACTCTGGGGGAGCGTCCAGGCGGGCCTTAGCGGCCTCGACCGCCGCCAGAAACTCGTCGGCCAGCTGCGGGGTCTTGAGGCGCAGGGCAAACTGGTGCGGACTGGGTTCCCCGTCCGAGAAGTCAGTGGCCGACCACAGCACCACCTTGTCGTCCTTCTTGGTCAACTGCAGCTCCCGGCTCAGCAGGTGGTTCAGGCACACCTTCAGCACCTGGCAGAGGCAAAAGGTGCCACACTCGGTATTCCCCGAAGGGCTGTCAAAACAGAACACAGCAGACGCCCTGTAGAAAAGCGTACACTCCTCGATAAACAAGAAAGTTGCTACACGCGCATCCGTTTTAAGTTTGGACATCAATCACGCAAACAGCAAGGCTTTCTCGCCTCCCCCTCTCTTGTTTTCGGGAAAACGGGGGCCGACAACGACGGCGGAGGCCTCGACGCCGCTCGACGTCGAGAAAGGTTGTTCGAACTCGCGTGATAAGCACACTCTAAGCCTCTGTTCAAGGACACAAGTAAAAAAAAATGTCCCCCCCCCCCCCCCCCCCCCCCCCCGACAAAAAAAAAAAAAAAAAAATTAAAGTGCAAAAGTGGATTGGAATTTGAGGAGAATAACCACTTCTGATACAGCAGGTGCTGCGACAGAAGAAAACTTGTCCTGTTGGACAACCGTTGAGACTCCCTCGGGCAAACCGGCATTGTGGCACGTGGTACACGCGGATCTTCATCCCAATTCTTTCAAGTTATGAATTTCCAAGTGGAAACGAGTCGAGCAGAGACTATAATCCCGAAGACGTCTGGGTTAAAGAAAGCATGGGCAATCAAACTAAAGATGAGAAAGGCGCCGTCAACATTGGCCGTTGTGTGCTGCAGGCACTTCGGAGAGCGGGACTTTGTTTACCGGGTGTTCAAGACACTGGGTAACACCGATACCGACGTGCTTCCATACCTTTTTTAAGCGTGTTTTGTTACAAGCACCGGAAGCTATCGGAGGAGGAAATTCCCAACAACGAACCTCCCCATTCGTCCACAAGACACGAGGCGATCGTGCAAGGGGTCGGTGAAGCAGCATCGCTAAGTGTTTCAGGCGCTGAATTCCTGTCCGTTGTATGTTCACGAGTTAGAATATTCCACGTCGCTTTGTGGGAATTTAAATGGTATTTATATCAAAGGCCTTAGTGCAATCGGCAAATTAGCTCGTGACCCCGACTCTGTGCGTGCCGCTCTGCATGCGCTGGTTTGCAGAAGCTTTAAAGGTTCTGGTTCTGAAGGCCTTTGAAATGCTCGTGGGACAGTTGTTTTTAAACAAAATGTAGCTTCTTCACGCATTAATGATATTCTGTTGAGACCGTTTATAACATCTGTTATAACGAAGTAGCAGCTATAGCGAAGCAATAACAATTTCCCATTCCCACTTGCGCTTTTTCAATGTACAGTTGAACCTAGATTTATTCAAGTCGTCTTTTGAGCAGGAAATTTCATTAAACAGCTAATTTCGTTGGACCGAGGTTTTTGTTTTTTACATTGCAATTGGTCTTCCAGGCTTTCAAAACCCTTCAATTGCCTCACATCTTGCAAGTGAGCATTTACAAATAAGATTCCATTACAAACGGTGGCGCAAGAGAAGAATGTAGTTCATCGACCCTCATTTCGTACGGTTATGGGGGCAGTGCCTAGCACCGCAGGAAAGCATGCAGTCGGGAAAGCAACTGCAGTCAGGAAAGCAACCACTGGCACTTATGGTAGTTATAATGCTGTCTTTCAACTTCAAAATTGTTGAAAGTGAACTCTGCGAAATTTCATACCGTATTTATAGATCGACACATTTTAGAATTTTTGAAAATGTCAAGTGGGGGGGTCGACTTACAATTGAAACCAAAGCATTCCACCGCCGACAAACCCTACCCGTGACGTGCAATGTGACCACCGAGCAATCGCAAATGATGCGGTTGATGCTGTCATTAGCGAAGTGCGAGATTTCGTTGGACGCCGCCGCCGACGTGCTTCGTGAAAAAGATAAATAATGACCGCATCCACAACAGGGAAAATAAAAGCAATCTCCTCGACACAAAAGTGTGCCGCCATCCACGACGAAGTGTGCATAAAATGCCGTCCTCTGCTCGACACAGTCCGTACGTAGCTCGCAGGATCTTAAATCTTTCTATTGCAGCTGCTCACAGTTGGTGAGAAGCAACTCTGATGTAGCAGAGAGCACATGCACGGAAGCCTCGACTGCTTTCTGCAAACATGATAAGCATGTGCCCATGACGGAGAAGAAAGATGCCTGTAACATCTTTCTTCAGCTTCGCAACCTTTCCATTAAACGTCTGTTGTGAGTTCAGTGCTTGTCCTGTCTACGTCTTTTTCTTGCCCTTGTACTTGCACTGTAGTGTGTATTAGTATGTTGTAATCCTTTTTGCCTGTTACTTTTATGGAGTCCAGGTATAATGAACAAGCGGATATAGCCAAGTGATTCATGTTTACTTTATTATAACCGGTCTCGACGGTAGCTTTGTCACAAAATAGTGGCGTCGGGGAAAGCGCCCGACGAGCGCGGACCCAGACTTGGACGGAGGGACCTCCCAAAGGAAAAGGAGGGGTGCAATCGGCTGGGTTTGGATGGGCGAAAGTGCCTTTGCGACTTCGACTAACAAGAGACAGGACAGCGGGGGGTGACTTTGGCCCACCTGGAGGTGATAATTAGACACAAGGAATGTGGAGAGCAAGCGAGAGAGGGTTTATGACACGGGGGTGGAGAGAGGAAGCGAGCATGAGGGGCAAGTGAGGATATCGAGAATTGAGAGTGGGTGGGGAGATTGGAGAGAGGTAACCACGAGGGATTTTGCGGAATCTAGGTGGCGGGAATGTAGGAGAGAGCTACGCGATCAAGGAGAAATGAGAGTGGATGGAGATGGAGGCAGAGAGCTGCGAGATTGAGGAGAATTGAAATGAGCAAAGTGAGTGCAAAGAGTTGCGAGGGGAGTGATTAAGTTCATCATATAATTATAATATTTGACTTGTTCGTCCTGCGATGTCTGTGAAGTCTGTCTTCTGCTATATAAACTGGATTTAAATCGCTTTACTGAGTCTTTTGCGATTTTGTCTCCAAGACCACCACTCATCGGCAACGAAATCAGCGTATTAACTGGTGGCAGCGATGGTATCCTTTCCTCAAGTCTCTGCATCTGATCAAACAACGGCAAAAGTGAAAGAGCACTTTGTATAGCCCAATAAGTCTCGTGACATGCGGAACTATGTTCGCTCATGTGACCCGTGTCAGCGCCACACAAAAATAACTATGTCCGAACCTACCCAACGCGCCCCACGATTTCCCCCGGGGGGTCCTTTTGTTCGAATCTGGTTCCACGCTTGGCCAACAGTTTTCCCGAAAAGTGTTTTGAAATAAGCAAAATCGAATTGTACTGTCGGGTATGAATGAAATCTGAATTGCGAAGTGTGGGACCTTCGATAGTTGCTGCGCTAGCAAGGCCCTTAGGAACAAATAAAACTGCAAAGCGGAGAGAAAGGCAGCGAGGGGTAGCAGCCTACCTAGGCCGCAAAAAAATATGCGCCATTTCTTGGTACAGAACAAAGGCCTCGGCGCAAACAATTTGTCTGGTAGCATACCGCGTGCAAACAAGAGAAGGCAAGGCCAAGCTCCAGAAAACAATAGTTTGCAAGACTAAGAAAAATAGAAAAACAGCCGGAAAACAACACAAGAAACCAACAAACCGGTTCTCGTCGCATGAGCAGACGGACGCGCCTGGCGGCGGGGTCAAAGAGCAGCTTGATGTCCCCGAGTCCCCGTTCCTTCCACTCCCCGTCCAGCCAGCGGTACAGCTTGGCACGGTGACTGTACAAGAGCTCCTCCTCTTCCTCTCCAGTCTTCACGGCAACCTAAACAAAGAGACAGACGTGGCTCGACGACCTCATCAAACGAATCCTCGCTCGTTGGCGCACCGTTCCAGCATGCGGCTACAGTGCCCAACACGCTTCCCGGACTGCTGTGTTTAGCGTGCCGTCCCGCACGTACATCAAAAGTGGTCCCGTAGCAAAAAAATGACGTCGCAAAAGCGAGTGTCGCATTGTCGGACGTCGCGATACCGGCAGTTGGTGCCAAAAGTCCCGGTGAAATGTATGAGCGAACAAAGGTGTCACTGTCGTCGCGGGGTCTCAACTCCTCGCTGCTCGAGCTACCATGGACGGTCAAGCTAGAGAGCGACTTGTAGCGGAACAGGCGTCCGCCACATCTGCCACCCCTGCTAAGACACCGCCGGGACCGCAACCGGCGACAACGCGACACTTCTACGATGTCATCAGGAGGAAATCGAGCCCTCCCCCTTATTCGGGTGCGGTAAGCCCACCGGTTGGAGAGGCGTTCCAAGCACCGCGGGGGACCGCCTGACTGGGAGAGCCCACCTTGGGGGGTAGGGGAACCACGGGCTGGAAGTAGATGTCGGCTTCGGGCGATTCCGTCCAACCGCCGGCGTCCTCCTCCTCTGCGTCCGTCGGCGTCCCCGGAGACTTGGGAGTCTTGCCCGGGCTCCGGGGGCGCACCCCGCTGAAGCTGAACTCGTACTTCTGCGGGCTGCCGAACTTGAACTGTGCGGAGGAGAGATACAAATGAGGGCGAAATAACCGGTGTTGCTCGACGGTTGAGAGTACGGCAACACTCCTACACTGTACTTCGTTTCAACTTATGTCAGAGTGCAGTCACGTGTCAGACAAAGCGCCCATGTGCACGAACCGAAAGTTCAAGATTACGGCAGATTCACCACGCACAATCGGTTTAGCTGGTCTTAAAGGACACATGCAAAGGAAAAAAACATCTTTTTTAAACAGCTTAGATGGAAAAAGGATGTCGTAAAACAATATTACAACGAAGCAAAAAATTTTTTAGAGCTATATTTACGGCACTATACGAATTTGCAGCTGGCACCCGCCGGCACCGCGGAAAAGTAGCCCTTATTTATCACGTGACTGGCCCTTATTTATTACGTGGTGCGTGCGCTCTTTCGGAAGCTTCGTATCGCGTCTAAAAGTAACGTATTCAGTTTTGTTTGAAGCATACCAAAAAACTAATATTAATAGGTAACTTTTAGAGCCCAAAGGAAACTCCTGAAAAAGTGCAAGCAGACGTGATAGACCAGTGCGCCGGTCAGACGATGGCGGCGGCGCACCGAAGCAGACGAACTTGTGCAGCGGCGGCGACGGCGGCATGGAAAATCGCGTTAAAGCGGCGTTCGCACAACGCTCAGCGTGCGGCGGCGGCGGCGCGCGGGCCTATCACGTGACCAGCGGCGGCACCCGTGGGCGCCAACTATAAATTTATATAGCGCCGTAAATATAGCTCTAAACAAAGCTGTTTAAAAAAATGGTTTTTTCCTTTGCATGTGTCCTTTAACGTTCGTGCAGACAGACGAGGAGTGCGGCAATGTTGCGCTTTTGGCACCGTTTGGTTGGTTCCATTGGCTCTGAACATTGGCTGCGGTCTAAATTACGGTGAAAGAAAAGATAGCCTCACTTGTACAAGTGCCTAATAAACCTGTCATTTTTTATTCCGATAGCTCATCTGGTGACATGCTCATAAACTACCGCAATATCCAGTCATCATCCACTTCCCTGCCGCCTGCCGAAGTTTCTTTCTGCTATCTCCATTGTTTTCCTTTCGCAGGCATGTACTTCGACTTTTGGGGTTGTGGAAAATGGGGAGGAAATGCGCATGCAAAGAGAAGCAACTTTCCCTTGTTTTACCTTTTCGTCAACATTCTCAAACCGGCCGCATCTTTCAGGTAGTAATGAACATTTGTGGATTGCAGAGTCAGCGTTGGGGTATTTTTTAGGGGCAGGGGATCACTTGGTGCTTTTTTTTGGAAATTGATATTCACCCAAAAGGTGGGGTGGGCGATGACTCGGGATATACGGCAGTGAGAGTTCGGCAGCTGTCAAGCTAACAAAATGTTTTTGAGTGAGCAAATGAAAGGTGCCTCAGCATAATCACAGACCCATTTCCCCAAAGGGCTCAGTTTCTGCACACAACTGGCACCGCACGCATGCCAAACAAAAATGACGGGACATAGGCCCGGTCAAATTTCATAAACCTCTCCAGATACAAGAATATGAAGCACTACACATCTCTTTGGTGCATCACAAAGGTGCTCTAAATGTGTAGCACCTACAGGTTCACCCCAACATCATAATGTCCCCCGACGTCATGGTGTCATGCGACGTTATGTCAGAGTATGCAACCCCACGCCCCAAACAACGCCATTGTCACGCAACGCCACAATGTCATACAAGATCACATGATGCGACCATCCGGATAACAAATGGACACGTGACCTTATGTCAGATCCAACGACGCCACAGTCAAGAAGTCAAATTTGGGGGTTTTACGTGCCAAACCAACGACGGGCATGTGGCACGCCCCAGCGGAGGACTGAGAATTAATTTGGACCACCTGGGGATCTTTTGACGTGCAACCGAAAGCTTGGTTACACGGTGTCCTTCTCCGCAATAAGCCTCCGTCAGATTGCAGGCACCTCGGCCGGGATTCGAACCCGCCACATGGAGATCCATAGGCCGACGCTCTTGCCTCGGAGCCACCGAGGCGGCTTGTCGCCACAGTGTCACATGATAACATAGCGTCACAGCTCATGCGACATCATGACTACCGTTGTGCCAATGACGTCCCACGAGCACGAAAGCGCCAAGAGCCAACCCCACAAATGCCGCGCACTAAGGACCCACAAAATGCCAGACCGCAGTCGCACTCACCGCACCCGGTGCCTGTGAAGACTCCTCACTCGATGAGGGCGCGTTGGCGGAGGAAACGGCAGCACCAAAGGTGAACGTGGATGGGGGTGCGCTGCCGCCAAACTGCTGCGTACCACAGCCGAACACGAAGCCCGGAGCCTTGCTGGAGGCACCGCCCTGGGACGAAGCGGTTGCAGCGCCGGCCGAAGGGAAGCCGAAGCTGAACTTGGCCGGAGTCGTCGCCGAGGGTCCAACGGGGAAGCCAGTGTTGCCAACCACGGGGGAGGCAAACTTCTCCAGTGCAGCGAGGGGCGATGGAGCCCCCTGAGAGAAGCGAATGGCCGCGTTACATACTCGTCATGGGTATGTGGCGGACAGGGCGGGATCTGGAGACCATTTTCTTTTAAAAATAGTTACAACTCGCACCACAGTCTGCCTCAACGTAACTTGGCAAACAACAAAAGCTACGGCCTCAATGAAACAACTTGGAGCATCGCGGCAGCTCTCCCAAGCAGCACCCATCACATGCTTCACGCCATTACTCAAATTCGCTCAAGGGGGCCGAAGCTCTTGGCTTTCACCAACTTATGATGGATCGGAATACGGCATCGGGCATAGCTAACCAAAAAACTGGACTCCAGATGCGTACAAATTTATAGCACCTTGAACATGCTGCTTATGCGAACTGTGGAAAAGTTGGTGTTAACCAACAAGCTATCGCCCGTCCGAAACTAAAAGGTAATTATGACCATATTTGAGGGTAAGTGCAATCGTAACCAATTTTGGAATTCTTCCAAAATGCTATGGGAACGTGCTTGGCACGTTGCAGCATTCATCAAAGCACAGTACATAAAGTTAACTATCCTCATGTGGGATCCTGCAATTTGCAACATGATTTGTCTTGAACTTTCATGCCGCCAAATGTTAGAAGATTGAGAACCCTTGGCTCATACACTTCTGTCTGATGCCCTCTATCAACTTCAAACATTGCAATCATAAAAGTGAGACTAGCACAAGTTGCAATTAATCCTACATCTGTTTATGTATGTGCAATCCAAATCTACCACGCGTTATCGGTCAATTTTCTAGCACTTTTCAGCTTCACGTTTGTGAAGCTCCACAGCAGCCAACTCACCGGGCCGGGCTGCACAGCACCGGGTCTCGGTGTCTCGCAGGCCATGCACACCGCCCTCTCAGTCGGATTCTCAACGTAGCACGTCTCGCAGCTCCATGTACCCTGCTTTGGCCTGAACTGGCTCAGCTGCGACAGCGGCACGGACTGCTGCTGCACGCTCTCCTCGGTCTTCGCTTCCTGCGCCACCTCCGCTTTTGCAGGCACCACCTGCACCGCCTCGTCCCTGCAGCTCTCGAAGACCTGCCGGAACTGCTCGGCGAGCTCCCGCGTCTTAAAGCGCACTGCCAACTGCTCGCTGTTCAGCTCCCCCTCGCTATAGTCCTTGGCAAACCACGACCAGGCCCGGTCGCCCGTCGCCAGCGGCCCCAGCTTCATCTCGGGTAGGATGCGGTGGTTGGCGCACAGCTTCAGCACCTGGTCCCGCCGCATTAGCACCCGGCACGCGCCCGTCTCCCCGTGCCGCAGTATCTTCAGCTGCCCGACGCCGCGCTCCTTCCACTGCTTCGTCTCCCCGTCGTAACGGTACAGCTTGGCCCGCTGGCAGAACAACACCTCCTCATCCTCCTCGCCCGTCTTGGCCTCGACCAGTTCGGGAAGGGGAACTACAGGCTCGAACTCCACGTTGGGCACAAACTCTTCAGGCACCTCCTGGGGGCTCCGCGGTGTCTTGGCGGGAGCCGGCGGCGACGCTTTTCCAAGAGCAGACTTCGCCAGGTTTGGCAACGACACGGCAGAGGGAGCCACGGGCGGTGTCAGACTCAGCTTGCTGATTTCCGAGCGGGCGCCCATTACGAAAGGGGATGCAGCGGCCTCCTTCGGCTCTTCTTTTTTGGTGGGAGACTGGAAGGAAAAGCTGGCGAAGGGACTGGGCTTCGCGGCCTCGCCTTTCGTCGTTGCCGCAGCTGGCGTAGCCTTGCTCTCTTCCTTCGGCGCCTCTTTCACCTTGGGTGGCGAGGAGAAGGTGAAGCCGCCGAAGACGTTTGCACCGCTGCTTGAGCCACCAAACGGAGAGGCAGATGCCACAGGCTTCTGGTCCGGCATTGTGACACCGAACGTGAAGACGTGGGCCGACGTCGCAACAGTCGGGGGGACCTTGGTTGTGGCGCATCCACCAAAGAGAGACGGGGCAGTTGCACCTGAGGACGCCTTGCTCTTGGCAATGTCTCCGAATACGGACGAGCTCGGAGAAGCCGTGGACGCCTGGCTAGTTGCGATCTGTCCAAACACAGACTGTGCCGGCGGGGTGGGTGACGCCTTGCTAGTAGTGACGTCCCCAAACACAGATTGAGCTGGCACGGCAGAGGATGCCTTGCTGGTAGCGATCGCTCCAAACACAGACTGTGCCGGTGGGGTGGGTGACGCCTTGCTAGTAGCAACGTCCCCAAACACAGATTGAGCTGGCACGGCAGAGGATGCTTTGCTGGTAGCGATCGCTCCAAACACAGACAGTGCCGGTGAAGCAGGTAATGCCTTGCCAGCGGCAACGTCTCCAGACACAGATTGAGCTGGGGAAGTGGGCAATGCCTTGCTAGTAGCAATCGCTCCGAACACAGACTGACCCGGCGGCGCAGACGATGCCTTGCTGGTAGCAATCGCTCCAAATGTAGTCCAAGCTGGAGATGCAGTGGGCGTCTTGCTGGCAGCAATCTCGCCGAACAAAGATGTCCCCGGCTTCGTGCCGGAAGCCTGCACCAACGCCGTCTTGGGCTTCCCGGAGCCCGGCTGTTGAGAGTCGGTAGTTGAACCAGTCGGCTTAGACGCCTCGTTGCTGACGTAGTCCGGCTTCGGAGAGTCACACGCTGCGCACGTCAGCTTGTTTGCCTCGTTGCTGACGTAGCAGACGTGGCAGGACCATGCGCCGGGCTTAGGGTGAAACATCTTGCCGAAACCCGTCGCGGGGAGAGACGGCAGGCTCGTGGGGGGAGAGCCCGACGCCACGACCGTGGCCACAACAGGCGAACCGAACGAGAGGGCCGACACGGCGCTCGCGGCCATCACCGATCCAAAGGTGGACTTGGGCGAGCCAAAGGAGGCCCCGGCAGAGAAGGGTGGCGAGAATGCGGCCGCTGCCGGGGACGGAGACGAAATGGCACCACCTCCAGACACCGAGGAGGAAGAGGAGGGTGCCCGTGGCCGCTTGGACTTCTGGACGGCCTGCTCGAAGGCATCCTTGAAGCGAGACGCAATCTCGGGGGTCTTGAAGCGGACGCAGAACTTTTCCGGGCGGGGCTCGCCATCGGCAAAATCCTGGGCGTCCCAGATCCAGGCAGTGTCCTTGTTGGGCATCGGTGTCAGCGTCATGGACGGGTGCATGTTATGGTTGGCACACACCTTCAGCACCTGTGGATGCAGGGTTCAAGGTTATGCACGCGGAACCGGAAGACGCTGCACAATCCTTGTAAAACTTCAAAACACTGAACAACCGAAGCAGCAAAACAATTCAATAACGGAAAGGTACCTGGCTAGACACCATCAAATGTATATAGGTAAAAAGAAAAAGAATGGGCTGCAATTGCACAATGGTTTTTGTACTACAGTATAGACCACTTACAACGTAACCGCTTATAGTGCAGGACCGGGTATAACGCGGTTTTTTTAAACCACCGGTTCGCCTCCCATAGAACTCCATGTATTTACACACCGCTTAAAATGCAGGCGCGCGAAGGGAAATACCGGTTATAGTGCGGTTTTCGGCACAGCCCGCCGACCGCGCCGACGACCGGAGCAGCGAGCACGCTTCCCTGTGCGACACTAAATAACGGCGCTGACGGCGCGGGGCGAGGATGTTGCTCGAAGAAGTGTGGAGAAGCGAATAGAGAGGCTTCAGTTGCCATAGCGACGGAGGGATGCACGCACGTGTCGTTCACGTGCGTGCGCCCCTCCGCCCCTCCGCTGCATTGGAAACAGAAACAAACAACCGCACCGACAGACCAATCGCAGATCGAGGAGAAGTGTTCGCGCGCGTTGCACGCCGGTCGCGGGCCGACCAGGCCGGCTGCTTCTATCCGCAAACATGGCGTCGGTTGTGATCGTCGTCGTGGATGGCGTTCATCTTATCGTTCTGCGTAAAAGCGCTATCCTTGACTGTGAATTTTCGTTGTGTGTGGCTATGATAACGAATCAGACAACACTTTGTATACAAATAATCCAGCCGTCTTTTGTGTGCGTCTGCAGAAAAAAACACTCGGAGATTTCTCTCCTGCCCAATGTGTTTTAGTTTCCCCCTCCCTCACCTCCGCCTTCCCTCAAGATAAAAATTGTTCAGATATTTAGGGATCACACTTCCTTTACCGAGGAGCCTGAAAATGTTACAGGTTGAACTGTGCCTCTATCCCGAAGGTAAAAATATATATTGTTAAAAAGTGAAAGTTCCACGGTCATGAGCTAGAGCCCAGCCCACACGGGGCATATCCTTGGCAGGCCGCCAATGTCTTCTGGAAGCAGACGCTCCCAGAAGCGTCTGCATATGAGCCCGCTACGGTCACGAACAGAATGGGAATGGCAGGGGGCCTCTTTCTTATCGCTAGCCTCCAGCACGCACTCCCTGCCCCCCCCCCCCCCCCCCCCCCCCCCCCCACGGTTTGGTCGCGCGTGTATTAAAGTGTCGTCAAGTGCAGGAGGCTCGCACTGGAGGCGTCATAACTGAAAGACCTCCCTGTTGTTTCCATCCCGTCAGTGACTACAGATGTTAGAAGGTGACAGAAAGAATGCAAAGAGTAAGCGCCAGTCGGGCTTTGGTGCACGCCTTTCGTCGTCCACGGGGAGTTTGTGGGGGAGTACTTGCCTGTTCCCTACGCATGAGCAGGCGCACCTTCCCCTCCTGGTTCTCCAGCAGCTTGAGCACTCCGATGCCCCGCTCCTTCCACTCCTTGTCCACAAAGCGGAACAGCTTGGCACGCTCCTCAAAAAGCACCTGCACCACGCGCGTAATGGAAGAAGCCATCACGAGTGCCTTACACTACAAACTGGTAAGCCAACGACAAAGCATTGTAAATAAGGCGACAAGCGTGTCGCAGAACGGTAGAAATGTGTCAAAACGTCCCGCGGGAGTATCGAACGGCTGTTGATACTCCATCCAGGAGTATCATTGACTGCTGATACCCCTGGAAGAAGTATGTTCGGGGAAAAAACAGCAACTGGCAACACTCTCAGAGAGGCCATAGATTAGAAAGGAAGCAATGCTCACTATTTAGCGTGGGCTCCTCAAGCTTCGGAGAACTATGATACTTATTTAAATGAATAAACTTTATTGCTACTTATTTTTAAAAAAAAATATAACTTAATATTTTTCCTTTGCAACCTTCTTTAACCCTTTAACTGCCATGGATGAGTCCCACTTGTCCACGCTTGCCGTGCTAATTCTCCCACTGACGAGTCTCACTCGTCCTGCAATGCGGAGATGTCTCCTACATGCCAGAGACGAGCTGGGCACGTCCAAAGCACTTCATTGTTACCGGCAATCTCCAGATGGCACTAGGCGACCGAAACTTTTTTCGCACTCCGCCAATTTTAGAGAAGCTGCAGCAATCGTCTGGCTGCCTGGGTTCTAAAAATGGCAGCATCCTCAAGCGCTTGCGGCAGCGGAGACGCGCATGTGCCACGGCGAAAATGCGTTTTTGCCCAGATTCAAAGCAGTTCAGATGAAGATGATGAGGAACTGCTTCTGGACAGTGCAAGCGTTTATTCATCAGATCTTGAACTGAGCTCGGACAAGTGCGACACAAGTGACGACTAAGATTTACAGGCATCTCGGAAGTGGACGAAGTTTGATAATGAGAAGCTGCCGCCTCCGCCCCCTCGATTTCCCTTTCTGGCGTCTCCCGGTATGACGGCTACAGTTCAAGATGAGCGCAACCCTCTTGAGTTTTTCGAGCTATTTTTTGACGACGAGGTCATCGCCCCGATTGTGCAAGAAACAAACAGGTACGCCTCACAGTTTCTCACAAATCATCGGACAACTGATGGCTCTCGCGCTGCAGTGTAGAAGCTGTTGACTGTGCGGGAGCTCAAGGTGTTCCTCGCATTGATACTGCTGCAAGGCATTATAGACAAGAGCATAGTTGTAACCCGAGACTGGGGATACGGACAAGGGACAAAACACAGAACGACAGATTGCTTCATTATAGACAAGCCTGAACTCGCCATGTACTGGTCGACCAGGAGGATTCTCCAAACCCCCATCTTTGGTGAACTCAGGAGCAAGAACAGATTTCACCTGATAATGAAGTGTCTTCATTTTTCCGACAACGAAAATGAGATCGATGAATCACAGCACCCCCAAGCCAAGCTTCGCAAGCTGTGGCCGCTGCCGTGTCTCCTCAAGGAACGGTTTCTGACCCTCTACGTTCCTGAGAGCACTGTAGCAGTGGATGAAAGCTTGATGCTGTACAAAGGAAGGCTGTCCTGGAAGCAGTACCTGTTCCTGAAGCGCTCACGCTTTGGTGTCAAGTTCTCTCTCCTTTGCGAGTCTGAGAGCGGGTACATCTCTAACCTCATCGTTTACACCGGCATAGGGACTGTTACGCCGGACCTTGACAGTGCCATGGGCACGAAGGTAGTCCTGAGCCTGATGGAACCTTTTCTTTGCAAAGGGTACAGCGTCACTGTCGACAATTACTACACCTCTCCAGAGCTTGTAGACAAGCTCCTGCAGCAAAAGACCAATGTATATGGCACGGTTCGGCCAACGAGAAAGGACATGCCTCCCTTCAAAGACCTCAAACTCAAGAAAGGAGAAGTCGGGGCGTTCCAGCGAGGAAAGTGCATGGCCCTGCAGTGGCGCGACAAAAAGCTCGTTACCTTGCTGAGCACAGTTCACGATGCCACAGTCGTCGAAGGCGTCAACGCCCGAAACGAGAAAGTCGTGAAGCCTGCTGCAGTTTACGACTACAACAACACCATGGGAGGAGTCAACAAGAGCGACCAGAACCTCTCGTACTACCCGGCTGTGAGAGATGGGCAGAAGGTCTATTACAAGATCTTCAGGCACCTTTTCGACATGTGTGTATACGACTCTTTCGTTCTGTACAAGAAACAAGGAGGTGCACTCAGTCAACTGGACTACCGACTGGACCTCGTAGAGAAGGTGATTGCAGCAAATCACGATGAAAGTCAGCGGAAGAAAGTTGGAAGAAAGTCCGACAATGAAGCCATGCGGCTTACAGCTCGCCATTTTGTAAGCTTCATTCCTCCAACAGAGAACAAGCAGCTCCCGACTCGACGCTGTGTCGTCTGCTGCAAGGCCTCGTCCACTGGAGGTACCAAGATCCGGAAGGAAATAAGATATTGGTGCAAAGACTGCAACGTGGCGGTCTGTATGATCCCATGCTTCTAAATCTACCATACGAGGACCAACTTCTAGATTCTCTAAGTCGCTCCTCAGTTGGGCACAGGATGTCAAGAAAAAAATAACATTTTGCCAGTTTCTTTTTTTTGCAAAGTATGAATGTTTTATCTCCATAATAAATGTTCCAAAAATAACACGGACTGTTTTCTGTTCGAGAAGAATAAAAGAATTGCATTGGAAGTAGTCATTACATATAAATACAAAAAATAATGGCATTTATTAACTAAGGTCCTATATTAGAAATTGCTCGTAGTTTCTTCTTTTAAAACAATGTTTCTAAAAAATACAGGAAGAAAAACATTTGGGAGATTCGCATCATTTTTTGAAAAAGTTTGGCAGTGAAAGGGTTAAAATGAGGTGACGATGATTAATTGAAACCAAAGCATGTTGTCCTGTAAGAATGAGCAAAAATTTCAACGCCCGTTGTGCTAACCAGACAACCCCTCACACTGACCGTGATAGACGGCAGTTTTTGTCTGCAACAGTCGGGAAGGCACAAACAACAAAGAGGAAATAAACGCACGACTCTAGCAGACTTCAATGGGATCGGCATTCATAAAAGTAATATCTAGGGAAACGTATGGACCGAAAATATATCAACGGGTTTCTAACAAATTTAAAAACAAACAATTCTGTGCGTAAGAAAAAAAAAAAAGAGGCCAAGATTGTCCGAAATTTATTACAGCCGTAAAACCACGACCACACTTGGGTAGTACCAGTGCAGTGGACTTTAAAGTGTCAATAACTACAGCTGAGCTATAAACAGTAAACCTTCCCACACTACATTTCAACCCAATAGTAGAAATCAAGCGATACACGCACCAAGCATGCACACAAAGCAATAGCAGACGTGCAACCAACCTACCTTCTCGTTCTCTTCGCCGGTGCAGACCGAGACCTCCTCGGGGAGCGGGATGAGGGGCTTGAAGTTCCCTTCCACCTCGGCCTCTTCCAGATAGTCATCCGAGCCCGTGCTCAGGCGCTGCGAGCCCCTGCGAGCCACGCCGGGAGACGGCGTGGCGGCCTGCTGTGCACCAAACAAACCGACGAAAAACATTAGGACACGTGGAAGTAAGTCAACTGTTACGGTCCCCGACAAGAGGAGAACGACACGGCGTCTATTTTGAAAGCCCCCATCCCCAATACGTGCCCTGTGACTTCCAACGTCTTTTGGCTGCGCGTGCACGCGTGACGCACAGTCGTTATCGCGTTTTAATGACAATCCGCACGGCAACAGCTCTTACGCAAAAATTTTAGCCGGAGCCTGGCGAGAAACTCGGTGCAACGAAACTTACGACGTGCCAAACGTTCGACCCACCTCGCCAGTCTTGCTGCCAACCGGCGTCGTAGGCGCCTGTTTCTCCGGCACCAGGGAGGCAGGAGGAGGTCCCCCTGCAGGCCCTTTCCTGAGCAGCCCTTCTAGCTGGGGCATCGTGGAGGCAGGGGCGGGGGCCGTAGCAGCTGTAGCTGCATTCCCAAGGAAGGATGGCGATTGGCCCGCGGAGGCCGTGGGGGGCAGCGGGATCTGGAAGGCGTGCGGGGCATTGGGGGGCTTCGGGGGGGTTAGCGTGGGGGCCGGAGGGGGTGGCAGGGGTCCCAGGCGGCTGAATGCGGAGGGCGGCGGCACCGGGGGCGCCGGTAGTCTGCCGGCCGGCATCATGGACGGCACAGGAGGTGGTGGCGGCTGGCTGATGTCGAAGGTGAAATGTGGCAGTGGCTGAAAGAAAGTGCCCGTTTTAATACCGTATTTACTCGCAGAATGAACGCACTTTTTTTCCCGAAAAATCGATGCAAAGTTGGGGGGAGCGTTCATTACGCTCCCCCCAACTCCATGTTTTTTGTTTTTTTTTCTTGCTTCCGTTGGATCTTTGCGATTTTTTTTAACGCCTTTTGCAAGGCGTTTTGTTCGCCCACGCTGCCCGCATTCGCGACCTCGCTGCACCAGGATAGAAAAGTGCGTTCATTTCGCGCGCGTGGGGGAGGGGGTCAAAATTTTGACGTCCGAGTTGGGGGTGCGTTTATTACGCGAGTGAAAAAAAAAGTCGAAATTTTGAGAGCCGACTTGGGGGGTGCGTTCATTGTGCGAGTGCGTTCATTGTGCGAGTAAATACGGTACATTCAAGAAGAGATGCGGAAGTTGAAAAAAAAATAAAAATAATGAAAAAAAATTTATTTTCGGAAAAACACTTGTTTGGAATGTATATTCCATACACTACCTCCTTTGTAATTATAAGCACATAGTTCACTGAGAAAATATGTTTTTGGCGCGATCAACGATTTCCCGCGCTCACGATTGCGAAGCAGTGATTGGCCAAAGTGCCCGCTCAAGGGAGTGCATGACTACTATCGACCACGACGTCTGTTCTCCTTCCGTCGCCACGGCTACCACGCCGTCGGGGCACATCTCGCCGCCTCGCGTCTTCTGCTCGTTCCTGCGCTTTGTCAACTACCCTACGCCTTTCACCACTTCTACAATCGTTTGCAGCCCTTTGTTTTAGAAGTTTTGCACACTTTGCTCGCGCGTTTCATGGCCGCAAGTGATCCAGGAAACGAATTAGGAGACAGTGCACGCATTCGATGCATGGAAGCGGTTTATGCAAGCTCATTTCCATACTGTATTTACTCGAATCTAACGCGCACCTTTTTCCCGGAGAAATAGGTCCAAAAATCGCATGCGCGCTAGAATCGAGCGCGACCCAAAACTGCGCTACCGTATCGCCATCGACATTTCAAAATGGTTGCTCCATTACGCGCTGAGGAGCTGAGAGGCTTAGAGCGTAGCCAGCTCGTGTGTTTCTTGCGTTCGTATCAGCGTGGAAGTTCCCACTGCAAAGACACGCCGTGTTCACCATGATGCTGGATTCAAAAGAAAAGTGATATTGTGCGCGGAGAGCGATGGAAATCGGGCCGCATCACGTGCGATGGGCGAAAGATGTGTGGTGCACAATCCCGTCTGCCATGGTTATCAAGGCCTTCAAGGAGTGCAGAATTTCTAACGCTATGGACAGCACTGAAGATGAAATGCATTGGGCCACTGACAGCGAGAAGGAGTCGTCCGACAACGATGACGAGTGATGCATACCACGGACGCTGCACCGGGCCATCGTCGTGAGGACGACCTTGCCGGCGAGAGACAGCGCCGTTCATTTCACCGCAAGATTAAAGCATTTGGAAGAAACCTTCGTTGTTCCAAGTGAAAAAAAGTTTCATTTCTGTATTCAACCTACAAAATCTGGTGCGCGTAACAATCGGTCATTGCGTTTTTTTTGTTTTTTTCAGACCTCGAAAAATGGGTGCGCATTACAATTGAGGGCGCGTTAGATTCGAGTAAATACGGTAGCTACCATCGGAAGCAGCATCAGCAGCCCACATCTGCGTGGCGGGATAATGATGCTTATCACATTGTTACTTCAGATTGTGATTTTTCTACCCATGCCATTGGTCGTTGAAACTAAGTAAAGACTACAGCAGAACGAAAAATGTAGAGCCCTTCCACTTTACGTGAAGATGAAGGACTAGAGAAGCTGTCATTTTTATCACATTTAAAACAATGCCTAGAAGACGACCTCAAAAACAACTTCTTGGACGCCGCCTAGAGGACGATGTCTAAAGAAATTCAGTCTTTCCACTCTGATAAAAACCAGCATGGAAAGGCTGCAAAGGTTGCCGCCATCGCTCATAGATGGCAGTAGCGGTCCGGAGTTTTGTGTCTACACTTGTTTGCCTGCGGACACGATACTGGGGAAACTAGCCCTTAACAGCTCCGCTGTAAAAGAAAGTACCATATAGTATACTCGGATATAGGTCAACCCTTTTTTGGTTTTTGAAAAATCAGGTGGGGGGTCGACATAATCAAACCACAGCATTCCACCGCTGAGAAAAACGAAACAATCGCAATAACAAGAACACTTCGTCTTGTTAGGAGTTTAGCCGGCAGTACCTGTAGCATTGTGTCAGTCTGTGCACTCATTTTACAAGTTTCTTTTTTTTTTTTTTGTGCAAATGACCAAGTACAGTACTATTGATATTGATTCACAAAGCAGCCGGGACGCCTTTTTTGCAGGTTGTCAGGGCGCAGTCACGTGACAACAGGGATCACGTGACCGACTATGTGCCGCCTCGCTCCCTTTCTTCTTCACCCCCCCATACCGCCGAAACAGAGCGACCCGACTACCAAAACCAGAAAGGCCAGCACTAAAAAATGGCACATGTAGAAAAAGTTGCACCTAAGAGTGACCGTTTGACTGCGTGTGACTCCCCCGAGACCGTGGGCCCGTTCCTTCCTCACCTGTCCTTCAGCCAAGCGCAGTCCCGGAGTGGCCACGGCCGCGGCGGCCGCCGCTGCCTGGGGCGAGTAGAAGGCCTGCGGGGGCGGGGGCGCCAGGGGCCTCCCCATGGGCGGCGGCGGGGGCACCAGGGGGTACCCCAGGGGAGCGGCGGGGAAGCCCCCATAGGGCTGCCCGCGGTACGGGGGGTAGCCCAGGGGGAGCGGGGCGGGGGCCGCGACCAGCGGGGATGCCCCGCCGCCGGCCTCCGGGTGGGAGTAGTCGGCGTAGGAGTCGTACTCGGCCTCATAGTTGCCCACGTAGTCGTCCACATACTCAGAATCCTCGCGGTGCCGTTGGGACCGGGCCGCCGTCGCCCTCGTCGTTGCGTCCTCCAGTTTTTTCTGCGCCGGATGCAAAAGCTCGCATTGTATCGCGTGCGAGGGCCGTCGCGGCGAAGTCCTAGTCGATTTTGGGGGTTTGACGAAGCCAAACCAAGGAAGGGCATCCGGCATGCCCCAGCCATAGTTCATAAAATCACCTAAAGAAAAAAGTAACGTGCATTACGGCCGTTTCCAAAAGATGGGGAATACGCACGTACGTCGAGGTCCTAGTGGGTGGTCCCCAAAGGCTCATATGGCCGCTGACGGCTTAATATATGCAAAGAAACAGCAAAACATCACCTCTAAGGTCTGCACAGTAGCCAACAGATTTTTCGGACGCCGATAATTCTGAATTCTTTGATATTTCGAACCTAAAAAAAGAATGTTGACCTACCAGATAGAAATGGTGCATATTCACGATTGATGCTTCAAACAGCTTCAAGTCTGAAAGTTTAATCTTGAGGACAAAATTGTCACGAGCGACCAGTGGAAAACATTACCGAGAAGCCACCATTTTAGATTTCATGATAGCTGCACATGGAATGGCTTAGTTCGATAGGGCTACTTGCGTACTGCCAAGTCCTACTGCTTGCTGATGCTATGCTACAACTTTTTTTTTTCTCTCTAGGTGCACGTCATTTATCATTATTACCATTTTGCTTATTTAATTCACCATTCTGCAGTCGTGGACTTGCGCCTTTCATCTAGGCGAATAGTGTTTCCAAACTACGCTGGCGTGGACGTCATGACCCCATCCTTTCTTCCATCGCCGCAAAGCGTCGCTAAGAGGCGCAGAAAGCGCTCGACTGTACCACCAGAAAAGAAAGCAGTGATTCTCGAGCTAATAGAAAGTAGCCGAATGCAAGCGGAAGCATAACCTCAAGCAAGGCACCATTGACAGCTTTTCTAGGTCCGCCTAGACGTAATAATGGCAAGTTTCTTTAATCTGCTAGTTTTTCTGACGTTTCTTACGGTCCCTGCAAAGACTGAGAGATTGGTCGGAGACTGTACATCTATCTTTTCTAACTAACATTGCGGCAAAACACCGGCATCACTCTCTTTCTCATTCTCTCTCTTGGAACGACCGATGTCAGCGCCTCCGATATTTTTCGTTACGATCCTGCCTTTGTTCCCCTGGTACAGACTGAGAACCGAGGATTAATTTGGACCACCCAGGGATCTTTTAACATGCAACCGAAATGCCCGTTACATGACACCTTCAGCGCACTAAGCCTTCGTCAGATTGCAGGCACCTCAGCTCGCATTCGGACCTGCTACCGGAAAACTCCCAAGGCCGATGCGTTGCCTCGGAACCATTGAGGCGGACCGTCGCGGCAAAATACGGAGGCGGCTTGTCGCGGCAAAATAAACAATGCAATTTTCGCGAAGAACTACTTTTTATAAATATCACAACTTGAAAAAATAATTTACATAAAAAACAAAAAGCACATTAACAAATTAATGAACATCTAGCATACCACTCCCTCTCGCAAAACTTGGTGCCTGCAAACTATTCTCATAACCAACACTTAAAAAAATGTGAAGATGTTGACGTCTTAAAAATAAAGTCGCCAACGGGAGAACTGACCAACATTAGTCAGGCCAGCGACAAAGTGCAAAAAGTTACGAAGCGACGTGGCGAAAAAATTGCTGCCTTACCCTGGCGCACGCCGAATTGAAATCGTGACAGAGCGACACCTTCCCCCAGAGGACGACAGACAGCGCAGCGGTGCCCAATCTAGAGGCAGCTAATGTTCTAAACACCAGAGCCAGGGGATAATTTATAATAATCGAGTGATTGACCTTGTGCAGCCTCGCTACATCACCCGAGTCAATTGAGAAGACGGTATTCCCGTCTTTTCACAAAACAGCTATGAAAGGATCAGACACACATTTGCATTTGAGTGCGACTGACAGCATTGCAACTACTCACGATGAGAGAACACACCAGCCTCATCTATCAAGTAACCCTGGAACACTTCTAATAGTTTATTTTTAAAATCGTGTCCGCACCATTCCTTCAGCATGGGTTTGAAGTGATGCCGAAGACGTTATAAGCGACCATTTCTTGACGGCAGTGCGTAGTTTTGATCTCCCAACTACTGTAAAACCAGCGGAAACGCCTCTGCGTCGGCGGCAAGATGGTTCGTTACGGCCTCAGACGCTCTCAAGACTCTGCCGGCACTCCGTCTCACTCACCACGAGCTGCTCCATGAGGGTCTCCCTCTGCTTGGCCTCTGTGGCCATGGCCTTGCCGATCTCGCGCATCTCCGTCAGGATCTGCCGGTTGGTCTCCTGCATCTGGCCAAGGGACCGCACCACGATGTCTTGGTGCAGGGACAGGGAGCGCAGCATCACTTCCGTCAGGTCCGTGCCGTAAGACCCGGCTGCGTCTCGAGCTGCCTGGCGCGTGCGGGACCTCGGCGGCGTGTCGGTTACCGACTGCAACACGGTTGGGAGGGCAGACGGTCGAGCAACGAATTCCCAATTGCAGGCTTCAGCTACACCATAAAGTCCCGTATGAATGCCGACCCTTGGGAGATCCGCCCTTCCCGTATTATGGGGTCGATATCCGTAACATAGAAATTCAGAAACATCGCCCCCCCCCTCACCATTTGTCGACTGCCTACCGCCCCTTTCCACCGGACAAAAAGCGCGAAAAAGAACAACGAACTCGCATGTCACAGGAATCAATACACACGTGTGGATCGCGGACAAAAACGCAAAAACCTCCTGCGAACTCGTTTGTCGCAGATGTCGGTACCGCAGACTGCATGGTTCATGCGATTCTTGTCGGACATTGTGTAATGTCCGAAAGGAAGTGGCTGGTGGTGGGTGATGTTTCGGGATTTTCGTTGTCACGAATATTCAGCCGGAAAAACCTGATGGGCTACTTCTGGGGGGTGGGGGGGGCTTAGCCCTCACAGGATTTTACAGTAGTGCTTATCTCCCCACGCCTGCTCGTCCCAATTCTTTGTGCTACCGTAAAATATTGAGCAAGCAACCATGCAAAAGATGCGAAACCATCACCACGAAAAATGGTTGCTTTTTAGGTGAAAGCAGAGAAGCAGAGGGGCCACATGCTAGGATAGGTTCTTGTTTAATCTGACGGAACATGTAGGAGTGGTATAGGGGGTCTTGCGGAGCCTAAATTTCTCAAAGCAGCCGCACTGCTCTAGTCAGGCCTGCCTTATGCCAGATGTGGCCAAATTACACTAATTGCTTTGTCTAATACAGCTAAAACGTAATTAAAATAAACTCTAAATTCCACAACAACAAAAAAGTAATTCATTTCAATTACAAATGACTTCCAAAGAGTAATAGAATTCCTTCTGAATAACTTTCACTTCCTTAAATTAAAAAGCAATTGATACTTTCTAGAAATATTTACTTTAATTTTATAAATATTTCATCTACATAAGCCACTATTTACAGAGTGCCACACCAGTCTCAAAGTATGGCAAAGCTTGTGGTGAGGACATAGGGGTAAGAAGTGGGGATATAAGGGAGGTTGTTTTTAAAGCAAAAGAAAGAAAATGTTCCATTGTCACAACTGAAGAAAAAAAGAGTTAATGCAAAAGCATTAACTGTTATGGAGCGTGCTGACGTCATCAGCCACACCAAATGGTCGCGATCTGAGGCATTCCAGCTTTGAAACCATGCAGAAAGCCACGCAAATTGGCACTGAAATGAAGCCGCCGCGCGTCAGTTTCAATTAGCACCACCTCATGGTGCTGCGTGTCTGCGAGGCAGTGGCTCCACCACTCCACACCCAAAATCAGCGCGGCGAGGAGCGCGCGCGCGTGCTCGACCGTGAACGGAAGTATGCCGCAAACGAAATAAGGGAGCGGAGGAACGGCATACGTGCTTTCCCATTCACATCTCATAAGAAGTGCTTAGGTGTCCCTCGAGCCTTTTTTTCTCAAACCTCTTATCTTAACCTCAATGCTGCATTTCACAAATCCCCTCTTGAACTGCAGATCCTGTTCTGTGAAGAGAATGCACAGTTTGTTCGTCATATTTGGGAGACCATCCTCACAAAAGCATCATAGCTGTTCTGGGAACGAAGTTTGCCCTTTAAAATTCCTGTTCCCCCCCCCTTTTTTTTAACTTTTTTTTCTTAATAGTATTGTGTTTCTGAGTACTGCTATAATTATTGCACGCTTCCAAAGACCTAAGTGCTTTCTATTCTTCACGGCATTTTTATCAGTTACAAACTGCCCTTTCATTTCACAATTTTTTTTTTCTTTCAATGTCCGAACTGTCTTCTCTTTTGCAAAATGATTGTCAACTTTTTTTTTATGTGCACAAAAATATACATTAGAAAAAGAAAAGTTCAGTAGTTTCAATATTGGCATAAAGTAATTACATTACAAAATTACCTACACAAAAAAATAATTAAACTAATTTTTGTAAAAAAAAAACTTTCAGCCTTTCCACTCTGGTGAAGAAGGAAGACCATCGAAGCTGTTATCTTTACGACGCCTAAGACGATGCCTAGCGGACGATGCCTAGGACAACCTCAAGGACAACGCCTAGAGGGCGACGTCAAGATGACCTCAAGGATGACTTCTAGGACGACCTTGGGGACAACCGCTCTGACAACCTCAATGATGACCTCAAGGACGACTTCTAAGACTACATCGAGGACGACGCCTAGAGGACGTCGTCCTCTAGGCATCTTTGAGGACAACTTCTAGAACGACGCCTTGAGAAAGGCTGGAAAGGTTGCCAGCATATATAAGCGACGGCGGAAACCAGACAACTGGCAAGTCAGTTGTCTAGTTGCCGCCATCGCTCAAAGATGGCGGTAGCTGTCCGGAATTTTGTGTCGACACACCGCTTGTCTGCAGACGTGATACTGGGGAAACTAGCCCCCAACAGCTCCGTTGTAAAAGTAATTAAATTACAGTACTTTTATTACTGCAACCTCTGCAGTTACATCAATGCTCTCATGTTAAGCTTTACCGCTTTGCACTGATGTTTGTGTGCAAAGCTTCTCTGCTTTGCACTGCCTTCTTAGATAGGCAACTGATGCAAAGGAGCCCCTTTAGCCCAAAAGCGGGTTATGAAAGGCACTTCAAATGACCTAATTCTAATTAATAGTAGGGGTAGCCGCTTATTGCGACATGGGCAGATGCTCAATAATTTATGGAAGCTGCATTCCCGATCCTTGCCGAACGCACGGACAGAACTCGCCTCAGAGCCTATGTTTGTCATGTCCGCCTCCGTGCGAGTCTCGAAGAACCTGCGGTCGGGTCGGGGCGTGCTGCTGCTCTGCGTGCTGTTGCGGAACTGGCTGGTCGACAGACCCCGTCGGGGAGAGCCCACCTGCTCTTCCAGGCTGCCGTCTGCACAGAAAAAAATGACCGCATCTCCACGTGGTGAATGATGTTGATTGGGGCAAAGCTCTGGTGGTGCTGACGATACTGATTTTGTTCATAGGCTAGTGCTGATGGTCCTCATTTTTTTTTTATTGCTCATAGGTAGTGCTGAGTTCCGGGTTGCGCTTCGACTTCATTATTACTGCTTTATGGTCGGTGAAATGCAGAGCCAGTGGTTCTCCTAGCGGATCGGCTTGGATCCGCTAGAAGCCGTGGGAATGCATCTCTACCGCTTAAGTGAACGGTCCATGTCAGAAAGAGAATGTGTGGTATGGAACGTGGTTATACAGTCTAAGCTCCTTAGAACAGACCTGGTTACAACAGACATATGGATATAACATACCGATTTGTGAAGTTTGGTTGGTTTTCCTCTACATACTATTGACTCAACTTCATACCTGCATACAACATACTCCTCTCACAACAGACCGAAATCTTGGTTTCGTCCCTGACATCCCCAGCTCTTGAGTTACTACCACATCTCAGAGCCCCCTACTCGTCCCGCAGCCATGGCCGAGTGGTTAAGGTGATGGACTAGAAATCCGTCGGGGTCTCCCCGCACAGGTTCGAATCCTGTCGACTGCGCAAACACTTTGTCTTTTTTTAAGAAGACAGATGGGATGGCAATCGATGTGAGTACGGATGCCGGACAAGGCTAGACCCTAAGGAGCTTCGCCCCTAAAAGGTGGCCCATCTCACAAGACGAGCCAGTATGTTTCTTGTTCTTCAAGTGTGAGCACTATATTAGCAGGCGCGGGCCACCCATTTATGCCAAGCCAAGAGTCAAACATCCCTATGTGCGCGCATTACTGTTTACAAGGTCTGTAGGCTTCCACACTGCTTTCTCGGATCAATGCCGGGACAGGGACAAGGTGTCCTCGGCTGCCATTCGAGACAGATAAAGGTTCCTCGTGGCCCGAAAGGTTGAGAATCCCTGGGTTAGACATGCACCGCCAACTCACTGGAGAGGTTGGCCTCGGCCAGCAGAGCCTCCAGGTCCTCCAGCTGCTGGCGCACCTGCAGGGTGAGGTCCTGGTTGAGGGCCTCCCTCTGGCCACGCTCCAGGGACAGCAGGAGGGAGTTCCTGGCCCGGGTCAGCAGCGCCTGTTGCATGCCGGGGTCCCCAGCCTTCTGCTGGGACAGACGCTTCAGCACCTGCATCCGTGGCGGGGGCATGAGGTAAGTCGGTTCACATCCGTCGCACATTCCAGAAGGAACAACGGAAACCGGTTTACAAAGCGTGTGTCATGCTCTAGGACAGAATGGAAACCGGTTCACATCCGTCACATTCCAGAAGGAACCACCAGAACTGGTTCGCCTTTGTGCCACATTTCAAAAGGAACCGCAGAAATAGGTTCCCTTTAGTGTCACGTTCCTGATGGCAAAACAGGCACCAAATTACCTTTCTGTCATATTCCAGATGGCACGAGAGAAACAGGTTCGCCATTGTGTCACATTGCCGAAAGCGCAACATAAACAGATTCCCCATTTGTCACATTTCAGATGGCACGACGACTAACTGGTTCGCCTTTGTGCCACATTCCAAAAGGAACCACAGAAATAGGTCCCCCTTAGCGTCATGTTCCCGATGGCAAAACAGACACCAAACTACCTTTCTGTCATACGCCAGATGGCACGAGAGAAACCGGTTCACCATTGTGTCACATTACCGAAGGCACAACATAAACAGATCCCCATTTGTCACATTTCAGAAGGCATAATGACCGGTTTACATTCATGACACATTCTAAAAAATCCAATAAAAAAAAAACAAAAAAAAAAAAAAAAAAACAGAGTAACATCTAAATGTTTTCTCAATTCCACTGCTTGAATTCCGTCTTCAGCAGAGACTCGCCAAAGTCGCAAACAGCGCCACGAAACAAACGTCTCCGCGCAAATCGCCGGGAAAACGGCGAAAGGGGGTTCACCAGCGTGGTTGCACACAACCTTCCGAGGCTCACCAGGGCGGTGTAGAGCGCCGCCTCGGCCGAGCGGAGGTCGGCCAGCATCTCGGCGGCCTCCTCGAGGCACTCCGCGTTCATGGCCCGCACGGCCAGGAACATGCAGGCCTCCTCCCGCAGAGCACGCTCCTCGGCCGAGGACAGGGGGGTCGTCAGGGGCGAGGGTCCGAACAGGCGCCGGGAGGGCCCCCGAGGGGACGCAAAGGGCCCACTGCCAGCCTCCAGGAGGGAGAGGGCCAGCTGCCAGTAGAGGGCCGCACGACCCTCCAGGGACAGGCAGACGTCCTCGTCTTGGCACTGCTCCCGCTTGGACGACGACTGCGGCGGCAGAGAGGACCCCAAGTGTGACTGACAGAATAGAGAAGGGCCGATCAAGTACTTGCTTGGTTCAATTTACCTGCCCCTCCTGCATCGGTGCAGAAAAGTGTAGGGAGGTGTAGTTCCGGCCGCATCTCAACGCACACACTGGAAGTACACAGCCTTACAGCTTTCTGCACCGGAGCAGGTAAATCGAACGAAGCTTCTGTAAAAACTTTTACTTCCGTGGGCTCAACCAGTGTACTGCCAATCACGGAGAGTCCTAAAACTGTCTTTGATTGGAATGACTTCCCTCCTCAAAGTGTGGAAAAGCTTGTTACATATGATTGTTTCGCTAGAGCTTTAGACAATTCTGTACAGAAGTAAACATCAATAAAATAATCAATATTTTTGTATAATTTAGTATGTAAAATTTTGCATTATACATTTTTTACAATGTCTGCCCTACAACTGTACATACGACTATGCCTTTGCCCACAAGAGGGGGCCGGCAGTATTTCTGAAATAAATTGAATAATTTACAACTAATCATTACCAAAGTAATCACCCAGTCAGTTAACTTGCTGGGTTTGGGGCCAAAGTCGTCGGCAGGTATTGACGTGGCTGGGTAACCGGGACAGAGGGTCAGTAAACTGAAATCCTCCTGCTGTTTGCTGCCCTACTAGTGTCCCCATAGCTGGACAACACAGTGAGTGTGGTAAATGTACTCACCCTTACAGCGAACGTCCTGGCCAAGTGGACCACAAGCGGCAGGTCCAAGCCATGGTTGCCAATCCCTCGGATCACCTCCAGTCCCCTCTGGAGCACACGCCGGAGTTCGGGCAGCTGCTCCCTGCAGCAAGAGTACGATCAAGGGGAAAGGCGGGTCTCAGTATGGGTGTTCAGGGGGGACACTAGCTCGAGAGTCAACTTCTGAACTACTTAACCGATATAAATGAAATTTGCGAGTGATATTTAACGTCAGATGTGGGTATGCTGTGCAAAGTTTCAGCTCTGTAGGACAACTTTACATACCCGCATAAATGCGTCACTCTTCGTTAAGAAATCTATGATATGCAAATGAAGCTATTAAGCACCATTTTTACTGCTTACATATAAAGTGGGGAATGTGGGACTTCAGGCTATCTAGTTTTTATAACTCAAATATAAATATTTCAGGAAGCAATATTACCTCAAAATATAAGATGCACATCGTCCTGTGTCAATTCTTGAAAATCTTGTTGTTGTTTTTTAGAGGACTTCTAACAACAAAATAAAGTAGATACCTCAATTCCCCAGTAAATTTCAGGACAGAAACATCTTGATTGTGGTATTGGAATACTTTTACCTTCGAACAAGATTCCTTTGTGTGAAATTTGCAGCAAAAAGTGGAACTGAGAAAAATGCATTCAAGCATTGAGCTCCTGCATTTTCACTACCTCACAATGTGATGAAAATATTTGATATCAATGTAACTATTTGGCATATAGTTATCAAATTTAGTGCAAGGGTGTATAATTTGTTTCTAAAGTAAAAAACTAATAAACAATCATACATGAAAAAAAGAAAAAAGAAACAGACAAGGGAAACTGGTCTTTGTTATTGAGACTTTGTTGTGTTCCTTACCTTCCTTTTCTCTGGTATCGGGGTTTTTGCAAGTTTGATGGCAACTGCTGCCCAATTTATTTATACCCTATTGCCAGGGTTCCAGAAATGGAACCCTAGGAACCTAGGTGCTCCCTAGATTTCCTGAGCTCCCAAATTTTCGCGGCCGTTTCTGCCCTGAAGTATGTGTTTTGTGTGTGTGTACCAATGGTGTATGTATAAACCAATGTGTACGTATGTATCATGCAAGAAAATTCATTGTTCCACATGTTCAGTACCTAAGTGCTCCATTTTCACTACAACTGATTTTGCAGCAGAAAGTACAAGGTTGCTAGAAAAGTGACTCACAATGCAGACTTGGCAAAACGAAAACTGCTCCTTTGTCGCAAGCTAATACATACAGTGTTTGCACGATTCTTACTTAAGGGGGGACGCGGGCTTTGAAAACCGGAAAATTGCGAAAAAGTCGATTTTTAGAAAACCTTATTTTTCGGTTGTATATCTCATAAACTACCTTCTCTGTAATTATCAGCACCAAATACAACGGGGAAATATTTAAAAACAATTATTTACGAGGCCTGAATAGCATCCAAGTGACGGTCAAACGTCAAAATCAACCCCAACTTCGCGCGCTCGCCATTTTCGACGCGTTGGGCCGACGGCCGCCATCTTAGTCTTGTTTTGAACGTGAATTCTTTCTCTTTTTTTTGCCAGCTCCCAAAATGGCTTCGGCTGCGTAGTTACGGCGTGGTCGCCGTTCTTCCATGTCGCAATCGCAAGAACGCGATTGGACAGAGCGCGCGCTCGAGGAGCGTGCGGGGGAGCGCGCGACTGCTATTGGCTGGGACGCGATTTCTCCGCGCGCGGAGCGCTCTCCTCCTCCATTTCTCCTGCTGTTGCCGCTTGCGTCGTCTGCTTTTGGTAGTGGTCTGCTTGCACGCGCTCTTGCTTTGTCAGCTCCACTTCGTTTTTCGCCATCTTTACGATCGTTTTCCGAACTTTCTTTGAGTAGTTTCGTGTAGCGTGCCCGTCTGTTTCGTGGTCGCACACGATGCGGGGTTCGAAGTACAAGACGGTGCACGCGTTTGGCGCGCGGAAGCGGTCCATGAAGTTAGTGCGGATGGCGAAGTTGGAAGTTTCTGCACGGCGTGCCGTCAATGATGATCGCGTCAACACTTCCAGTGATGGATTTTCTGTGCCATCGGCTGTCGTCGAGGAAGAACGCATCGTCCCGCTCACGCCTGGAGTACCGAGCATGCCGACCGTTGTGGTTCCTCCCGAGATCGCGGGTCCCAGCGCCCGTCTTCCGCCTTCCGCGACAAGTAGGAGCGCGTCTTCTAGCACCCATCTGCGGACGCATATCCTGACACGTGAGGAGATCGAAGCAGAAGCTAGACATTGTGATATTGCTCAAGCCGAACTTGGAGCTATGCCAGCAAACTGCACTGCATGAAGCGGTGTTGAGGTTCAACGCCGGCTGCTACAAGGCAACTGCAGAAATATCGGTTGCAGCGGGACTTCAGCCGACCCATCTGGCCCTCCAACGAGCTGTCAAGAAAGATGCCCTACGTCTGCATAAGGCCAGCAAACGACATCAAGAGAATTTGGAAAGGCGGAACAAGAAGAAAGTGCGCAAGAACACTTCTGACTATTCTGCAGGGTCATTCTAAAGCTGAAAATCTGCGTGCAACTTTCAAGTGCTGTTTTCTCAGAATGGATTTTTTCACTGTCGTGGCTGCTCGTCCCAGCGATATCTCAGGAACTGATGAATGGATTTTTGTGCTGTCTTTTTTATTCTGTTCTCTAATAACTTTGTGAGGGCATAACAGAGCCCTTTTTTTAGAAAACTGTACTAAAATTTATAATAAAAAAATGAAATTTGGTGAATGTGGGTTTCATTGACTACACAAAATTCAAAGTTGCGTTAAAATTTTTCAACAAAGAAATTTAAAAAAAGGGCTCTGTTATGCCCTGGGGATTGTATCCAGGGGTTATCATAACAAATATTACGCCGCTACTACCTTTTTCAAATTCTCCAGACCTGGGATAAGGAATGCATATGGACGATTTTGATAAATATTGGTAACTTGAGAAATAATATGCACAGCTCCATGAAACTTTGCAGTTACTCTTATGTCTGTGCTATAAACACATTCTGTAAATTTCGTTCAGATATCTCTAGAAATAAGAAATTTCATATTTATTCCCCACCTCCTCCCTTAATGCACACTTTTTTTCGCCGAAATGAGTGCCCAAAATTAGATGCGCATTACAATCAGAACCAAAAACCGAAACCCAAAATAATAATGCAATGCTCAGATAAGGTGGCTAGCCCCATCCCCACTGCGACTGTTTGTTTACATTCGCCATTTTGGTATCCATATACCGCCCATTCTCTCGCATCTACGGACCAATGTCTGCCATTTTAAGGTGGCAAAACAATAGAAATTCCACTAGGAGGCTTTATTAAAACGAAAGGTCATCACACTGGCGGGAAAAAATATTTGAGCAGCACTGCCTGGCCTCGCAATGCCAGCAACCAAACGAGCTCGCAAAGTGCTTGGAAGAAGACCCTCCAGAGGCGACATCCCGCACTCATACAAGCGCAAGTGCGGCACCTAAAAAGCTTTAGACGAAAGTAAGAATTACCTCTGTAGACAGTAAAGAACCATCAACAGACTCTGACAACGGCAACGAGTGCACGGTATTTTTATTTTTGACGAATTTTATAAAGTCTTTTTAATGAGGTGTGTGTTCAACACTCGTTATTTTACCTGCGTGGTAGAATCGGCAGCAATTTAATTCTTCACTGTATGGGGGCAAAATCTTCCTGCACTTTAGAACTGGGGGCACGTAAAAATCGTGCAAACATGGTAGTCCTACGTATACCACATGCGGCAAGGATTTACAAAAAAATAGTTAAAAGCCTGCAATATTAATTCAATTCAATTCAATTCAATGTTTATTTACCATTTTTTACAATGGCGGGGGCTGGGAAAAAAAGCTGCATGGACAGCTTGACGAGTTCAACTCGTCAAGCTGTCCATGCCGTGTTCAGGCAACTGAACACGGCTTTTAAGAAAGTTCTGAATGTTCAGGGCATGTCCTGCGCACAGATCATTTGGCCATAACCGAACAGTCTGATATTTCCGAATATGCAACTCTCAAATAGAACATGAATTGAATAAGAAAAGTATTCTATTCATAATCAAAATCTGGAATATTTGCACACCCCAAAAAAAAAGTTAGTTAGAAAACAAAAATGAAAGAAGTGGTAATCAAGCCCGAGGTGCCTGGAATCTGCAGCACGAGCGTTCGCCCCACGTGCTCCGAGCCAGCAGACTTGGCCACCGTTCCCCCTTTAGATGAGTCAATTGCCAGCAAACAACACTTCGTTCATCATGTCCCTCAGACTATATACTGCATCATACACTTCCCTAAAAAAAACCTCAAGTGTCATGCCCACCCCGCAAACTTCGTTATCAAGCCGTTTTACTGTACTTTTTGACGCATTTAGTCCGTGGACTACGATCCCGAAAATACGGTAAAGCCCCGCCATAATTTTAGCATTCGCACCCCCCCCCCCCCCCCCCCCCCCTTCTACAGACGCTTTGGTCAACGTTCTGCTGCCCGTTGCAATCGCTCTCGGCTCACCCGGCGCTGTTGGTGTGCAGCTGGTGTGCGGCGCTCCACCAGCCAGCCTGCGCCTGGGTGCACAGCGGGACGCCCACGTGAGGCGGCAAGCTCAGGGGCCCCGGGATGCGGCGCCCCTGGGAGAGGGCCTGGGCCGCGCACCACTGCGTTGCCTCCACGAAGGCATCAGTGTCCATCTGGCTGAGGGACTCCGGCGTGCCCCCCCGCTGGTTCAGTGTCTCCCGCTGGAGGCTCGCAAACACCCGCACCTGCCGCCGCAGAGAGGAAATGGATGACGATAAGGATTTCGTGTTCCCAGACTTCATGCCTCGGAAAATTCAGTTTATTTTTCACCAATGGTCCCTGCCATTGGCAACACTAACTATCTCACGACAAATATTGCAAAAAAGCGTTGGCTCGAGAACGGTCAATACTTTGAAGTAACTGAACTCCCGGACAGTTTCTGAGAAGAATGGAAACTTTGGCTGTCCTTTTCAACAATATAAAAACTACACCACTTCCTCTAAGAAGCACAAGTAGTATGGTCCAATGGAAATTTATACAGTGGTATTTATTGTGACCCAGAGGCACCATGACCTATTGTCCTGGAGGAACCTCGACAAGCTGAAAGATATACCCTCGTTCTTCAGCAGTCCGAGATCTCAAAGGAAACTGCAGAGGCCTCTCCTCAGGACCACTGACACTGCACTCTTACAGGCTTCCTTAGAAGAACAGTCTTTCTTGCTTTCAAAGCGATAGCTTTACAGGCGACAAATTTGCAGAGATTTTGACCTCGTCTCCTGTCATTGCCTTTCCGGAAAAACCCTTCTCTCCGGTTTTGGTGTGAGGCAAGGGAAGTCGGGTTTTCCCGTCGGCCGCCCCAGCGTCTCGCCAGCAACGACGTGACGTAACGTAGTCTTTGTTGTTGTCTGCTTAAAAGACTTGTTTTCAAATATTAAGCACATTATGCGAAATCCCACTTTGGCAGTATTCAGTTGCTACCCATAATGTTAGATGATTTAGAAACTTCCACCGCACTTGCCCATTTTTGGTGGGTGAGTGCCGTGCAAGTCCATCCCCCCTTTGTGGTGGTGGCGGTCGTCCGTGGCATTAACAGCGCCAATCACGACGGCTACAAGAATTAACCATATCACGCCTCAGTCTTCTGGTATTCGCGACTCCAGCAAAGCGGACGCCACCAAGCGGGAAAACCGGGAACCCGCCGGTCCAGGTCGCTTCGCGCCTCGGGTGGCTTTCGCGGACATGTGTTGTCGGCGCGGTGGCGAACAATGTAATTTGACGAGGGTCCGAAAGTTTGCATGAGTGTTCATTAGTGTGGTGAAGCCTCAATCGATTGTTTCCTTCCATCGCGTGTTTGAAAGCCCGTTAACTCCACAATAGACAGTCGCATGCTTTCGATTTCCTAGATGGGGAGGAATCACGGAAAAACGTTTCATTTCTTGTCTGTGTCGAATCACATTCAAAGTAACGACTACTTGGTAACTGATAAGTGGTTTCTTTATAAGGATGTAGAACAGTGGACTGAGGACGACAGACGAGGTGTCTCACTGGAGGGAACACCAAAGTTGCAGTCAAGTGAATGGGAAGGTTCGACAGCTGCGTTTCTTGAGTTTGGTTGTGTTTGATTAGCTTCAAGTTTGTGCCACCCACGCCGGTCGGTGCGTTGGCTATTTATCTTGGCTACTTTTCGCCGAAAAAGCCTCTGAACCACACTGAAGGAGTTGGGCTGATTTCGCAATTACTTGATTCAGGAAAACCTGCTCGCTGCATATGATTAGTGAGGGAAATTATCTGCATTCAAAAGGTGGAGGACGCATCTCGCAAAGTTAGAAGCTTTCACGGCATTATGATCTATCGCGCCTCCAATATTTTTATTATACCCCCGTCGGAGCCAGCAGCAATATACGTCCACATTGCTCAGGTTGACCGGCCACAAAAAATACTAAATTTCTCCGTTCAGAATTCGAAGCAAAGTTCAATGCAGAGGGGTTCTGTGTGAACCTCCGATGAAGACTCTCTTCAGTTTGTCTCCGTGCTGCCGGCTAGAACCATTTGGCTAAGTTTAAGTAGTATCTCTCTGTCTGCCAAATATTATTCAGCAGTTCATCTAATAGCTAGTCAACTAAGCTCGAATTTCAACCCGAAGAATATACTAATATCGCTTTAGTGGGACATAGTTCGTAATATAATACATAACCCGCTCGTCAAAATGAATCCTCGATTGCTACTAAAACCAGAATTGAAATAAGAGTATCAGCTGCGTAGTGGGGCGCCAGCGGGTTGAAATGCTCCTCGGCTCAAGAAGCGATCGCTCAATTTTAGTAATTTTCCTGCAGCCTGTGTTGTTGACCACACAAAAGCTTGATTTCGTGGACAGATAAGTCGCATGGTCGAACCATGCGAGTTAGCTGAAAATTGTTCTCGGTGGAACAATTCTGTGGTCATCGCCGCTTTCCTTAGATGATCAAAACTGATTAGAGTCTACTATTACCGTCTCTCCAGAGCCCATAGTTTCAGTTTTGAACAAAATCTCAGAAACAAAAGTTTGACATGAAAAGAGCAAAAAAACAACGGGAAAACAAAACTATGCTTTGCAAGTTTATGTGCACCGGCTACACTTAAAGGGCCCATGAAACGATTTTTGGGTTGGGATAAATCATTTTAGATTGGGATTTTACTAATAGCACATCGTTCAGTGGACCAAAAGAAAAAAGGTAGAAAGTCAAAAGCCTGACTTTCAGTGCGAAAATTTGAAAACAGAGCGGACTATTTCGTACCTCCTCCCCTTCGCAACCTCTCTGCCTTTTCACTGTGATACATCCGCGGTCCCAAAAGCGCGTTATCGGGTCCAAACTGACGTCACACGCAACCGGACCTCACTTATTCCCTTCACCCCTAAGCTGACATTGTGGTGGAAGCTACGCGCTTGCCGGACCAATCAGCCGCCTCCCTTTCATCACCTGCCTTCATTCTCCGCAGCCACATTTGCCACGCTCACGTGGCAAGTGTGGCTGGCCCAACGAGCACGTAGCTTCAACAGCACTGTCAGCTTCGGAATGAACGGGGTGGGGAAAGCAACTTTTGTCTGAATTTTGAGCGACGGGCTAATCTTCTAGGGGGAGAATGGATGTGTCCGGGATTACACAAACGAGAGTGCGAGCAAGAGGGGACTCCCCCTTTTCGTCTTCTTTAACTGTTTGGTGGAATGCGCGATTTATGAGTTGAGGAGGAAAGCGAAACAGGAAAAAGTTGGAAAAGCGTTTCATGACCCCTTTAAAGGGGCACTGACACACCAAAGGTCGTATTCTTTTTTATTGTCTAAAACTATGCAAGTTATAGTCATAGACACACAAAAAAAGACGCATCGCAAAAACAAATTTCTTTGCGCGCGCGCGCGCTTTTTTATTTTTGGCGTGTATATTTCCTGCGCTCACCTCCTTGCTTCTATTGATCGGTGACGTCAAAAATCAGGAAATTTAGAAGCTTTGTAGGCGACATTTCTATAACATTTAATAACGGCAATCGTAAAACATGTTTTTTAACGCAATGACGAACGCACTACGGCCTTTCGTTTTGAAATACCAAAAATCTGATTTCGGTATGATGTCGCTTCCTGTATTTGCATGCTCCCTCGGTAAAACTTGGCGGCGCTCGAGCAGAGGCTTATCGCCGAGTCTGTGAAGAAACCGGTTTTTCCCCGCGCCGGCACCCTTCTATCCCGCCTGCCCACCTCCTCCTCGCTTCGGGTCGCGGTAGCAACAGCGCTTTGCTTCACAGCGTGGAGCGGAGGTCCGAAAGAAAGTTGAGTTGCAGGAGACCGCAGAATTTGACTCACTGCACTGGCACGGATCGCGCAAGAACTTCAAATTCGGCATTTGGAAATTGTTTTTTTAATTCACAAATACTGAATTCCCAAGTTTCGAATTTTGAGGGTAATGTCCCGGCATCATTTTCAATCGTTTTGGATAATAAAATAAAATATGATTTTGATGCGTCAGTGCCCCTTTAACCATCTCAGTTCAGATACCTATAAAATTTGGCTTTAAACAAAAGGAAATCTGTTAAATTGAATGCGCCACCCGTTCAGGCAGCCCGGCCAAGCCGACGCGACCTGGACTCAGCCGCCATGTTTGTTTGGTGGTGGCGCCCCCTATAGGTCGCTGGAGTCGCGAATATGACGGCACCAGTTAATTTGCATTGCACAAACATGCTAACGCTATCGCTTCTTCGCGCATTGTGGGCAATAATTTCAACATTTTCTATTTTACCGTCGTGACTTCAGAATCTGAAACTTTCGGAGAAATCTGAATTTATAAAACTTTAACAGGCAGAACTTTTTCGGATTTATCCAGAAACACAAAACTCTACCCGTGAAAAAGCCAAGGACTGAGACAGGTGCCTTGAGCAATGGAACAAGTTGTTGCGAAATGTTCCTGAGCACCAGAACAAGTTGGACCCGAGTGTTCAAAATACCATACTATTTAGAGGCCAGCGTCAAGGTGACTTCAAAATGGAAGCTATATTGTGAGCTTCCCATTGGCTGGAGGGAGTGCAGAGCAGAGAGACACCCACCACGTAACTCTCCTCCATGCCCTCGTTTTCCGTCCTCGGCACACTGAGCAGAGGCTTACCAAATGTGTGAACCAGTTCATACTTTGCGTAAGAATAGGGGGTCGTACATCAGCACCCTCGAATGCACGCATTGCTGCAGCATGCCATATTTACTCTATCCTAGCCACAACCACATGTGTAACGTGAGGGGCAACTTCGCGTATTGCCCTGCGGGAAGAAATAAAACCACGAATATAATGCAAGGCTGACTGAGGAATGAAAGCCGTTAAAGTTAAAAAAAGCAACGCACTAGAAGTTGAGTTACCCTAAAGTCAACTATGGAGGTTAACGCCAAGAGAATCGCACAAACAGCTGGCTTTGATAAATTCAGATCTGGATTCCATGGGCTTCATTTTGAGTACCAAGAGGTATGAATGCTGCCAGCGCAAGACCAGATAACCACAGAAACCCGAAAGGTCGCAGTCATTTCAAAATGGCGGCACCATTGAGGGTTACTTTGTGGTCGTTCGACTACCATGTGAGGGTCAAGTTTTTGGCACAAACTTTTCAAAGAAAGTTTGCGTTACGCTCGAGCAAATACGGCACCCACCTGAAAGTGTGACTCAGGTGTCCGAGCCTTCTTGTCGGGAGCTCCGTTGTGCTGCAGCGCCAACCAGACCAGGTGGTTTAAGGAGTCTGGATACAGCAGCTGAGACTCTGCACCCACCAAGAGTTCATGCACGTATGTAAGAGGTTTTTACTGAGCTTTAGATGCACAATATTTACAGAGCCATCTCTCGGCATTTCTGTGCACATGAGATGCAGCCTCGATGGAGACCTCAACATCCCGGTGCTAACGCCGTTTCACCAGCACTTCAGGAAGTTCATCACGACATCATCACATGAACACCAATACAACATCAAGGTGTTCAAGTCGTTAGTGTGACAGTCATTACGCAACACCGTGACGTCAGGTGATGCCACGAACGTGGCATTGCGACTCCACGTCAGATTATGATGTTACGCGATGCAAGATTACATGACCACATTCTTTCCTAATCGTCACGTCATAAGACATCCTAATGCCGTGCGACCAGACGTCAAATGACGTCACAAAGGACCTATAAATGCCTTTGGGATTAACCAAAGAAACGGGCAGTGTAAAAAAAACAAGAAAAAAGACAGTATACTACACAAATAAAACATACAGTAAAGTCAACTATAAATTATCACCTTACTGACCCATTACTCATCCAGTATACTACTAGAAGTGTCAATGTTTCCCCGATGCTTGCTCCCCAACGCAGTTTTTCGTTTAATCTAACCGAAAGCCAAACCTTCAGAAAAAGCACAAAAAAGAGCTGTAGAGTCAAATAGTGACAACAGGGACAGGGAGTGGGTCCACGGGCGTCTTCCCACCTTTGTCGTAGTCTCGTAGTGCTGAAGGGGTGGGAAACTCGAGGCTGCTTTTGAGGAACGCGGCGTCGTTCAGGAACCAAGAGACAGAGGGTCCCCGCTCCCCTCCTAAAAGGCTCTGGAAGATCCGCTCTCGGACCTAAAAGGGATAGAGAGAGGCCGAACGAATGGGACCAACCCCAGAAGGAAGAAAACAGATAATTGCAAACGTAACAGCCTTGAACGAGAAACTCTCCTTGAGATGAAGTGCTCTTTCGAGAGGAATGCAGAAGCCATAGTTAAAGGCAACTGAAAGAGACCACGTGTCCTCAGTTCCCGACTGAAACAAGGACTAAGCATACCGGCTGGCAGCTGAAACTTTCTGCTTGTTATGGCGAATTCCAGTGGCCGTTTTGGAGCGAGCCGGGATCAGTTGATCAGATCCGGACTGGAGCACACGATCCGAACGGGGTCGCGCCGCCTATGGATCCCCAGTGGAACGTGACCACTGCTCCGGGATCGGCAGTTGCCTTCCCGTCATTCAACTGCCCGGGAATCCCCTTTCCGCGGCCGCCGCGGTCATTTCGAAGATGTTTTCGCAATCGCGGCGCTAACACCTGTTCGACGCACGAGCGGCAGGAATAGCTCAGGCGCTTCTAGCAAAAATTGCCGGAATGCCCGTAGCGCGGCAAATACCTTCTCTTTTCCTTCCTGGAAAACAAACCGGCTGTCGAGCCAAGGGGTAAGCAAGCGGCCATTACAAATCCTTCTGAAGTCGAGACAATCTAGGAGCCCAGCCAACGACGTGCTTCTTGTTCTTCTGAGGCGAGATCAGGCGAGATGCCCCACGAGAAAGGAAGTCACGTGTGTGCGCGGGGGCTGGCCCGGCTGGCTTCCGGTTGAATCCCCTGAAATCGTCGGAGCGAATTTTCTCGGATCCAAATCGAGATCTGGAGCGGGAGCTACTCCAAAACGACCAGTGAAACATGTCAGTCTCGATCCCGATCGCCCAGTGAAATAGGCCCACTCCAGAAAAGTCGATCCCGGCGCGCTCTAAAACGACCAGTGGAATTCGCCATCAGAGAGGTATCATATGATTGCTGCCTTAAATCAGAGCTGCAATAAGAACATACAGTAGTGAGCAAAAAGATATGATATTTCGTTTCTTTTACAGAAGTATTGCTCGACGTCTAGTTGATAAATTCATATTTAAGTAAGCATCAGCTTCTACTCTATAAATATGTTAATGTAGTGTTCCATTACAATTTTTATATCTGTATCACAGTTCGAAGAAAAGTCACCCACGTAAAACCGAAATATCATATCTTTTTGTTCACTACTGTACATACAAAACAGCTAGATAAAACAAGTTTACTGGCACAGTTTTCATATTCGGTATTTTCCCTTTATAAAGCATTATTGGCACAGTTTTCACATTTAGTACTTTCCCTTCCTAGAGCGCTCCTTGAGGGCCCAACGGCATGACAGCACAGAGAAACTCACCTGTACAGTGCACACATCCCCTTTTATCCTGGCGAGCCAGCGAGACTTGTCCTCCTCACACAAGGTTGTCACTAGGTGGCCTGAAGACGGATTTGAATCGTCAGACACCTGGTAGACAGCCAACAGCACAAAACCGACACCACCAAGTGGCAGCCCTAGTAGAGCTTTTATAGACATTTTAATTAGGCAAGACCGAAAAACAAAATGCAAGACAGAGGGACACTTTCCCACACTACTAAGGCAAAAGGAGTGGCAAACACAAAATGTACCACTTTTTGCTTTGGAGTGATGCTGGCAGAGATGAAGTTAAAGCACATTTCGTACCTCAACGGCACGAAAATTGTGCGTAGCGTCTCCGAAAGAAAGACATTTAAAAAGTTAGTGTTTTAGAGGGAGTGGAACACAAAGCTTATGTTTCTTGCGGTTGCAAGCCCCAGCCCTGACTCTGCCATTTTGCGTTTCCCAGTAAAGGCAGTTGTTTTAGACTTATCTTTACACTGCCGGTGCCAAAGATGCCAGCATTATCAATTGCGAACACTACGAGCTGCAACAGGGCGTGCTTCTTTGGCGCACCTGCCAGTCTTTGACGAAACTTTGGTGCAAACTAGGGCAGGAATCTGAAGTTTAAACTCCATTATTGAATCATATGTGACAAACCGAGATAATGAAGCCTGCAGAGATCACAAATGCAAAAAAGGTTCTCACATTGCTTACAGAGGTAGCAGTAATGGTGCGGATCTGGAGGAAGCAATCCTTCAATCAAGGCAGACTGCTCACTCCCCCCCCCCCCCCAAGAACTATGTTGCCTGGAACGTGCCTCCAACTGGTGTTTAACGTCCTATTAACCCCTTCTGAAATTTCGGAATGATGCGGCCGCCTACAGATGGTCAAGCACTGTGAGCACGCATTGGACACGGGTGCTATGTCAGCATTCAGAGTGTACACGGATCAAAAAGCATTCCACACGAGTGCTGAGTCAGTGCTCGGCGCAAACTCTGAACCAATCGCGGGTTTCACGCCGGAAGCGGTGAGACCGACTAACGGTGGCTGCACATAATCTACAGTCGCCGACTGATTTTTTGGACTCTGATAACTCGGACCTAAAGAAGGAACCGTGACTTACGCCATAGACATAGTGTATGTTCATGACCAATGTTTTAGACAGCTTAAAGTTTGAAAGTTTGATCATTCTGACAAAATTGTCGCGAGCGATCAGCGGGAAATACCACCGAGAAGTGGCCATTTTCAATTCTATGTTGGCTGCAAATGGATTGGCTTGGTTTGACAGTGCGACTTGAGTACTCCCGAGTCCTACTGCTAGGTGACGCTATGCTAGCCCTTTTTTTTCCATTTAGTTGCACGTCACCATCGTTATTAGGGGCGAAGCTCCTTAGGGTCTAGCCTTGTCCGTCTGTCCGGCCGGCGTCCATGCTCACATAAAAAGAAAAAATGTTTCCACAGTTGGCAGGATTCGAACCTGTGCGGGGAGACCCCAATGGCTTTCTAGTTTATCGCCTTACCCACACTCAGCCACGACTGCGGAATGAGTAGGGGGCTCCGAGATGTGGTAGTAACTCAAGAGCTGGGGATGTCATGGATGAAACGTTGCATGTAGCCGCTCAATGTCTATACAGGAGAGGGCACTGCGGTCAAATGCGTATATAATCGCGTTAAACTTTGCATGTGTTGGCTCAACGTTTATAGATGAGAGGGCGCTGCGGTCAAATGCATATATAACCACATTCCATACCACACATTCTCTTTCTGACATGGACCGTTGACTTAAGGGGGGACGCGGGCTTTGAAAACCGGAAAATCGCGAAAAAGTCGATTTTTAGAAAACCTTATTTTTCGGTTGTATATCTCATAAACTACCTTCTCTGTAATTATCAGCACCAAATACAACGGGGAAATATTTAAAAACAATTATTTACGAGGCCTGAATAACATCCAAGTGACGGTCAAACGTCAAAACCAACCCCAACTTCGCGCGCTCGCCATTTTCGACGCGTTGGGCCAACGGCCGCCATCTTAGTCTTGTTTTGAACGTGAATTCTTTCTCTTTTTTTTGCCAGCTCCCAAAATGGCGTCGGCCGCATGGTTACGGCGTGGTCGCCGTTCTTCCATGTCGCAATCATAAGAACGCGATTGGACAGAGCGCGCGAGTGCTATTGGCTGGGACGCGATTTCTCCGCGCGCGGAGCGCTCTCCTCCTCCGTTTCTCCTGCTGTTGCCGCTTGCGTCGTCTGCTTTTGGTAGTGGTCTGCTTGCACGCGCTCTTGCTTTGTCAGCTCCACTTCGTTTTTCGCCTTTACGATCGTTTTCCGAACTTTCTTTGAGTAGTTTCGTGTAGCGTGCCCGTCTGTTTCGTGGTCGAACACGATGCGGGGTTCGAAGTACAAGACGGTGCACGCGTTTGGCGCGCGGAAGCGGTCCATGAAGTTAGTGCGGATGGCGAAGTTGGAAGTTTCTGAACGGCGTGCCGTCAATGGTGATCGCGTCAACACTTCCAGTGATGGATTTTCTGTGCCATCGGCTGTCGTCGAGGAAGAACGCATCGCCCCGCTCACGCCTGGAGTACCGAGCATGCCGACCGTTGTGGTTCCTCCCGAGATCGCGGGTCCCAGCGCCCGTCTTCCGCCTGCCGCGACAAGTAGGAGCGCGTCTTCTAGCACCCATCTGCGGATGCATTTCCTGACACGTGAGGGGATCGAAGCAGAAGCTAGACATTGTGACATTGCTCAAGCCGAACTTGGAGCTATGCCAGCAAACTGCACTGCATGAAGCAATGTTGAGGTTCAACGCCAGCTGCTACAAGGCAACTGCAGAAATACCGGTTGCAGTGGGACTTCAGCCGACCCATCTAGCCCTCCAACGAGCTGCCGAGAAAGATGCCCTACGTCTGCATAAGGCCAGCAAACGACATCAAGAGAATTTGGAGAGGCGGAACAAGAACAAAGTGCGCAAGAACACTTCTGACTATTCTGCAAGGTCATTCTAAAGCTGAAAATCTGCGTGCAACTTTCAAGTGCTGTTTTCTCAGAATGGATTTTTTCACTGTCGTGGCTGCTCGTCCCAGCGATATCTCAGGAACTGATGAATGGATTTTTGTGCTGTCTTTTTTATTCTGTTCTCTAATAACTTTGTGAGGGCATAACAGAGCCCTTTTTTTTAGAAAACTGTACTAAAAATTTATAATAAAAAAATGAAATTTGGTGAATGTGGGTTTCATTGACTACACAAAATTCAAAGTTGCATTAAAATTTTTCAACAAAGAAATTAAAAAAAAGGGCTCTGTTTTGCCCTGGGGATTGTATCCAGGGGTTATCATAACAAATATTACGCCGCTACTACCTTTTTCAAATTCTCCAGACCTGAGATAAGGAATGCATATGGACGATTTTGATAAATATTTGTAACTTGAGAAATAATATGCACAGCTCCATGAAACTTTGCAGTTACTCTTATGTCTGTGCTATAAACACATTCTGTAAATGTCGTTCAGATATCTCTAGAAATAAGAAATTTCATATTTATTCCCCACCTCCTCCCTTAAGCAGTGGAGATGCGTTCCCATTCCACGGCTTCTAGCAGATCCAAGCTGATCCGGTAGAAGAGCCACTGGCTCTGCATCTCACCGACCATAAAGGAGTAATAATGAAGTCGAAACGCAACCCGGAACTCAGCACTACCTATGAGCAATAAAAAAAATTAGCACCATCAGCACTACCTATGAACAATAAAATCAGTATTATCAGCACCACCCCAATCAACATCATCCAGCACGTGAAGAAGCGGTCATTTTTTCAATTTGCTTTGTTTCCATCCATGCCTTCGCGCCTCCGCCTCACTTTCGCGTCGCCATTTTGTACTTGTAGATTTGCATCTTTAATCTCGTTTCTCGCATCAGCAGAAAATGAGACTCCGACGAGAGTACCGCCCGCAGCCATTGACAACGGACATTACGAACAGATTAACCTTGCTGTTGAATGTGTACGACGAGAACACGGCGCTTGCGCGAATGCAAGCAGACATCATCGCGAGCAGGCGTAACATGAAGCAAGCCACTATTGACGGCTTTTTAAAGCCTGCTTAGGAGTAATAAAGGCAAGTTTTTTCATTTACCGGATTTTCGGACTGCTTGATTATTCGGACCATTTCGGGGGTTCTCTCCGAGTCCGAATAATCGGTCGGCACCTGTATGCATCATTTCACAATTTCGGAAAGGGTCTATTCCACCCATGTGTCAAAAGTCACGATACTATCGATTGGACATAGAAGCTCTGGAAAAAAAGCAAAGAATGCGAGTGTCGCCATGAACTGCCAAGCTGGAGACTGACCTGCAGCAAAACAAATGTCTACAGCTTTTCTTTTTTTGGACGCAGCAAACGTTAGTTGGAGGCACGTTCCAGACATTGTGCCGGAACGCCGTCGAGGACAACCGGGGTTCCGCAGACTGGTCTGGGAACTGCGAGCGGTTTTGGGAGGCACTCACCGGACACAGACATGCGATGCAGTGCCCTGAGGAAGACCACCCTGAGCGTCTCCTGCTGGCCCTGCTCCATCTGGAGGAACCAACCCCCCTGATGCAGGCTGTCGGGTGGCCTGTGGGCGTACGACGTGAGCAGCAGGGCAGACGCCCACTGGCTCGCCTCCTGCCAGTTGCCGCCCTCCTGCGAGGACACAAGTTGAGGTGAGAGGGAGAAGACTCTTCGAACCCTGTTGTCATTGACAGGCCAAGAACAGCACGGCGCGCCTTTTGAATCCCCGGCCTCCAGCAAGGGCTCGCTACCTTCCGCCGTGCACTTGGCTGTCCATGCACGCATCTTTCAAAGATGGCAAGCTAGCATTTTAGGTGGGGTTGCCTCCAACTACGACAGGTGGCGCGAAATGCTGTCCCCCTACAGCCGCTTGTTTCGGTGCAGTTTGGCACGATAACTGTCAATATCGACAATTTATATCAGAATGGCGTATGAATTGAGTGTTAGTGCAAAATGGTGCAGGAGTAAAATCACTGCCCCACGGTCGTTCCGAACCCATCAATCGCTATTTGCAACTCCAAACGAAGCAACATCCTTGGGGTAAACGAACTAAGAATAGAAATGCAGTACGACAAGTACAAGAACTAAGAATAAAAATGCAGTACCAGTAAACAAACTAAGAATAAAAATGCAGTACGAGAGATGGCAAGACATCCGATGCTTCAAACAGAGGAACGGATATCAGAATGCATGTGGTTGGAGTTTCCACTAGCACACGACGGAGGCAAAAAGCCAGTGGAATGCTGACGTGGTCAAAGTTCTGCAAGAGGCCTAAGCATGGCGACAGATTTCTCAAATTGCATCGAGAGTGCAGTGTTCTACGCTCGCATTGTTTGCAGGGGAATGCTAGCAGTTCACGGCAGTCTTACACTAAAACAGAAAGCAGTGCAACTATGCAAGACCCACCTTCCAGGTTCTCTTGAGCAACAAACTGGCCATGTGCAGATACAGCTGTGCAGAGGCCTGCTGCAGTGCGAAGGCCCATGCACCGGTCCGTGTCCACCTTTGTTGGTGTGCCTTCTCCAGCAGACAGTCCAGCCTGACAGATGTTTCAAGAGCAAACTTTTTACAGCCAGCCTGCTCAAAGTGCATCAACATCAACAATAAAAAAAAGGCACTACCTGCCCATGTTTATTTGCGGGTACAAGGAAGGTTGGCACAAGACGGGGGAAGGGTTGTGTGTATGTTTATATAGCCTAAAACTTGTTCTGCCTCAGCGGGCGACAAGTCTCCCAGCTGTAGATGAGAAATTTAGCCAGTGCAGTCTAACCGCTAGCCTGGGGTCTTTTTAATGTGCACCACGCAGTAGTGACACACGACCGCACGCCGGCACGATGCTCATCCAGATCGAAACGGGCAGGGGTGGGGATTGAGCCCAGGATCCCTGGGTTCTGCGCGAGCTTTCGCTCCACGTGCTCTGAGCTAGTGTATGCTAGACCACTCGGCCACCGATCCCCCCCTGGCACAAGACGGCAAGACACACAGCTGACACTTAATTCATGCCGAGTGTAAGGCATTGAAAGCCCCTTAAAAAGTTTCTCGAGCATGCACTGTGCCATCCAAGAGCAATGACAAAACTGTGCTAGCATAGAAATGCATGGTCTCGTGTTGTGTGCACAGATGCCTCAATAAAGGGGGCTGGCTAGAACCTAGCTGCACACTATGTTGCAAGAGACGCCGCAGAAGAAAACGCCACACGAAAATCCCCCTTAACTTCGGTCACTCCCCGAAACAGCACGCAGTCGCTCATGCCCAATTCGCTCGAATCAACAAGAGAACACACAAGCAAGGTATTGCCATATAAACATACAATGCTAAGACAAAAAAAAAAAAAAAAAGCAATAGAAAGGACAACATGAAGATATCCTTTCTTTCACTATTCTTCTATTCCTGTCACTTAACAGCATGCTCCAAGTCATCTAGAACACTCAAGAAGCCCAGCAAGTGGGAGCAGTGGCGGGAAAACTCACGCTCTGACGGCTGCGATAGCCCCCTCTTCCGTCCGATTCGAGGCGCCATCAGCCGTGGAAGATCCCGATGTTGACGCAGATGAACTGGACATGGACAGCTCTGCCAGCTGATCCAGGGTCAGCAGATACTTGGTCAGAAAGTGGTGGTCCACAGCAGCTGTCCCCTGCTCCTGGTAGGCCTGCTGACAGCCACAAGCCAATGTTACAGCAATCTGTCAGCCCTTTGAGCACCATGGTAATATGTGTGTGTCTGTCCCCTGCACATGTCCCAGGATGCCCGACTGCGCCCATAGATCCTAAATGCTTGCTTTAATTGTCACACCAGAAAAGATGTCCTCATGTATTAATGTACCGCCATCTATACAGTTGTCTGCATAATTCAATGTGCTACAATCTATTGGTACAATAGAAATGTTAATTGACCCAGTTCATTTGTACACTGCAGAGGAGCACCACAGAAATGAGAATGAAAACAAGAGCTATGCAAAGCAGATTAGATGCAACCTAGATGTAAGCCTGACCCCAGGCACATAGCCAGGGGGGTGGCCCATGGGGCCCGGCCCCCCCCCCCCCCCCAAATCTTTCATTTTGCTGGGGCCTCCTCTCCCCCCTCCTCCTCATACAATATTATGTCATAAGCCGCCGCCGCCGCCCCGCCCCCGCGCCCCCCCCCCCCCCCCCTTGAAACAAAATCCTGGCTACGTGCCTGGCTGACCTGCCATAGCATGGCAACCTGGTTCATGCTGTAGATGAGAATTTTGTCAGTGCAGTAAAACAGCTAATCCGAGATTTTTTGTGATGTGCGCCATGCAGTGCTGGCACAGAAACACACAGGGATACAGATTATTATAGGCAGGAATGGGGACTCGACCCAGGGTCCAACCCCCTCTGAGAACCAGAGGCATTTTCTATGAGACAATTGTCATAACGAGTGACACACCGGGAACGTTGCACATGTTAAAGCTTATATAAACTTTATATAGACAATTTAAGCCCTGGCGGGGCTTGATTCAAGTTGGTGGGGTGGCAGTAAGATACTATTGGGGAGGAGATCGCGGAGTGGCACTCCCTAGCGGCCATCTCTGGAACTAACGCTATGTGGCAAATTAATTCATTTGCTACAGCGTGCCTGCCAAGTTCGGAGAAACCAAATCCGGGATAATTTCTAGGCCGGGAGGAGGGGGAGGGGGGGGGTTAAAAGGAAATATTGAAAACAAATGCATATGAAGACGACTTCATTACATTCATACCATATTTACTCGAGTAATAGCCGCACTGTTTATGAAGAAAACCTGAGGGTTCGCTTTTCCGCAGAGCATGCACCGCGATTGGCAGCATGATTCTAGCAGTTTACAGGACAGAGATAATGTCTTGGTGCAAAGATACCAACTGTGAAGATTGCATTTGTATGGAGAATCGTGTTCTCGATCTAGTTATTCGCTATGTTATTTATGCGCAACGCAATGATTGGCTATATATGTACTCTGCGGAAAAGTAGACGCAAGGGCCTCATTTATAAATGGTGCGGCTATTACTCGAGTAAATACGGTATGGCACTGCTCATGGTAGCAAGAAACAGCTGGGCCTCACTGTCATTGCAGCCATTTGTTGCTTCGGCAAAAACTCTATTTTAAGTGCGGGGAGGGATGGGGGATTTGTGTTTTTCGGGAAATTTTTTTGTCAACCGTACAACTGTACAAATTGGTCAAAATTCAGGAGACCCCCAGGCAATGGGGAGACTTGGCAGGTATGCTGTAGTTAACTCCAAAGTCGCAAAGGTTCAGATATGGCGAAGCATTGTTGAATCGCATTCGTAATACTGACAAAATATACTTTAGTTCTATCGAAGTTAATCGGGTTTTGGCAAGTGGAGGCGCGGATGACACAAAACACTCACCTCAAAGACGTCTGCGAGGCAGTGCAGCCAGTCGAGGGAGCGGGAGGCCCTAAGCCGGAAGTCTGGCTGTTCCTCGGCTTGCAAGGCGTGCTTGTGGGCCTCCTGGACACGCCCAGAGTTGAGCAGCAGCCGCAGCAGCTTCACCCGCAGCGCCACGTCGTTGGGCCTCGTCAGCTGGCAGCGACAGAAGAGGTAATGAAATATATTAGTAGTTTCCCCCTAATGAAACAAGGAGTTTACAAAGCACCTTAAAGTCCTACTTACCTGCCACTTTTTCTTTTCAATTCAATCCCAGTTTGACAATTTTTCAATATAAATTTGTGTGCGTGCGATACAAGCAAGCGGGGACATCCTTTCGAGCAACGAAACTAGATCCTTTTGGTAAAATTTAGCAACTGCAAACCGAGCTCCCGTAACAGCACTTTTGTGTGAACTGTGGCTTATCTTTAGTCCCCCAAGATCGCACGAAGATGCCTCTCTCTTTCCTAATGGCACCCTTTGCTTCCTCGAATTTCCTGCCAAGGAATGCTCAAACCAAGTCTCTGACAGGGACGCAGTTCTTTCGAAAGTGATCGATTCTGACACATTCTGAGAAGATAAAAATTTTCTCCCAAGGCCACAAGGTTATTTTACACAAACCAGCATGTGAAGGCACTAACCTTAGTCACTACGTGTGGCACCAATTTGGATTAGCCCTTCAGCATCCTAGCCAATCAATCACCTCACACTGTAACAAAGCCTAAATTGATGAGAATGTTGCAGCAAAGTCATCCATGTCAAACCTCTGTGATTCAACAGCAATGAAAAACAGGGACTGTCACTCACCAGCTCCGAGGTGATCAGGTTTTCGAGATCCTTTGTGTTAGTGCCGCCTCCTGCCTTGGCCATTCCCTCCTGAGGCATCGCGAGAAAACACAAAATGAAGGTGGTCACCGAAGAATTAATTACAGAGCATTCGTAGGAATTTGTGCAAGAGTACACCTCACAACTGACATTAAATGGTCTTTAAAAACTGGTGGTTCGACAGCTTGCGCGATTAATCCTAAACAATCAGCACCTCCGAGAATCAAGCTTGGTGAATGCAAACAAACCTTGAGCTTGAAAATCACCGCATCACCCGGGAACAGGTTCTGTGCTCGTTCAAGCCAGTACTGCAGGCAAAATAACGAGAGTTTGGAGATAGTTACTTACGAATGCTGCTGTCTCAACCTCATTAACTTGAGAGGAACTAAAAAAATCTGCGTAAAAAGCGCTGAAACTTGCCTACATACCACCCTTTTGACGCTATAAAAGATTCCATTATGCTGGAGGTTTTGTTGCAAATAATGTTAGACTCTGTACCCAGTCAACACTACTCACCATAAGGCTAACAAAAAGGCCACGACACGAATAAATCAATGCACGAAAACAACGCCCACATGAAGGCAAACAAATATTTAAAAATGAATATTCTCATTTAATTATTATGCTTTAAGCAACAGTGCAAGCATTCCCACGACAAAAGAGCCGCAATCAAATACAAAACGTCTACTGTACCTTTGCTGTCTCGGGATCCACGGGAAGGTTACAGTAGATGTCGCAAACTGCGAAGGCAAAAGGCAGGTATATACCATAAAACCGGAAAAAACACAACTAAAACATTTCCTTTCGTTGAACCACCGTAAACAAGCAACATTCTACTGACACTTACTTTTGAGGACGACATCCTTTTGATTCTCTTCCAAAGTCAAAGACCTGGAGGGAAAAAGAAAAAGGTTGTATTTTCCTATACATTTTTAAAGAGGCCTTTAAAAACATCATACAACCCATCTCCAAGCAACAAGTTGAGGCTGGTTCATACATCTGCATCAGAGTGTGACTGGATGCGTTGCATTGGTTTGCGACTGCTTCCGACAAGGACACACTGGCACAACCTACCCGGGTAAGCCCTGGAACAATTCCAATCTGCACACATTTTCCAAATGTTCATGCATAATTTTTTTTGTTATGGGCTTGAAATAATCCTGAAAGTATGAAAGTATTATAAGCGGCCATTTCTCAAAAGGTGGTGCGTAGATTTGATCCTCGAAAATGCCGCAAAACCTTCACTACTTATGCGCACATCAGACATATTCCATGCCTATTTGATGAACAGCACCAATTCTGATCTCATCGTAAGCAGTCGCAAACCATTGCAATGCACTCGACCACACTGATACGCAAACGTGTGAACCAGGTTTTAGGACCTGCAGCTGCGCCATCCTGATGGCACTACACCGACGTGTTTTAGAAACCCACAAAGATAAGATATTGGAGACCACATTCAGAAAAAAATCTTGCGCCAGACAACCTGACCGCAACAAATGGTGTAACATCACTCACCTCTTGTACGACTGCAAAGCTTGCTCCTGGTTACCAGTCGCTTCATAGATCTGTCCCATGAGTTTATGGGCAGCTGAATGCTTTTCATTAACCGACAGGTAGGCTGCCAGATGCCTGCAAAGATAATCAGTCTGAGAGCCCATTCTTAACTAGACTGTTCGGGCTGTCCAGCAGTTCTAACTCCACTCGACAGCTGAAAATATATTTTACGAATGTGAAAACAAACAGACCTTCTTGCCGAGTCGTAATCTTTGACAGAATAGTAGAGCCTTGCGAAGTTGAAGCCTCGCATGTGCTTCTGGAACATCATGCAAACAAAACAAAACAAAACAAGTATTTAATTGGGGTTTTTGAGACACGTGCGTTGGTTCTGAGAGGTTTGGGTCATTGTGGACCGTGAAAACGAAGACAGCTCAGCAAACATTCATAGTTTCGATATAACAATGGAAGTCTTGTCGTGTCACATGATCTACCGATTACGAGGACCTGCCTATATTTAGCTCGCGACAAGCGTGTGTTAGTCATGCGTCTGTTTTTGAATTGACGCATTCATTATTCAAAGCAAGCTTTGAGATTCTAGTTTTGATGACATTGCGGATTGAAACGATTGAGGGTCCTATGAAGCGAAAACACTTAAAACTCACCATAACCCAAGTCGGGCGTCCAGTAGTACACATAGCAACACTCAAATTCACCAAAAAGCCCGTTCTAAAGCAAGGAAAGTTTTAGACAGCTTTTTAAAATTCAAATTCTAAATAAAGGTGACTTAGGCCTAACGTCGGCAAACCGCCAAAAACGTAAAGGGTGTACGAAAGTCGAGCCGGACAATAGAAAAGGCATATCCAACTCCAAGATAAAAGATCAACCAAGTTTCCAGGAACGGAGCGCACGAATGATACGCGTAAAAGACGCAGTGTCAATACGCCGGATTTCTGCACGCACGCGTGCTCACCTCCTTCTCATCCTTGATTCTCGCCAAGATGCCGGAGACATGCTTGTCAACATCCTTTTTAGTACGGAGCATCTTGGCCGTCCTGAGACGCAATTCCGTACCACTTCCCTTGCATAGATTTCACTACAAATTAAAGCACCAACAGTGAGCAAAAGTGCTTTCTTCTTTTCGCAATGGCACACACACCACGTTTTCACGCCGGCGAATGCGACACGAACGAACGATATCCCGGTATCCCTTGCTCAAAAGCCCCTCTCGCCTTTACTGTGCCCTCACCACGACCTCCTCTATCCCTCGCGTTTAGAAAATAGTGCATCACGGTAAAGCGGACGAATACCAACGTTTTGAGTCATGGAGCATGGTTGTGTGTATCATTGGTATCATTCGACTCAGTTATGAATGGATCTATACAGCTAATAAATCGGGCGGCGGCGTGCGCCACCTAATGACTGAATTACCCAACCATTGGGCGCGTCCACTGGCGCGTCCACGGCGCGTCTGACTCGCAAACCCCGGGAGTTGCGTGGTTGCGTGCGCAAGCCGCACAACCCAGCACGAGCGTGTGGGCTTTTTGACATCGCGAGGCGAGAGTCACCGACTCTTACCTCTTACTCCGAAGCCTCAACTGAACGCACTGAACGCGCATGTTGTGTGGACGTGTGGACGGTGTGGACACGCGAAACCCACCAAAACGATAAACGCGTGTGTTGTTGTTTTTTTTTTCTTTATTCGTCGCATTTTAACGTCGCGAGTGTTTGCATTTCTCGTGCTAGCCAGTGCTAGCCTCAAATCAAGCATGTTAGAGTTTGCAATATTTGCCGTGTGTTTCGTTGTCTTTCTGCTGATGCTCGTCGTCTATCTCTACCCGGTAAGCTTCGTTTTTCTTGCCGAATTCAGTTGCTGACAAACAAATATTGCTGAGTGCTCACGAGCTGTTGCCTTGTCATTGTAGGGCTCTAGCAAACAGACGACCATTCCTGGTATCGACCCGTCGGATCCAAAGTATGCCAATCTTTCGTTCCCTCCCACTATTTGGGCGCACTCCGTCAGTTTTGTTTTCACTGAGCGTCCAAGTGCATTTTCCTTGGGGACCGGCGGGCACTGCGCACGCGCAGGAACCCGGTTTCCGAAGAGCGAGGCATCTGCGCATGCTCCGTCCGACAGCCAGTGCCATGGCGTGACGTCAGAAACATAAGTTGGTGTACGCTGCATAATGATGGCATGCAATGATTCTTTTTGTAGGGAAGGCAATGTTGGAGACATTGTCCAAGCAGGGGGACTCAAGAATTTCCTGCTCTCGTTGCACAAGGACCATGGACCAATCACTTCGTTCTGGATGGGCACAAAGCTTGTCATCAGCATCGGTGATGCGGAGCTGTTCAAAACGCAAACGCACATCTTCGACAAGCCCGGTAATGTGCTAGCTGCATGTGACATGTCGTAACCAGATCCCTGTCTACACGCAAAGAAAAGCAAATTGGATGCCAAATGCCTTAGACTGTGTGAAGTTAAGTGTGCCTTCAAGGTATGATGACGCCGGTTTCATGCTACAGGTGACTAATTCAATGACAGCTGAGACCGGTCTTTAATATGAGCAGTGATTTCACAACTGCATTACATGCTGGGCTACGTCATCCTTGTGCCTTGTGTGCCGTGGCAATATGCGCAGTATAAAGTATCGATGCTTCACGCATGTGCCAGATTACAGCCACCTTTGCTGTCCTTCTCTTTTTTTTTTACCGAGATACCGAGCCACTGAAACGAGTGTTGACTAGCCTCCACAAAGGCCAATGCTGAGGAAAAAGACAAAGTAGAATTTAGAATGTCAATAACCTGGCCTGTATAGTAATGAATAATGAAGTGAAGTAAACGGAATACGAGGAAACAGAAACTAAAGGTCGGTTATGGCGCCCATGCGCAGCTGCTGCGAGGCGTCTATTGGCCCCGAGTGGGATTGATTGGAGCGCTGTGATCGCTCAACCGTGACTAGGATGAGGTATCACGTGATACAGCCAGCTATTAAGCCTTGCTTTGGCCAGGTTTCTTCAGAAACCGTTCGCTCGGTACTTACGCATTTGGTACTTTCACTTTGTTTTTTTGTGTGTTTGAAGCCTGATCAGTACACGCTTGGATTGGCTTCGGCAGCTGTCGAGCTCAGGGAGCAATGAGAAAGTACTGTTCGGTGCCGCAATGCCGCAGTTCCGTGACTGACCAAAACATCTGCATCCACATCTACCCCAAGAAGAAGCAGCTGCACATGGAGTGGCTTGTGAAGTTGAGAATGGGCAAATTAAACTAAGAGTTCAACAGTGTGCAGCAAGCACTTTTGAGATGAAGCTTCGTGTATGCGGTTGGAGCGAAGATGTTCGGTAAGTGCTCTAAAGTCATTTTAGTGAACCTCCACAAAAGTGGTGGGGAGGGGGGGGGGGGGGAGGGAGAGAGGGAGGGGGAATTCGTTGGCGCACGTCGGAGATCGGCGCTATCTCGCATTTTGCTCGTCAGCGACAGACGCGAAAAGTTTCCGCAGAGAGTGATGCCACGTATTTGTGCATTACACCATTCATCCATCAAGTGTATCTTTAGCTCGTGCAGGTTGTAACTGAGTTCGCATTTTGCTCGTCAGCGACAGACGCAAAAAGTTTCCGCAGAGAGTGATGCCACGCATCCGTGCATTGCATCATTCATCCATCCAGTGTTATCTTCAGCTCATGCAGGTTCTAACTGAGTGCCGATGTATTGAGAATGAATCCAATGAACGTTTAGCAATCCTTATCCAGCTCCTTGAGGCTGCAGGAGAACATCTGTCCCGCTTCAAGATCTCTTTCGCCCTCAAGCAACAGCCGGGATGTTTCGTGGGCCTTGTCCACGTACGCATTGATGCTGCTTACAGGCAGCACAACTGAAAAGGGATACGCAGTTGTAACAGGGTGCCCGGTCGAATAGAAGTTGAAAAGATTTGCTTACCTTCAACGGTAGGTTGCACTTTGTCAGCATCTGTGTGCGAAACAGCCGCCGAAAACGACAACAAGTTGGTTGCAGCAACCGGTTCCTTGCTCGTCTGAAACCGGCTCCCTGGAGGCACTCGTACGGTAACTGATTAAGGAACTTGATGGGGTCGAGTAGTGAAACGAAAAATTAGGTTAAAAGAAGCCTTAAACACCCATAGTATTAAAAAACGAGAAGACCGAGACACCCACCCCTGACGCAGGTTGCAGGACACGGTCACATGATCCCCCATCCTACATCGCGACGATAGGCCCGTCAGGTGGTGCCACGCCATGTTCTCAGGGCTCATAGTGTCGGCAGCAAACATTGGCATGAATAGGAATCGTCTGAAATGCGTACAAACCGTTTCACTGTCCTCTCTTATTGCTCATTGTGAATGGTAAGTTACAACTGGGGTTCTGGCTTTTGGATAAATCCAATAAACCCCGAAAAACACTCGCTGGTAAGCTTTTCGACAAGACATTTGACAAGAGAGAATGAGCTTCCCAAACCCACTGTTCCGGTTTCCAATTTCAACTATACCATTTGAGCTTCTTAGAGGAAGGAAAGGTTGTGTTTTTATAGAAGCGAGAGACCCGTTTTATACAACTTTTTTTTTACATCGTAGTCTCTTTTATAGTGATTTTTACGTGAATTTTTTGCAAATTTGTTTTATATTCTTTTCTCTGTTACATTCTAAGTTTTCTTTTGTGGTTTTTAAATCAATTTTTGCAGATTCATTTATCCTCATTTTTTCTTTATATCATCACTATGGCATATTTTAATTCATGCTGCTGTATTTAACCTACATGGTTGAAATGATATATACATGTATAAAATAAATACATATGTGTTTGTGTCCTCGTGTGTATAAAATAGGTCTATCTATACATATATATTTTCATACCACTTGGGCCAGGATTCAGGTGTGTTGGAATGTGTCAAGTGAATAACAGGCAGCTTTTTTTCTATCCTTGTCGCAATGGACCTTTTGTAGAAATATTGGTTCGAGAGTAAATAGTTCCAGTACCCTCTCTCTCTTCCTTCTGGCCGAGCAGAGAGGGAAGACGGTTTCCATGTGTCGACTTCGGGGCGGAAGATTACGCAGGATGGGGACAAAGGCGAGTTTGAGGGAGCCGTATCTAGGTCACAGCGCCTCAATGGGTGAATAGGATGTAGCTGACATTTTGGGTGTGGAACGGGTGGAAGAGGCCTTGCGCGCGCGTTTGTTTCGCGCCACTTAGCCTCGAACCCAGTCGCGTGTCCAGGTGGCAGCACATATTCGCCAAAAGGTCCATTGTACTTTTTGTGCCAAAATGAAGAATCTCTTTCACAAAATGTGAATTGATGAAAATTCTACCAGCCAATGTTTTTTGGAGTTTTTTTTAAATTTATCCGAAATCACGGAACCCCATAAGCCAAGAACAAAAATTGCCATCATTGGAAACTTCATTGCATCCATGCAGTTAAACCATACAACTGTTTATTTAACCAATTCACACTTAAAAATGTATGATTGACCAAATTAATGTTTTTGTCTTGTGATATCTGTGGTTGTTTTGATATGCTAGCTATAGATCTTTTGAAAGTATATGCACCCTGATGCCATTTGCTTGGTAAGGAGTTTTTGTGTTGCTACTTTTCTCCTGGTGTGCATCCACTGAACACTTTTCAGGCTATCAAAATTACGGGCTTTTCAACTTGCACTTAACTTCAGATGTGCCATCATGAGGTGTTTCTGTCCAAGAATTCAACATATGATGTCCCAAAAGTCTTGTATCTTGTGAACGTCTGCATGCCCAGCAAACTCTTAAAGCTAGTGAAGGCATTTACATTTTGTTGTGTTCCACCACAATGTATTGTGCGGCTATTGGTTGCGATAGCATCTTGTCATAAGCTGCCGAAATGCAGTCGATCACATTCAAAATGTAAATATTGGAACAAATTCTACTTTTGCAGCGGATCTCTTCGAGCTGTATCGCGACCTGGTTGGAGCAGACAGCATCCTGTTCGCCAATGGCGCAGAAGCACGCCAGAGGCGCAGGCGCTTGGACGACGTCCTTACGGGTGACCGCATCAACGATTTCGTCGGTCCCTTGCAGAAGGTGTGCTGCTACTCATTATCGCTTAAAGTTGGTTTGGCGACTAAACAAGGTTGCAAAAGTAAACAGGGGAATGCAAGGTTTGTATTTGCTTATGAAAGACGCTAACCAAAGATTGCAGGGAGTAGCTTGGAGCACTTTGGCCCTGAACCAACAATTATATATTGTGCCCACTGGTGTGGCAGAGTCCAAAAATGGTTACCCACCTGTTCATGTTGAATTCTAAAAAGTACAGTGCGGCACAGACCCATTGCAATGAAATGGGCCAGTCTGGAAACAGTGCAGATAGAAAGTAGAACAGGAATTTCTTTTTACAGTGAAGCTGTTAAGGGCTAGTTTCCCCAGGATCGTGTCCGCCAGCAAGCAAATGTCGACACAACACTTTGGACAGCTACCACCATCTATAAGCGACGGCGGCAACCAGACAACCAGCTTGCCGGTTATCTGGTTGCCGCCTTTGCTCTTACATGGCGGCAACCTTTCCAGCCTTTCCACTTTGGCTTGCTGACTTGCGGGCGGTCATTACTTCATTCTTACTACAGTACAGCTTCGCTGTTCTTCCTTCTTCACCAGAGTGGAAAGTCTGAAAGCTTTTAAGAATCCAGTTTTAAATGCTTGTGTGGAAGAAACAAAAATTGTATGACTACCTTTGTACAGCAACTTCAGATTGTGTTAGACTAAGAGAGAATAATGCTTTTTGGTCTTTTAGTTTTGCAAGTGTTCTGCTTCAAGACTGAAGACACAAATTAACAATACCTTTTGCTGCCACCAATGGGTGCGTTAAGTCCGCATTCTTTACTCTTACACCGATGCTCTGAGTTTCATACTCAAGTGCAGCAACTAAATGGAGCATAGCGTACAGGAGCGGGATATTCTGAAACTATCAACGAGCCGCATGAGCCATTTCCGACTGCACGGTTATGATGAATCCGGCATCTCGTGGATGCGGTTAGCAGAAGCCGAAATTATTACGAAGGTAAATTAATTAAGGCCCGTGTGGAGTTGCACTGTATAAGGTAAAAGAAACGGTTACCTTATGAAAGGTTTTGAGACTCGCTTTTAGCACATATGCAGACGGTTTCATTGACCAATCTATTTATTGACCATCCATCCTGCTCAGATTTAAATGAAAGACAACATTCTTGAACTCGCTTGTTGATGCAAAAAAACTACTTGTCAGATGCACTATATACCGGCCCACCACCATTAAATAGATGGATTGTCAATTCATTTTCGGGCGAGATGCATGAACATACCTTTTCCGCAACGTCAACTAACATTTTTACTTTCCAATCGAAGTATCTTCGTTTTCCGGGCTAAGCACTCTAAAAGGGGCTGCGGTCTGGCTATCTTCTCATCTAGGGTTAGCAACCTTCCCGGATTTTGCGAAACTGTCCTGACTTTTCATTAAAGGTGCCCTGCAATCATATTTAAGCAACTACCTTTTTTGCGGTTTCCACGTCTCTTAGGGTTCGGACAAGCCAGCGGGCACGGAGAGAGTAACTAAATATCAGTGCGTCATATTTTAACCGGACGACGCGGAAACCACCTCCACCGATGAGGGCGACCCGCGGTACCAAAAACGCGCAAAATGTGACGTCTTTGGTCCTAGGCTCATTACTGGTCAGAGTCGTTAAAAGTTTTTTCGTAGTCGAAATAGAAAATATAAGTGGCGCAAACTGTTTCAATTATTTATAAAAGAAGTTTTTGTTCAGTATTTTAGATCAGAAAAGAAACAAATACAGTTTATAAAGTACGGAAACAAGAAAAGACCCGCCGACATACCCGCCACCAAGCAGCGCAAAAAACGGCGCACACTAGAAAGAACTAGTGGGATGAGGCTACGACGAAGGGCCAGCACAGAAAAGTCCCGGATGTACGCGGCGGCGCTCTGGTCGTATACCGGCTCGACGATCCCACCGGTTCCGAGCGTTCCGAAGGCCTTCGGCGCGGGCCCCGCTGGCGATTTGGCCATTTGGCGGCATGGCAGCGCGATGTGACTCCCGTTCTGAACTGATCTTTACCCCGTGTTTGCTGTGGTTTGTGGCCAATGAAGTGTTATGCCGAAATAGTCTTTAATCGCGCAGCAAAATCAATGCGAGCCGCCCCGGCCGCTTGCTTCATAGAGCCTATCCAACACATGCTTTAGTGGCGCCCTCTCGAGCCGTCGACCCGGAGTGCGGCAACCGTGAACGCTCGATGAGCTCACTACTCCTCCTCTAGTTCACGGCCACTCAAGCCAGGACCTAAGACGTCATGAAGGAGGTTATTTTTTGCTTGTTTTTGTAATTCTAATTCGCCTATAACTTTTAAAATAAGGCGAAATTTGAGAAAAGAAAAGTTTCATTAAGTTACTGCGTTCAGTGCGCTCAGGTTCGGTGCAAATTAAAACCAGTCAAAAAGTCATTGCAGGGCCCCTTTAAGCGTCCCGCATCGTCCCTGTCAAGGCAACTATATGTCCCGAATTAGGTCCAGGTTGTCCAATTAACCTGCGAAGCACGAATTGCACAAAGCAATGCTGCGGTGGCTAGCGTTGACTGGGAGAGGCTTTAGCCACTTTAGCATGCAAGCCATGGCAAGTCGGAAATCGGGGCAGACGACACTGGTGTTGGGCCTGTTATCATCATCATTTGTATAAACGCCACTGTGCCTCCCTTCTCCCTCGCCTTGACCCCCCCATCCCAACTTCCTTAATTGAAGAGTTGGTAACCCTATTATCTGAATAATGTTTCGGTCACTATGCTATCGGCACGCTACTGTTTGATGGGTGGATTAGTTTTCAGGTGAGATGCAAAAACAAACCTTTTCTAGAACGCTAATTGCTAGCTGTATTGGGTTTCAAATCAAGTCGTTTTTACCTGCAAGATTAAGCACTATTCAACTGAAAAGGTGCAGCAGTTTGACCGCACCCTTCCTCTCCTCGGCAATGTTTCTGTCAGCGCAGCCATCTTGTTTTGTAAACGTGATGTTGAGGTCACGGAGCACTAATTCACTCACGCTCCGAGAAAACTTCTGTACATGAAGAGCACGCTGGCGTGTCAGTCTCCCATGGCACTCCTGTCCGTTTAGTGAATGGAGTGCCGAACCCTCTCACTCCGGAGCACGGACTTAACGCGCCCAATAACTAAATTGCTTTGTGCCATAGATCGAGAAAATTTAGTGTCTGAAGGCACACAAACAACCCAGGTGACCTTTTGTTTCATCTTATCTGGGTTTCTCAGATGTGCGCCGAAGTGGTGGATCGTTGGGAGAGTCTACCTGCGGAAGAGCACGTGCCCATCTACCAATACATGTATGCACTCTGCATGAAGACCTGCACCCGTCTACTCTTTGGCGACTATTTCTTTGACGACAAACATGTCTTGGAGTTCAGTAGGGCCTTTGAGCTGGTGAGTTGCATTTGAATGTGATTGGTGACAAACTGCAAGTCTAGTACCTGATACGTTGAACATGCATTTAACGACGAGCAAGAGGGGGGGGGGGGGGGGGGGTAAAAAATTAATAGCTTTTGAAACTGAAAGGAGGAGCCACCTCAGTGACTCCGAGGCAAAGTACCAACCTACAGATCCCTAGTTGGCGGGTTCGAATCCCGGCAGAGCTGCCCGCACTGTGGCAGAGGTTTATTGCGGAAAAGCTGCCGCGTAACTGACATTTCAGTTGCACGTCCAAATATCCTTGTGGTCGGAAAGGATCCTGAGCCCTTCGTTTGAACGTGCCAGATGCCCTTCGTTGGTTTGGCACGTAAAACCCCCAAAATTGGTCTCTTGTGATGTGATGCATTGAAATGTGATGCCTTCGATGGTATTTCATTGATTAAGTGCTCAATTGCATGCTGAGGTACAGCATATATTGGTTAGTATGTTTTCCAACAATAGTTAAAGGATGAAAAGTGATTGCAGCTGAAGTGCAGGTACTGTACTCTGTTCACACCTGAGCTGACAGTCCGGTGGGAGCTATGTGCCCCAACGGGACCAATCAACTACCTCCCTCGCATCACCTGACCCTGCTTTGTGCACATGGGCATGGGTGGGAGCATGATCATATGGAGAAAGGACGTATGACTGTTCCAACGAGCACATAGCTTTACCACACTGTCAGTTTAGAGATGAACAGAATATAATAGAATACTGATTATGTAGCTTCCGGTGAAATGTACTACGACATCATTATTTGGGGTCCCATGATGATCCAGAGTAAAAGGATTGAAAGAGAATGCCAGTTTTTACAGTTGGCTACCATTATGCTGATAACTTATTTCCGCACAGGCATTTAGTTGTAGATGTCTGTCTTGAGGATCCCTTTTTCTATCCTTGTTTAGTGTGTCAAGGAACTGGAAGAGATGGCTGGTGGCATGGTCCCAGACCCTGACAGCCCTAGGACCAAGAAGTATGAAGAAGGTGCCCAAAATGCTTTATATCTCTAATCTGCTATTTTAGTAAGGTTGGTACTTGGACTAGTTTGCACATTCTATTAATATTAAACTTAGGGGAGGAAGCTGCGAGCCGCACTTTAACACGCGAAGAGCAGCAGTTTGGCCACCCCTGGTCTAGGGCGTCCCTCATCGATGCACATCCTCGAAAAAGATTTCCCCTCATTCGCGAAAATCAAAGCTAAGTTCGCTGCGTGCGAAGCGGCAGCATTACCACTGAGCTATGCCACAACGTTAATAACCAGCTCCATACGTTGGGTTTTTGTAGTACCCAAAGCCCACTGCACACACTCTCTTGAAAATAAAAAAATAAAAAAATGTTGCCGATAACAAAATGTTAACGCACTGTCAATGTCAAGAGCTCATGCTGGGAGATGCATTCACGCTCTCCAGAACAAGAAAGAAACAAAAGCGTTCGGAACAAAATGGTCAGAACACTTTTCTTCACGAACCCCACAATGCATGAACGCGCGCCTATGCCCAACGACTTCACCGTGACGTGTCGTAGCTATGGCTGTGTGACTCTGCTATGGATTGACACAGGACAGCTCAATTTCTTTGTCTACCGGTGTTGTGCAGCTGCCAAAAAGTTGAGGAGCCTGCTGAAGCAAGCCCTGGAAAATAGCTCCCGGTCCAAAAAAGGCAGTGGCCCGAAGACGCTCACAGACGTCCTTTCAGATGGAAGCGTGTCAGACAAAGTGGCACTTGACGACTGCGTCACTTTTGCCCTTAAGAGCTACTCCCTTGTCTCGGGTAAGTTGTGTTTTAAATGCAATGGCGTTTCTAGTGTCACCAAACTGTGATACCTTCTGCGTCCCTTCTGCAAGCACCTCGATGGCTAAATTTAAAGCGGCTAAATTTCTCCGCTAAATTTAGAAGGAGGCGTGTTCCTGGTATATTTGGCAGGACAACCTCAATTGGTATATAATTGATGCACAGTGACACTGGTGTTGTGTGTCACTATGTCACACTTTAGTCTGGTGCGACTTCACACGACTCACTGATACTTGTACAGCTTTTTCGTTTGCTGGTATATGATAATCCAGAAATTTGCTTTCGTAGCACCTGGGTTGAAGTGGCTTATCTTCTCGTTTTTGCGGCCCGACAAAACAAATTAGGAACTTGTTTTGCAAGTTTTGAACTCGTGCTACTTTTGCGTGTGTAACCCCACAGTTCTTGCCTAACCTTTTCCTGCTGGTTGAGTCACAATTTATTTGAAAACTTGGTGTCGGTGGCAATGTTGTCAATGTTGTTCATCTATTACTACAGAGATGTGTATGTGTATAGAAAGATCAACAACACAGTAAAGTATATTATAAACTTAGCTTCCTAAATGTTATTTTAAAAAAAACATAAGCGTTTTTTTTTTTTCCTTTTTTTTAACAAGCATTGTCTTTTTTTGACAGCTATGACGTGGGCTCTGTACTTCCTGGCAACACATCCGGACGTGCAAGACACCATTGCGAAAGAGACAGACAAGTTGATGAGCAAGGAGGCTCCCCTGAAGCTGCAAGATTTCATGCAGCTCAGGTGTGTTCTGCTCTCATGTTGTTACTTTATCTTCGGTTGAAACAAATCAGAATGGACAAGCATGAACAAGGACAGATGTCGCTAACTAGAGTCACCAACGGGACACTTAGGGTATCGACACTTCATTCAGCAATTGTCTAGTGCAGAGCGAACACCATTGGCGATTGTTTAAAAAAAATGTGACTTCCCAAACTTTGGATACGTTGTCAGGGATCTCAAGTAATAACTTCTTGCTTTGTCACGGGCTGTCCTAACTTTTCTAGGGGACGGAAATGCGTTTCCTGCGATTTCAGACTAAGTTTCGGTCAACTGGCAACATTAAAGCGGCACTACACCCCAAAGGTCGTATTTTTTTATTGTCTTAAATGATGCAAATTGTAGTCATAGGCATGCAAAAAAATACCGCATTGAAAAAAAAAAAAAAAAATTTCCCCACGCGCACATGCGCCTTTTTATTTTTGGTGTTTTTCTCTTCTGCTCTTCACCTCCTTGCTTCTTTTGATTGACTCGTGACGTCAAATATGAAGTTTAGAAGATTTGTAGGCGACATTTCTATAACATTTAAAGGAGCTGTGCAACAATTTCAGGGCTTTGCTTAAATAATTGTGGAAGTTGATGCCCGACACTTCTGCAGTGAACTACAGAAAACAGATTTTGCCTGGATACCCTAGTTTTTATTAAAAAAAAATGAAAAAGATCCAGGTTTTTGCCGCCTCTCAACTCGTGCATCGTTTTCCGGGTCACGTGCACAGTGACGTCACTTGAGTAGGCGCATAGTTCCGGGAAAGTTCTCTCTTTAGAGCCATCAGCGAGCAGCGAGAACCCATGCGCTCGCGACCGCGTGACCACCCATTCTTGCCTGTCCGGCGCTGTCCCCCTGCCCCTCCGGCTTTTGGCGGCTGTTCGCGGTTTTGTGGACCTAGGATAGATGGCGCCACTAAAACTCCGTATAATAAAAGTTTTGTCGACGATACCAGGGTTTTGACGCATTTATATATATGTTGGAACGACAAGATTTATAAAAAAAAGTTACCTTTTATCGAGCAGGTATTCGCACAGCCTGCTATCTTTCTTACAACTACCCAAGTGACGTCACGCCGCTTGTTTCTCATGGCCACCGCTCGTGGCTGCAGGTCGGGAAATATTCCAAGTTTTGCCTCGCTATTACGCGGCGGAATCGCAACATTTCGATGAAAGGAGGTGTGTTTTCTGCCATTTGTGACACAGTGAACAATATCAAAAGCAGAAAATGCCAATTCTTTCAACGTTAAAATCGTTGCACAGCTCCTTTAACAACGGCAATCGTGAAACATGTTTTTTAACGCAATTGTGAACGCACTACGGCCCTTCTTTTTTAAATACCAAAAATCTGAGTCTGTTGTGATGTTGCCTCCTGGATTTGTATCCTCCCTCGGAAAACATGGCTGATCGGTGAGTCGGACGAAGTGGTTATTTTTAGGTGCCCAACGACCTCTCAGAATTCAAAAAGGAAATCGTGAAACGGTTAAAACAACTGGGTTTGGTGTCTGTGTATCGTTGTTTTGGTTTAACTCCGCCAGGGCAGTCTTCCACGCAGAAGCGGCAAGACGTCAAGCATTGTCTGCTTGCAGCGATAGGCAGGCGGCATGGCACGCACAAAAGAAACCGGTTTTCCCCAGTGCGCCGGGGCTTTTTTCTCCCGCTTCTCACCACCTCGCTTCGAATCGCGGCGGCATTACACGCACACATTTGGAGCGGAGGCACGAAAGAAAGTCGACTCGCAGGGCCACTCAATATTTACGTCACTACACTGGCGCAGATCACACGGGAACTTCAAATGCGGCATTTGGAAATTGTTTTTTTTACTTCACAAATACTGAATTCCCAAGTTTCGAATTTTGGAGGTAATGTCCAAGCATCGTTTTTAATCGTTTCGGATAATAAAAAAAAATGAATTTGCGTGTCAGTGTCCCTTTAAGGTGCCTGAAGTGTTGTTACTAAACGTGTAAGAGTAGATGTTTTTTTTTCTTTTTTTTGCAGCAACCTTCAGAAGACCATCAAGGAGACCCTACGCACCGCAACCGTTGAACCGTGGACGGCCCGGTGCCAGGATGTGGATGTGGAGATTGCTGGTCACGTCATCCCCAAGAAGGCAAGGCTCGAGCCACGCTTTGGCATACGTCAACAGCCGTAGAACAGGGCTCTAAGACGTTCCCTTTCTGCTACCGGGGGGGTGGAGCAGAACTGGGCCGCGCTTAGTCGAGAAAAAATATATTGGCTGTCTCCGCCGCATAGTCTTGACTGACAAGCATCTTTTTTGTTCTTATGGTTAGAGAAAAAAATTAACAGGAAGAAAAACATTATTTTTATAAAACTGTCAATCCAGCTCAACTTTTTTTTTTTTTTTATTACAGTGGTTTTTATAGTTTGGCTCCACTGAGTTCACTTCTGTGGCTTGGTTGCACTGTGGTAAAGCGACACCTGTAGAGGGTAGGGTGTCACCAAGCCGTTTATGTGGAGAGTTTGGTCATTAATTCGTAACGGTATGGGAAAATAGGCACCTCATTGGCTGAAATTGTTTCAGTGACCTCGGGCATGATGATTGACAGCTCTTGGGACCAACCACTAACCACAAATATGCCCCAAGCAGAAGCAATGAGCTTAACAAATACCCTTCAATCACAATTTCTTGGGAAGGATGTATTCAAGTATGCCATTTCAGCACTCTAGAGTTGAAATTTGCGACCCCTCGTAACTGAGTGAGCAACACACGTGTCGTCGTCACGGCGACATCCAGACGACGACCATCCAGAACACACTCAAACTATCTTTTAACTGCACCCGCGACAGCGACCGCTGCCGTGGCCACGGTGGAGGGGACTATAAAAAATGAGAATTCGGCTCCGTGGGAGTTTTGACCCTAACCCCAAACGTGCACCCCACATTCGCAGTTGCGCCTCATGTTTCAGAAACTTTTTCTCTTCAGTGTCACCTTTCCTGGCTCAGTAAATGCACTCAGCACCTTGAAACTCCCCTTTTCCATAACTCTTTTACAATTATACATTCATGTACTTCCAGCATCATTCGGAAACAAAACAATACCTGTGCTGCACGACGCGAATCCTTCAAGGTCATCCTAGCACATTCTTACTTCGCAACTTCACCACAAAGGAAATATGCTGTGCTGGTGGCGCCGCCACTTTTGCCGCTCCACTCCCGTTGACCAGACTCTCTCTACATGGCTAGATGGTTGGATGGATGTTAATGGCTATACCCTTTGTAACGGGTAGTAGCTTGCGCCACCTAGCCCAAGTCTAAAAAGACGGGCATGATTCCTCCCACCATTCCAAGCCGAATTTCTCCCCGTAACTATTGCCAGGCAGTGTGGGAATCACAGGAATGACCTTTGGGGAATCGGGCAAAGAAAAACCAAAAAAACATCACCCCCTCCCTTTTCTTTCCGGCGAGGGAGGCACCAATTTTCCTCTGGTCAAACCTTGTCGGTGTTACTGATACAATGTTACGTTCCACAGTCGAGCCCGGTTACATCACACCCGGATATTTCGAATTATTGTTAATACCGAACAGTCCAAACATCCGTTTGAAAATCACATGTAATAGTATAGGAGCATTGTTTTTCTGTATCGAGCTCCCATGGCAGGGACACTCAATATAACGAACTAAAACGGGGCCGCCCGTCGCTTCTCTTTCGGTCACATTGCGCCGACGGCGAGCACATAGCTTGTGTTGCGGGGCTGGCAGACCGCCAAGCCAGCATGTGCGCACGTAGGGAGGGCAAGGAGTGTTTGCTGTTGGAACGGTAGCGTGCACTCTTTCCCCAAACACTGCTGTTGCTGCGCGACTGCTTAACCCCAAAATAAAATAAGCAAAAAAAAAAAAAAGTTTTCATCAAGTTGTGTGTTGACAACGGTTGAGCAATTCCACTTTGAACACCTTATTCTTATTTACCTTTTTCCTTTCGCCGTTATTGCTTTTCCAGTTTTTTTTTTTTTTTTTTAATTTTTTTTTTTTTACCTGAATTTAGTGGGGGTTTTTTTTTTGCTTGATTAACCTTATTCTATGGATCGAGTTTTTTTTTTATGCAACTCGCTTTTCCCGTTTTATTTTTTTATTTTTAAAATTATTTTTGTGTTTTGTTGCCGGCACTGTTTGGTCGTGCAACATAATGCATAAATAATTTCGGCGTTAAAGGCCACCGTACCCAGGCTCCCCACCTGGCTTTTTCTGCCACCCCAGCCAAATGCTGCTGGGCCAGCTCATATTGTCGCACCCCGCACAACACTAGCTCGCTTCTGCGGTGCCAGTGAATGTTGACCAACGTGTGTGTTCTCTTTTCATTCCCCAGACACCAGTGATACAGGCCCTTGGTGTGGTCCTGCACGAGGAAGCCCACTGGAAGGTGCCACACAGGTATGTCCTGCTGTCGATCACGAGCAGAGGGCCACACCCGCTGTGTACTCGCCGACAAAATGAGAAGGGGAGTGCGCATCTTTCGGACGCCCAGCCTGCAGCACACGCTTCATGCCTTCCACTGTGCTTTGGCTGCGTGCCTGCACTCAAAGTGTAGAGGTGTCGAAGGGTTGTCGAAAGAAGGAAGCGGTGGAGGTGGGACAACTGAAGCTGCTCCCTGCCGTTCTCGCCTTACCATTGACTATAGGAGACTCACTCTGAACGGTAGACAATCGCCGGCACAGTCCTTGTTGCGGTGGCGGAGAACTGTCGGAATTTGTGTCCAGGCTGCCTCTATAATTTTGCCCTCTTTTATAGTTGTGACATCTAAGAGTAATATCCAACTTTACTAACCATAAAAATAATTAATTTTTTTAGTAACATTAATGTTGCAAGATTCGTTTTGAGTGAAAACTGATTGTGAAACACACGTCTGTTTTGGCACGTCGTGCAATAAGAGTACATTGTAACACTCTAGATGGCCGTGGAGGAGCAATATTTTTGTTTTCGTCTAAAAGAGACATTGCGCTAATTTCTTTCTATTTTTTTGGCAAAGTGTTTTTTTATTATTTATCTGCTTTAGCAGGCGCTGTAAAAAATGAGACGTATAGAACTCCCTGTAATGCCAAATTAGGGTGCAGCTCTTGACGAAAAGGAGCCGAGGGTACAGAGAGGAGGGTATGCCCCTCCTCCTCCTCCCTATCCTCCATCCTCAACCTCTCATTCTCCCCCGTGACGTGACGCTTGACATCACTTGTAACCCTCGTGACGTCGCTTGTGACCCTTGTGGCGTCATTATGGGAAATGTCCCATGATGCAACACGTGGGTCATGGCCCGTGTGTTGCATCATGGGACGTTTTCCATAATGCAACGTGCGGGTCCCTATTGGCAGCATTATGGGAAACGTCTTGTAATGCAACGCGCAGGTCATGTGTGACCCGCGCGTTGCATTATGGCATGTTTTCCATAACCCAACGCGTGGTTACGCCGACACCGGTCAAGCTGGAAACGTGCGCCTAAGAGCTGCGCTCTAAAAGAAAACTTTCTGCGAGTTCAATGCCTTTAAGGCCTGTTCACACATTTACCGAAGCACCAACTCGGCACTAGGAACACAATGCTGACTTTGTGGCATATCAGCGCTCCACTGCATGCGACCCGCTACTTGGGACACAAAAAATACGGCGCTTACTCAGTGCCGACGGTGGTGCTGATGCGGCAGACTTTGCATTGTCTCAGTGCTGCGCCGCACGTGCGAATTGGCCCTGAAGGGTTCATTTTGAGCAGTATTTAGGGAAAGTCATAAAACAATTTTTGTGACCCCTTTGAAGCTGGGGCAAGAGTTTGGTTAACTCCATGCCTTCTAGAGCTCCGTCGGCCGCCATTGTCTTACTAAAATTTTAAAAAATCATGTAACTTTTGAGTAAGGTAACCAATTAGTTCTGAAACTTTGGTATTTGGTTCGGACCACTAGCACTACACTTGGGCGGAGAATGAGCGTTTGGGGATGCATACCATAATATCCCAAGAAATAGCCCACCTAAGATCGAAAGCAAATCAGGTAAAACTAAGGAGTGGATTAGCTTTCAGAAAGCAACAAAAGTAAAAAAAAAAAAATGATTTTGTGATTTGTTAAAACTTGTGATTGCAGGGAGGGGCGATGAACCAACGACGGCTGTCCTTCCCAGCCAATAATGTTTGTCTATCTCTCGCCGTAACTAAGCAAGACCATTTCTGCCGAGGTCACCATTGGCCAGGGCCCTGCAGTTACTAAAAATGAGTTATCGTTCGGCATTTTTAAAAGAATAGCAAATCATGGTAAAAAATAGGGAGGGGTATCTTTCAAGGGTGGGGCATTTCTCGGACTTCCTTTTGCAGTGAAAAAAATCTTTTTTTTGGCTCACTTTGTAGAATGCATAGTTGCCGAGTTCTGCGTTTTTTGAAGACAGGACAAGAAATATGCACCTGCAAGCGCTTTTTACATCACCAATTCCAACGTATCATGCATGGTTTAAAGTATAAGGAAGCGGGACGTCAAGAACAAGCTAAATAAGCCAGTTTCCTTTTTGTTTTTAATGTGTTAACATTAGTGCTTTAGTACATGCACTGACCTAAGACTGGTGTGGAGCTTGCAACGTCACCACAGGATGACGCCACAGCCGTACTGGCTGTGGAAACTGGCTAGGAAACATCTGCAAGCGCCGACAGATTGCGGCGGAGTTTATATTTCGGGAGGCTTGGCGATAGGACGCATGGCAATGGGGGCCGCACTGGTTTGGCTGGTTATTGGGAGCGACGCCGTGACATAACACCTAGCAACTGAAGATCACCGGCTATGTCCCCCTTCACCAATTTCGGCGCCACACAGTGGGGAACAGCAGTTGTATCCCTGGGGTGTGTGTTAACCCCCCCCTCTCTCCCTCCTTACCATTCATGGCGACAATCTGTGGATGGCTCATTACAAAATATTAACCCATTTTGGGTAACCTGTAAACGCCGCCTTGCAGCGCCCAGTATGCCCTCGCCCCGCTGTTCCCCACTGGATGTCGGTTGCTAGGTGTTGCGTCACGCCGTCGCTCTATAACCTACCAATCCTGTGCGACCACTCTCCTTCATGCATTTGGCACGCTAAGCGACCTGATCTGCTTGCACCAGGGAGAACAGAGGTTTCGGAAATGTTTGCCGCACAAAATGCTGACTCATTTTCTCGAGAATCAGCATGGTGGGAGCAGCAGTTTATTTTTTAGCTAGCAAAGTCTCGCCCCATTTTAATCTCCGCAGGTTCGACAGCTCTCGGTTCAACGAGAAATTCCCGGAGCTGGCGTACTGTCCCTTCGGCTTTGCGGGCATGCGCTTGTGTCCAGGGAAGGACCTGAGCATGCTGCACATGTCGGTGTTCCTGGCGACCCTGTGCCACAGACTCAAGCTCAGGCTCATCCAGGACCAGGTGGTGACGCCCACCTTCGCCCTCATCACCAAGACTGACGACGAGGTCTGGCTCACCCTCGAGCGACGCAGGCCCTGAGGCACCAGTCTCCATTTTGTGACGGAAAGTCACCATGTGGAGTCTTCCAACCTCAAATTTCACGTTCCAAGGCAAGGGGCACCATATAGGTTTTTCTAAGGGTTCCCTTTTTTTTTTTTTTTTTTTTATGCATTTTTCTTTTTTGATGTCTTTTCAAAGTTGTTTCCATTTCGAGGTGAATGCAGATCTTGAATAAATAAGTTATATTTGAATGTAATTAAGAGAGTTTTGAACGGAATCATTCCAAACGTCTGGGGTGCTGCCGTTCAGACTGACATGTACTGTTGCGGACAATACGAGCTGAAGCAGTCCTTTGTGCCACTTAGTAGATCAGTCGAAGCTTAATTTTTTTAGAAACACTGGAAGGGTCCCTGAACAAAAAACAGCTAGGCTAGGTCTGGGTTCCCCTTCACACTTAAACTTATCTGCCGCCTTTTGATTGCTGTGGTCCAAACTAGGAGTGGAATGCGAAGTCCAAATCCCATACTTAGACGAATTGATAGGCAACGGAGCTGATAGGAATTGCAGACGCAGAAAAAGGTAAGATTGAATGTTTCGGCTCCCAATGTCCGCAGGGGTACTACCGAGAATGGACGAAATGCGAACAGTAGAGAGTGTGACTTTTAAAACATGCTGTTCTCAATCTAAAGGTTTCTAGGAACCGACAGAACTGGAGTGAAGAAGAAGGCTGCGAGGGTGTGCACATTGCGGCAGGCAAACGCCTCCCAGATAAGGCCAGGGGCAGACGCAAGGCATGAAGATTCAACACGATTGCCGCATCGGCATTTGGCCAAGGCTAGTCTCGTGCCAAGGTGGGTTCGCGTCTCGGCCGAACTCCGATGCGGCGCTTGTTAGCAAAACTGCCTAAATGAGACAATACAATCGCAACGCTCAAGTTTTGTGCTGCAACGTAACTAGAAGAGCCGTGCAAGCTCTGTGCTCTGTTTCACATTAGGCCCGACCACGGCCACGACTGGGTGGGGCCTATTGAACGGCATTGAAAGTACATCGTCGTGGCGCTCGTCTTTGTGAGTCTGCCATCATTGACCCATCGTGCGCATCGAAAAGTGCAAGAGCACGAGGCATTCGCCGTGTTAAACCGGTGTAACCCACAGAAGTAGGAAGCTTCTGGAGGCAAAACGATGCCACCATTGGTGAAGCCGGAAGTGTGGAGACATGCACCCAACAGTGACCAAAACAGCTGTGGTTATTTTCACCGTTGGGGGCGCATCTGTCCACAATTCAGGCTTCACCTCTGGTGGTGTCATGTCGTCGCCTCGAAAAGCTTCCTACCTCCATGGTTCAACCGGTGATGGTGAACACAGAAAGGAACGCCGTGACAATACACTTTTCGTGTCGCTCTTTTGGCTCTTGGAGCGCTACATTGGATGCAGTCAGACTTGATGTGAAACAAAGTATATAGTTGTACAATGTTAAACTTTCTACGAGAGATACTACGGATGTTCGATCGGATTCAGCTTGCACTTTTTGCCAGCGGCCAACCGACCCGCAGAAGTACAATGCATACTGCAAGCTCGGTCTATAGGTTGGAGTCCATGTCTGCGAGCCTTTATTAACAAGAGAAAGATCCCAAGAAAACAAAAAAAAACAGCAAAGAGTGAGAAGGAAGACCGGGTGGAGATGCTCCTTTTTTTTTTTTTTTCCCAAGGCATTGAGCAAGGTGTGTTGTTGCTGGTACTTGGAGCACTGCCCAAAAGTAAACGAAATGGTAGGAACCACCCCTCCAAAATTTCCCCTTTTGGTTGGCACAGCTGGGTTTTTTCGTCAACAATCAACTACAACTTCTTCGCTGCGTCATCCGGCGCGTCACATGCTGATGCAATGGGAAGGCCAGAAATGTCGTCCTCCGTATTTACAGCAGCTAACAACGTAGCGTGCATAGTAGAGGAGTTATACTTTCAAGCTTTTCGCTTGCGTACACTGGGACCATTGCTTTTTTTCCTTTTAAAAATCTAATTTAGAGAACATAAACTGCAACTGATATGTTCACCTACAGAATGCACAGAGGCCAGTTGAAGGCTTCCCAATTTGTAGTTCTCTAGAAAAATTTGTAGTGTTGAACATCCTTGAACATACGAGACAGAGCCTAGGTGGCATAACAATGTGCCGTCTCTTATTTTACGCTGGAAGAAACAATTTTTTACGAAGCCAAGGTGGGGCTTTTGTTGATTAATGTTTACATGAAGATGTATCTTGGGCAGAGATAGAGAAAACAAGGAAATGTCGGTAGTGCTAGAGGTTTTCAGTTTATATTCGACCTTACGTCAGAAATAAGACAGTCGGCAAAGCCGAGTCTTCATACCTATGAGTGTAGCTAGGTTCCTAGATCGCTACAAACAATAGCAGATGGGTTTGCTTACATTCTCGTGTTGCACAACAGTTATCCTGGCCAGCACTCGCTTTAAAGTATGAACAGTGCCCGCCCCCCAAAGACGTTTGTACACTATGCACAAATGCTAGAACCGGCACTCGAATAAACTGGAAAGAACAAGTTATAGGTACAAAAGGAAAAAGTTGCCTCCAATCTGCCCGGAAGGGTCGGGAAAAATAGTGCACCATATGTTACAGGGCCTCCCCCTCCGTGGAAAGATCTGCCACGTTCCCACCCAATCCCCGAGACTATGAGTGCAGGTAACTAACTCCTAAAAGCACTTTTTTTTCAAGCAAGGTACAAAAGAATTGGCAGGATCTTGGAAAGAACCACAGCCGGAAAAGCCAACACTTCTTTGGCATGGGCCAGCATGTTCGGCACAACAGACTGTGTAGAGGGAACCCTTCCTCCCCACCGACTCCTGCAAAGCCAGCACATTCCGTGGATGGAACTTCACTGGCGAGGTGCACAACTCTGGGGCAATCCCCCGACTGAAAAGCGCTTGCACAACCACCGAGTGCTACGGCACTGTGGTCCGTTGCAAGTTAAGAAGAGGACAAGCCCTTCCCACAAAGCTCGCTGCTCATCACGGTTGGCGGTTTCCTCCTCCTTGGCATTTGTTGCACTAAAGTGGAAAGAGTGGAGGGCTTTGTGGGAGAAACCTGTCCTCTTCTGAACCCTGCAACAGAGTACACAAGTCGTCTCGCCACCATCCGCCCCAGCCGGCTGCATCACGCTACCCGCCCAAGTTTTCAAACAACCAGTAAGCGAACACATCCCCCCCTCCCCGTCCCAGCCCCATTTCCAAATATGTACAAGTTAATAACGTCTTGACTTGAGCTCTGCGGGGCTGACTAGGATGCGGAAAAGAGACGGCTGAGGCATAGGCCTTTGGAACGAGAAAAACAAAACGTGAAGCCAAATTTAATAGACCACTCTGCAAAAGCAACACTGGCTGCTCGGCAGTATCAGAAGCTAAAAACTATTTCGAGTCGGCTGGGAAGTGCCAATGACACATTTCTGCACCGGCCCAGACTCCCAACAATGCGCAACAATGCGTTTGAGAAAGGCGGAAATGAATGAAGATAAGAAAGATGAGAAAAGAACCGCACGAGTAGGGCAGAGACAACGAAGAAATACCGATGCGGTAGTTTGCTCCGAATCGACAGCCCCCATAACAATGGCCCTAGTTCTCGGTACCGAGGCCTTCCAACGCGAGAGGTAGGGAGGGGGAGAGGAGGAAAGTGGCTTTCCGAGCCTTCGTCTGTGCATGTGAGAGCAGCCCCGACCGGAAGGTCGTCCGGCCATCCCGTAGCCGCAGCCGCCGTCGTTTGGAATGGCAGTGGTCGCTTGCGTCGCTGCACTGGCAGGGAACTTGGGGCAGCACAGCTGTGAGAAGGTCTCTTTGTGAAAACACATCCGCAAAGTCGTTCTCTTGCCTGTCGGATGCTCGGAAGAGAAACACAGCGCTCATCCTCGGGCTCTCTCTTTTCAATCTTTGAGAGAGCCATTGATTGTCACCACCACTTTTCTTGAGCCTGCGAGAGCAAGAAGACGACGATAGAGTGTTTGTTCCAACGATGTCCTTTCCAACCACCCCGAATTAAAAGAGCCAAGGGCACTGCTAAACCAACATCTTGCGCCGATCATATGTGTGTATTAAACTGGCATCTTCTACCAGTTGCATGTGTGCCAAATTAGCATTTTACACCAATTGCAAGCGTGCTAAACTCGAATCTTGCAGCTATTATGTGTGTGTTTGTGGTACCCAAGTCAGACGCATTGCAAAGTTGTTGAATAAACCGCGCTAGGCATCCTGGTTACATAACCACTGACATCCCAAAACAATACTGTAAACTTCTTTTTTTTTTTTTTTTTTTTTGCAAAAGGCATTGATTACACGCTGTTTTAAGACGCCATTTAAAAAATAATTTTGCTCCAAAGCTGCTTATCTGCCGAGGAAAACATACAAAGTCAAACCAAAACCAGAAAGCCCAAATGGAAAAGCGTGACCAACAAAACAAATTTGGTTTGCAAAACATGTTTCTTTTTTTTGGTTGTTGATCCCAGACAGGTCGTGTTTCGGTCAATACCTGAGCAAGATAAAATGCCTCGTTGGTGTCTTTCTAAGAGGAGCGCCGGCTTGATCGCTTGTGTGAGGACGTACCTGCCCTGTTTCTGTGCTCGCAGAGCCAGATGCCTTGCCAGGTACCCAGGTTGAGCTTCCCATCCGTGATGGGGATGGACAGGCTGGATCCAAACAGGATCGCCTTGATATGTGCAGGCTGGGGGAAACGTGCAACAACGTCAATCAACGGCACGCTCGTGCCACGGGCCAGTGTTACTACAGTCACTAGCAGGAAAAGGGGCAGGGTGTGGCGAGTTCCAAGCGTCCCGTTATCGCCCCGTGGCAAAGGGGATGGCTGCGTTAGCTGATTAGAACGCCCAAAGACGAAGCAACAAGCATGAACAAGGTAAGCTACGTCCTGAGGTTCTTAATCTGCCAGTGGTTATTCGCGACTCCAGCAAAATGGACGCCGCCAAGCGGGAAAACCGGGAACCAGTCGGTCCAGGTCGCTCCGCGCCCCGCCGCGTCTCTGGTGGCTTTCGCGGACACCTGCTGTCGGCACGGGGGCGAGCAATGTAATTTGACGAAGGTCCGAAAATTTCTTAAGTTTGCCTGAGCGTTCATTAGTGTGGTGAAGCCTAAGTAGATTATTTCTTTGCATCACGTGTTTAAAAGCCCGTTTACTCCACAACACACGGTCGCGTGCTTTCAATTTTTTGGATAAGGAGGAATCACGGAAAAACGTTTTGATTTCTCGTCTGTCTCTAATCACATTCAAAGTGACGACTGCTTGGTAACTGATAAGTGGTTTCTTTATAAGAGTGTAGAACAGTGGACTGAGGTCGACAGACGAAGTATTTCACTGGAGGGAACACCAATGTTGCAGTCAAGTGAATGGGAAGGTTCGATAGCTGCCTTCCTTGAGTTTGGTTGTGCTCGATTAGCTTCAAGTTAATTTGAGCCACTAACGCCTGCCGGTGCGTTGGCTATTCATCTTGGCGGCTTTTCGCCGAAAAAGACCACATTGAAGGAGTTGGGCTAATTTCGCAATTACTTGATTCAGAAAACCTGCTCGCTGCATATGATTAATGAGGGAAATTATCTGCTTTCAAATGGTGGGGGACATGTCTCGCAAAGTTAGAAACTGTCACGTCATTAGGATCTATCGCGCCTCCAATATTTATATTGTAGCCCCTGTCGAAGCCAGCAGCAATATACGTCTACATTGCTCAGGTTGACCGGCCACAAAAAAATACTCATTTTATCCGTTCAGGATTCGAAGTCAAGTTCAATGCAGAGAGGTCTGAGTGAATCTCCGATGAAGACTCTCCTCAGTTTGTCTGCATTCGTCTCCGTTCTACCGGCTAGAACCATTTGGCTAAGTTTAAGTGGTATCTCTCTGTCTGTCAAATATACTTTTATTCAGCAGTTCACCTAATAGTTAGTCAACTAAGTTCATATTTCACCCCGAAGAATATACTAATATCGCTTTAGTGGGACCATAGTAGGTAATATAATACATAATCCGCATATTCATCAAAATGACTTCTCGATTGCTACTAAAACCTAAATTGAAATACGAGTATCGGCTGCTTAATGAAGCGCCAGCGAGTTGACATGCTCCTTGGCTCAAGAAGCGCTTGCTTAATTTTCGTAATTTTCCTGCAGCCTGTGTTCTTGACCGAGCACACAACTGGAGCCGTTTCTTGAAACGCGAACAGGCACAAAAGCTCAATTTCGCGTACAGATAAGTCGCATGGTTGAGGCATGCGAGTTAGCTAAAAATTACTCTCGGTGGAACAATTTTGCAGCGAATACAGATACAGCAGTCAGTTGTGGAATGTCCCATAGCTGTCGTACAATAAAAGGCGTTGGAAGTTGCGTATGAATTTTTGCAGCAGTGGCACTGCCGGCACAGTAGTATGTTTTCGCCTGCTAGTAGTTGTTCCTAGGGGTACGGTCTTCGTCGTGAAAGCAGGCAAGTACTCTAGAACGCTATTCAACACCAACAGATGTGCAGCGAAAATGTGTTATTAATGAAGAAAAAAAAGTATGCTTTAATTACATTATTACAAACAACAATCCAAAATATTTCACAAGCACTTTTGCATTGTCAAAAGCAGAAGGGAGGCTAGTGCATGATGACGATAGTATCTTCTAACGCAGAGCAAGCGCCCTCTCACAGGCAAAATGTGAAGGGGCCATCCGTCGGACCAGAGTTCTACAAGCAAAGGCATCTAACGTTTCTAGACGTCGGGGGTTGCCCTTTTCCTAAAAGAGAACACCTGAGTCAATTTTGACATTCTGTTTTTAATGGTGACATGCCGCACTAATGGTGCACGCTGTTCAGAGCCTGAAACATAAACTGAGAAAAATAAACATCAAGCGTCAAACCTTCTCATAGAAGGGCGTGTTGCAGTGGCGAGCACAGACAACCAGCGATGCAGTGGGAAAGCATAAAATCACAACTAAAACAAGAGACGGGGCGTCAAAATATGATCTCCGATGTCCGTGTTCTCTGTCAATGTTCTCGCTGGTTTCTCGTTGCCATTACCCTCCGCCGATTTTTCCAGCATGCCTGAAGCAACTTTGAAGGGCCCCAAGCACAAATACCTTGCAGGTAATTCCTCAGATGCTTCAATTTAATACTATATAACTGGACAATAATCACCACAGTCAAGTTACAGACAGCCTCACGCCAGCTATCTCAAAGGTTGCAATGGCTAAGGATGGCTAGTTGGGCTAGTTGGTTTTGCATCATGGTGTAATACGCCAAAACAACAGGGACAAAAAACGAAGGGAGAACTAGACGGGACGCGACCTAACTTTCACCTGAATTGTTTATTTGGATGACAGAATTTAAAAAAATTATAAAATATAAAACGCAAACACACTTGGCAGAACACCAAAGATATGGTCTAAAAACACACCCCCCTCAAATGCCAGCGTCATTGGTTCATCAAATAGTAGAATTCTTTATCAGTCAATGACAAAGAAGGAGCGCTTGTACAAGTATTGTAGTGGTGGGACCTAATCAGGAAGGCTTCGGGAATTTCTCTTGCCGTTTTTGTTTTGTAATGGCCCATGACACAGGTGTCACCTTTGTCATTGACTGATAAAGAATTCTACTATTTGATGAACCAATGATGCTGGCATTTGAGGGGGGGGGTGTTTTTAGACCATATCTTTGGTGTTCTGCCAAGTGGGCCTGCTTTTATATTTTATAATTTTTTTAAATTCTGTCATCCAAATAAACAATTCAGTTGAAAGTTACGCCGCGTCCTATCTAGTTCTCCCTTCGTTTTTTGTCCCCGTTGTTTTGGCGTATTACACCATGTTGCAATGGCATATCCTGTCATCCTTCCGAGGTTAAATTTTTTTTAGGGGCTTCTAATATGTTCGGGCTTGCTGACACCCCATACACAGAAAAGAAATGTCAACACAATGCTTTGTAATGTTTCAAGAAGCTGCCTAGGACAAGAGGCAGCAATTCCATTTCTTTTGTGTAGGTATCACTGTAATTACGGTCCATATGTACTCAATGCTTAAAGCGGAGCTGCTTCGTTCTTCAGAAAATTAAAGGAGTTGCCTACAAGGGCCAACGGTCAACAGGTTGATTTGTCAGAGTTGAGATGAAACTCACCATGTCGTCTGGGCCCTCACAGGAATGTTGGTAGGGAAGGTTCTGAAAAGAAACCAGAGTTGCAGACACTTGGGAGACATGGAAATATATACAGTTCATGCAAGGCTGACTTTAAAGGGCGCATGAAATGGATTTTGGGCTGGAATAAATCAATTTATATTGAGATTTTACTAATAGCACGTCGTTTAGTGGGCCAAAAGAAAAAAGGTAGGAAGTCAAAAGCCTGACTTTCGGTACGAAAATTTGTAAACAACGCACTATTTTGTACCTCCTTCCCTTCCTAAGCTCTCTGCCTTTTCACTGTGGTACATCCGCGGACCCCCCAGCGCGTCACCGGGCCCAAACGAACGTCGCACAACACCAAACCTCACTTTATCCCTTCACCCCCAAGCTGACATTGTGGTGGAACCTACGTGCTTGCCGGACCAATCAGCCACCTCCCTTTCATCACCTGACCTCATTCTTTATGCGTGGGGGCTGCGGATCACGCTCTCTTGCATGCGCAAGAGAGCGTGATCACGTGGCATAAGTGTGGCTGGCCCAATGAGCATGTAGCTTCCACAGCACTGTCAGCTTCGGGGTGAACGGGGTGGGGAAGCAACTTTTGTCTGAATTTTGAGCGACGGGCTAATCTTCTAGTAGAAGGGTGGCTGGGTCCAGGTACACAGACGAGACTCCGAGCAAGAGAGGACTCCCCTCTTTTCGTCTTCTTGAACTGTTTGGTAGAATGCGCGATTTAGTGTGAGTTGAGGAGGAAAGCTAAACAGGAAAAAGTTGGAAAAGCGTTTCATGACTCCTTTAAGGGCTCACCTCTGGTACTAGCTTGTTCATAAAATTCTCCACATCGTCCCTGTAGTGAGAAGAGAGACCATTTAAGTAAAACTACCAGAATGGACTCGCACATCAAGCATGCCAAGTCTGCCTTCAGTAACCAAAATCAAGTGAAGTATGTCAAAAGATATCGGCACTCTATCTCACATTTAAGCTAAAAAAGAGTGCCTTGTCCTTCTCATCCCCACTTTTGCTTAGCTCCCTGGTGGTTAAGCCTAGGAGTATGTTTCACTAAGGTGCTTTGAACATATACCTCTACAATCGTCCCAGCCTTTATTGCCCATACGTTTTACCGCATGCAAGGTAGGGTGGCTAATGGAAAAGGTACCCTCCGCATTGCCGAGTACCTAAACTTTAATCAGCACATCCATCTCAGAACAGGTAAGGCCATTTAATTAAACTACATGCATTTATTTCAGACAGAATCACCAATATTGTGCAATGCTCAGCTGTTATTGTGATGTACATGAAAATTCTGTTTCATTCAATTTGGTGAATGTTCTACTTATTCAATGGACCCGTTTCAAAAACGTGAAACAACCGCAGCAGCGGACAGTTCTATATGTATATTATACATACTACACAGTAGTGCGTTGGCATCTTCACGGAGACTACTATAGAGTGCATAAACTGTCCTTAAAACAACAGATGAAGCGGCTAAAGCTCAATTGGTGCACAGCGAGGTTGCGACTCGCTTTCCTTCACCATGGCACGCAGCTGCTAAACGCTTCGGTGTTACCATGGTTACCATGCAGAGACGCACTGTTGCCAGGTTTTCTGCCAGGGGTCAATGACCCTTAGCCATCCATAAAAACTTGAAATTTGGTACGCGATGAATTAAAGCTCTGAAGAGCTTTAATTCAAGAGTAAAATCAGAAAATGGTGAACCCTGCTTGTTCAGCACCATACCAGTTCAACTATGAAGACCGTTCCTTCACAAGCAGTTGAATAAGAACAGATTTTCAAAGGATATTAGTCTGCAAGAAAGTCTTACCTAACATCAGGGTCCCAATTCTAGAAGGAAAAAAAGAAAAAGAAGAAATAAATGTTACGCAAAAAAACAATTTGTCTAAATTTTGACGAAAATATTCTCCGGAGAAGGGGGACAAAGGACAAATACAAATCTTTTTCGATCGTTCTCCAGTTACGTAGCTGTGTTCAGAGATTTGTGTTTGTCCTTTGTTCCCCTTCTCCAGGGATTATTTCCGTTATTCTTGTCCCGCTCGCTTGCACCTTTGCATTAAATTGCATAATCATCATAATCCTAAAAATGCAGGCGTTCACCCTTGTTGGTATTAGACTGGTGGCAGCTGATAAAACCCATTTCCTCTACTGACGTCTAACTCATGGTTACTTCAGTTAGTAGAGCGCTCCACTGGAAATGGAGAGGTCCCTGGTTCAATACCAGGACCAGTTCGATTTTTTTGGTCGCACTCCAGCTCCCTAGCTGTGTTTGTCCTCAGTACCCCTTGTTCCCTTTCTCCAGTGATTATTTTCGACATTTTCGTCCAGCTCGCTTGCACCTTTGCATCTAATAGCATAATCATCTCATTTTTGTTTGTAAACCTAGCATTATTTCAGCTAACAATAACTACCTAATACATGTTTTTTTGTTGTTTTTTTTTTTTTCAAACCTGATTTTACTTAATAGTTGTTCCCAAGTGTGTTTTCAATTAATCATGTTACACTTTAAATCTTCACAAAAATTAAGTGGTGGTCTTTCAACTGCCATTTCTATTGGATGTATGATTAATATAGCGATATTGAGCTGACATTTTTAAAACAGTCAAGACAGCCTGCTTGAAGCAGAACCCTGTATTGGCATTGGAAAAGCCCAATATTTTGCCATGTTCAGATAGAGAAACAAGTCCTGGTTTGTATCCCCCAAAATTTACAAAATGTAAAACTCCAAAAGAAAGAATTTCAAGCACATGCTGAATGTTATGTTTTATCCCTTAAAGTCTATGCAGCACTATCAAAGACACGCGGCAAGTGTGTCTGTTCATGGAAAGCACTTGCTAAAGCTTTTCACAACACTGCACAATACTCCCAAGATGTGAAACATTGGTGGTGTCACGTTTTGGTATCCTCAAGCCACAACTACACAAACAGAGAACTGATTTTCATTGCATGCATGCTAGTGCCTGCATCTGCAGCAACGTGACAAGGAGTTAATCAAATAAACGACGTTCAGCACTGGCACCTCACCACCGCACAGCTGAAGCTGATCACATCCGTCATTGCGACAAAGGCCTTCATCTCGAGACAACAGTTGTGCCACCGTGCAGATCAGACTGCTTGAACTATCCTTTCAGTAGAAAGTGTGGAACGAAACCTCTTTGAGTAAGAGTGCAGCTCCGGTGTGCTCCCATGCCCAAAACGAACTACCACACTTCCCCTAGTTTGACAGGAGTTAAGGCACTAATCTCACCTCATTTAGAGCCAAACTTGCAGATGTGTGCATAACTGAAATGAAATGACAAAAACAGAGTTGTGCACTTTGCCTCCAACATATCCTGTTCAATGAAGCAAATGGCACTGCCCTTGCACAAAAGGTAACACAGCTACGAATATCTTCAAAAGCCTTTTAGCCAACACATAAGCAAATTCACGTTGTTGTAACCTTTTTCGATTCCTATATATTATAAAGAGCAGAAGTGACAGTGAATATTCTTGACAACAGATGTCATTGACGTGGATTTTGTGACTTTTGCTTCTCCCATTACTGAAATGTTATCTGTATGTGGATGTGAACTGTAAAGATCTTACCTATTCCGCGTCTAATGCAGACAGCCACAGATCAAACAAAATTTATCTTGATTCACATACACTGTCATAATGCAATGTAATTCAAGGAGACATTGTAGAGGGCATAATTTACGATTGCAGTCCTATTTGTTTAGAGTTGTAGTCACAGGACCAATATGCAGTTTAAAGCTCAAAACGCGCTGAATGGGGGAAAAAAAAAGAAGAAAAATCGCCCCTTACCAAGATTTCATTCAAAGCCAACAAATAATAACAAACAAACACGCAAAGCGACGTCGTATGTTGTAAGTCACGTCACTCACGTAATATTCCTTATATATATATTTTTTGTTTTGTTTACATTTATGTTGCAAGACGTGTGCGGAAAACGACAGTAAAATTTCGCGAGCGGGGAAATCCCATAGCTAGTTTAATGCAGCACGTGAGCTCTGCGTTCAATATAGTACCGACTTCCGCTCGCTTAACAAACTTTACTTCACTCGAAATGGCTCAACAGGACTGATTCAGTGGGAGGAAAATGTTACGCGTGATCTCAGATAAACTCGCGCATTGGAAAGAAAAAAAAAGAAAGTGCGTTTCAAGGACGAGCGTTGGAGGTTAGCGGACCTCCCTACCGCACACACAGACAAAACAAAAAAGGTTAATAGCGTGCGATTTTTCACACCGCGCCGAAGCGTTATGTACGAGAAATTATAACCTAATATATAACTAAAATCGAGTCTTTTGTTTTTTCCACCTCGCAAGCGGTGCTAAGAAGCGAAACGATGGAGAAGTCACGGAAGTTGAGTTGGCGAACGCACGACCGAGCTTACTTTGTATGTGGAAGAGCCCGACGGCAAACTGGGAAATTTCCGGCACTTGTTTCACAACCTCGTCCGTTATTAGGTGGCCACCCCTGTGTTGCGGCCTCAGATTGATTTTCCTTTGGACCCACGAAGACCCGTGCCTTATTCCACTGCCACTGGCCGTCGCCATCACTTCGGGATCAGATGGGATGGCCATGCGAATAGATGTAGGCGTGGTGTTTCTTTCTCCTCATTTAAGCGACGTGGATGGATGAACCCCAAACCGGCTGAGCCTCAGGCGGTAGCTTACGCCACCTAGACGCTACCTACTGAATGTAGCACTGCCAATTCTTTCAGAGATCCAGCGAAATAGCACGAGTAAATTGATTACTAGAATGGAAAGTTGGGCGAGTTGGTATGAATTCATTTTGAAAAACAGCGCGAATACCACACGGACAAGAAGGAGGAACACACAGGGCCTCGTCCTGTGTGTTCCTCCTTCTTGTCCGTGTTATACACGTTTGCAAGTCCGGCTTCAGGGCGCTGCCATCTTGCCTGTCTGGGGTGCGCTTGGACCAGTCATAATCCGATTACGAAGCCTTGCTAAGGCGTCGTAATCGGATTATGGCCGCTCCAGGCCGCTCCCGAGAGCGCACCCCACTGAGGTAGATGGCGGCGCCCTGAGACCGGATGACGAAAATAATCCCTGGAGAAGGGGAACAAGAGGGACAAGGGACACACACAAATGTTCAAACACAGCTAGGTGACTGGTGCGCGACCGAAAAAATCTGCCTGGTCCGGGTATCGAACCCGGGAGCTCTCCATTTTTTCCAGTGGAGCGCTCTACCAACCAGTTGGCGAACCAGGGCTTAGACGTCAGTAGAGCAAACAGGTTTTATCAGCTGCCACCAGTCTAACACCAACGCGGGTGAAAGGCTTGCATTTTAAGGTTATGATTATAACGCAATTAACTGCAAAGGTGCAAGCAAGCTGGACTATGACGAACCCGTTTGCTCTGCCGAAGTCTAACCCCTGGTTAGCTTTGTTGGTAGATTGCTCCACTGGAAATGAACAGGTCCCAGGTTTGATACCTGAACCAGGAAAAATTTTTCGGTCGTGCACCAGCCACCTAGCTGTGTTTAAAGAATTGTGTTTTTTCCTCTTGTTCCCCTTCTTCAGGGATTATTTCCTTTATTGTTCAGCTCGCTTGCACTTTCACATTTAATTGCATACAATCATAAATTAATGAGACTGTTTCATAAAACCCAAACCCGAACCACATCGAAAGCAACTACAACACAATTTCTGGCACTACATGGATATTTTATTATATTTTATTATAATTTAATATCGAAGATGTGGAGCGTGGCGGTGACAGACAAAACCATCAATCTTCACCACCAAATGTCGCTTTAGCAAATATGTACATAGTACCACTCTATGACAAAATGTTACCTGAATCATAGCTTCCTATAAAGAGTCACTTTCCTGTCCCACTGTGTCTGCCCAAAACACTGCACAAGCTCCATACAACACCTGCCTAGCAAAAAGCTGTGGATGTTCTCCTCCACATTGATATTCATTCTCAGTGTGTCCAGATGCTGAAACTCATCGCAACTAGCCCTTCTCATTCGACGAGAGGCACTTCTGTAGCACTTCCAGAGCTGTGCCTCCAGCAAAAGGTACCTTGTGTTTGCACAGACAGACACCAAGAAGCTCTTTAAGCCCTCATCACCATGGTTCAGATGGATCCACATTGTTACCGAAAAACAAAATGTGATGTCAAAGGTCTTGTGACTGTAACGATCCAAATAGTCTGCGATGGCTTGCCCACTGGTGTCGGCCATTATGTCCAAGCACATGTATTCAATGGAGTCGGGGAAAGGGTTGCTCTTCTCTGCACACTGTATGAGCGATTCGTCAATGTCGATGGCAAGCACTTTAACGTAACCAGAGCCCGATGCTGTCAGCATTCTGTATAGCTGTGTCGTGAGGGCCTGGAAAAAAAAGAGGAAGTGAGAGAACACCAGGAATGTTACGTCCAGGGCGTAAGATGACAGTGAAAGACTTTAACACGGAACTTAAAACCAACGGAGCAGTTAACAAAAGTATAAAATAAAATTAACGAGCTCTCCGATTCTAAATCTTTATATTATTATAAACAGATTACAGGTCTTGAGATGACGTTGGTATTGGCTCTTCAGCGTTCATAAAATATTTAAGAAAAATAGTGAAATAAGCACACACGAACATCGTAAAAAGGGTAAAAAAAAAAAACTTCCATACGTACACCGCTGTTGCATCCGATATCCAGTGCCACAATTTGGCGCTGTTCGTTCAGCATACAGAAGGATGACAAATCATTGGGGAGCCTTTCGAGTCGCGCTTCTGGTTTGTTAAATTGATAGTAATTTCTGAAATTACCAAATTTCGCGGCACCTGCGTTGTTCCGAAGCGAACACATGGCAGAGGGACATGCATGGGATTGGGGACATGAGAAGAACAGTGGTGAGAAATACATAAACAAGTTTGTAATAGAAGATGGAATGAGAAATTACTTTCCGTACTTTGTGGTGGCGTGGTTAGCGCTCCCTAGGTATAGTGGTATTAGAATTCATATTATAAAGCTGGAGCATTTAAAAATATGTTTTTTTATACAAACTTCTGTTGTTATGTTATTTTTTATTGCTTAAAATCAAGTAATTAGAAAACATGTGTTCTCCACACGCACAATTTCTATTCTTTTTTACTACAACCGAAACCGAAACCAGAAATGACAACCGAAACCACTTACGCGTGGACAACGATGACGACGACGTTGGAAGCACGACCTTTGATGGAAGTGGGCCATTATTGTTCTATACTTCATTTCAATTTATCTGCGAACGAAGCCAAAGCTAGAAGCACGAGACCAGCGCTTTGTGCGTTTCTCCCCAGTTTGCGCGCTCGAGGAAAGCCTGAACGCACGGAGCTTCCGTGCTCGCGCTTCCAGCTTTGCCTTCTCTCGCACATAAGGTGAAACGAAGCATACACCGCACGGTCTTTTCAAATGTCAGTAAGCGTCTGTTATGCGCTCGCGCCTGACATGCTGGACCAATAAGGCCGTCATACGTGGACCTTTTGATCCGAATTTGATTGTGAAGCTTCTGGGTCAGCCGGAGCGATCAGAACCTAGACTGGAGCCATCATGAAGGCCGTCCTGGTACTCATCCTGTGCTGTTTGCTCTACGATCGCGTTCTGGGAGATTTGGACCCGGCGGCTCAAGGTTAGTGTCCAACACACCACAGTTATTCGACGCTATTGGGCTTAAACATATCAATAAAAAAAAAAAATTTTTTTTTTCATTTTATTTTTGTTGCGTTTTACTTCACTGTTAGACCTCATGGTCCTGATCCTTTTGAGATTTCTCTCTCCAGAGACATCGAGGGCCGATGTCAACCTGAAACACGCGAGTTTGGACGCTGAAGTGGAAAGTTCTACGTGCGACGCGACAACCTGCGAGAAGTCCAACGAATCTGCCGGCACGACTCCAGAAGCTGACTCGGATCGCTCGGCAGAGCATGATGACGAGACCGTCGAGGATGAGTCCGACGAAGACGAGAAGACGGAGAAGGATGCCGAAGACATGGCGGAGGAAAAGGAGGAATCTAAGGTTATCGCCATCGACAACGACCCTACCTTTACCGATATCGACTTGGTGAAGATGAATATTAAACAAGACGAAGGCGTGTTCGTGCTCAATAATGACAACTTTGACCAAGCCGTCAACAACACACGGTTCATGCTGCTCAACTTCTACGCGCCATGGTAAGTGCATACGCGAGTCAGTGGAAAACAAAACAAACTAAAAATCCAGCATCAGTCACAGGGTGAGATGAAAGGTCGAAACACCCATGGAATATCACTTTTCTCCTTGCAGGTGTGTGCATTGTAAAAATATGGCTCCCGAGTACGCCAGGGCTGCCACCATCCTGCGGGAGAAGAAGCCCCAAGTGTTGCTGGCCAAGATAGACACCACCGTCCAACAGGCCCTGTCGAACCGCTTTGATGTCAACAAGTACCCAACCCTGTTCATCTCTCACAGGGGCAAGATGACGGAGTACGAGGGAACCTTCTCTGCCGAAGGTCAGCATTCTTTTTCTTTTTTTTCTGCTTGAAGATAAAAAGAGAGACCATTCTTTGTGCCGGCTATCCGTCAAGAAACAACGCTTCAACATGTTGCAGAATAGCTATTCTCACAACAGGGTAAACCTCACGAAACAGTAAAGTAGTTTTACGTGGAAAGCACATGTGCTTTTTGCCTAAAAGTGCACTTTTGCAGATTTCACCATTATGGCACATGCCAAGCACATATACTTAGTCCAACCCAAAACTAAGCTAGGTAACGAAGCCTTCTTCAACCTAACTGAAAAAAATTCAAGTTATTTTGTTCAAGTTAAAGCGTCTAGCTTAAATAATACCCAGAAGGTATGCACATCTCAGTTATATGTCACGTCAACCTTTTTTTATATATATATATATTAATGTGTAATGCCTCAGATCGGTCTTTGTCAATGGATGTCTCCAAGGTGTGTCTCTGATCAAGCCTGTGATTCTTGCAGGGCTTGTAGACTATGTGTCGGAGAGAACCGACCCAACATGGAAGGCGCCACCAGAAGCCACGATTCAGCTCACAACCGAGACCTTTACCCCAACCATCAACGCTGCCAAGATTATACTGGTTTACTTCTATGCTCCATGGCAAGTTTACTTTTCTCCTGAAAACCTCTTTGTTTTACATGTGAACATATTTAATATTGTAATTCTAAATTCGACTTTATCAAGAGTGATAAAAGAAAAAGGCAAAGGTGAATCCTTTTTCACAACCCCGAGCACGGCATGCAAGCTTAAAAATAAAGATGCAAGACACCCAACAACAAAAACAACAAGGCTGTTTGGTCTGTATTTACATGCTGGAAAGCAGAATGAAATATATAATACTGTATGGTATGTGTCATAATGATGTGTAAAATCTGATCATGTACCCATAATAATACTATGGCCCCGGCCAAATTGCATTACCAAGAGCTGGTGACATCAATACGGTGACGTGATCGGTCTTTGTCATAGATGTACACTTTATTTTCATTACTACCACAGCAAATATCATATGTCAAGATGCATCTGTTGGCTTGTCCATAAAAAAACATTGACTACTTTGCCTTCCCTCTTCTGTACAGCTTTTTGTTAGCATCAGTTGCACAACAGGTTTCACTCCCTCAAACGAAGAACTAGCTGCTGCATGTAGAAGTATCAGGCACGGCAACAATGTACTGAAAGATGAAGCACAGTATAAACTGTTGTGAATGGTTATTTTAGGTAGCCAAAGGTAAATTACATAGTATATTCCACGGAAGTCAGGTTAGAACAGAATTATATTGAGCAACCAAGTTAATCTTTCTTTAGAAACAATCCAGTCGAACTCATTAAGGTTATTCCCAAATTCCTATCCCCTCCTCTAGCTAACTGAGCTTTAATTCATTCTCTTCACTGTGCCATCATCACACACATGGAGTCTATGTAAAGGTAATAACCAAAGCAGAGAGTTACCATAAAAAAAAATAAGTTTATAGAGAAGTTTATATAAATCCCCCCGCAATACACAGGTATACTAGCAAACTCGAACAAAAAGTCATCAGAATATTGCAGTCAATCATATATATTAGCTGCAGTTTCAGTATTAATCGTTTACTGCAAGGTAGAAATGTTACATCACCATTTGCCCAGTTCATATATATACTATATATATATAACATTTGTGTGTGCAACACCTTGCTCTGGAGGAGTGCTTTCCCCTTAGCACGTGGCTGCACTGTGGTGAAGTAAGATACAAAAAATCAGGATGCCTGCTGCCTACTCTGTGGTTCTTGCTTCACTGCCGGGCACAAGTGCACGGTGAGAAGCACCCTCAACAGTGCTATCTAAAGGGCTCTCCAAACAGGACACTTCAAGAACGCATGAAGCAAAATTTCTCCGCGATATACACCATTGCAAGCGGGGTCCCCGCTTAACCTCAAACTGTGCGCCGAGGTGAGGCGGACCAACTCTCCGGCCAGGACGTTCGCTGCTTGTCATACAATGTGGCTAAGCGTATCTTGCTGAAGCATACACCATTGAGTGCAGAGAAACCAAAAATGATTTTTAAAACATACAGGTGTTGTTTTTGACCACAAAAGAGAACAAACAATGAAATAAAATACCTAAACCAGTAACAAATAAAAAGTAATTATAAAGATATCTGAACGGGAGTCAAAGAAAGAATAAAAACACTTAAGGACAAGGACAGACAGCACAGTTCTTTCAACTAGCAACACACATTTACTGGTGTCTCCTTCAATAGTGCTATCTTCTTCCTAACGTTTGAGATCTCAAACGTTAGGAAGAAGATAGCACTATTGAAGGAGACACCAGTAAATGTGTGTTGCTAGTTGAAAGAACTGTGCTGTCTGTCCTTGTCCTTAAGTGTTTTTATTCTTTCTTTGACTCCCGTATTTTCACCAACACGCTCTTTCATCTTTGTTTAGATATCTGAAGTCTCAAGGCATTTATCAGAACACACCACAAGCCGCATGGCCGCCGCACCAATGATGTCTGCGCTTGTGGCAGCTCTGGCTTCCACGACGTGCTGGAACAGAGACTGCTATCGTCATAAAGTCAGCTCCAACCCTTAAACATGCCCCCTCACACAATGTCTGATGCTATGATTCTGTGTGGATCCCTCCTCCTGCATTCCGACACGACGCACAATAAGTTACAGCACCGTAAGTGACACACAGTAAGTGTGTCGCTAACGCTGGCTGTCGGCAATGCAGCAGATGCTGCCATCTTGTCCTTGCCAACCCCAATGACGTGCCTCACAATGGCAGCGCAAGGAGCCTTTCTTGCAAATGTGTATAAAGAATGGCAATCCGCGCCTCTGTCCATTTGTTTTGCTCGGGAGTAAGCTTCCCTCCGTCAACGAACGTCAACTTTTGTCCTTCACGAAGGCCTAAAGCAGGGCTGGCCAAGCTGCGGCTCGCGAGCCGCATGCGGCTCCAAGCGTGTTAAAATGCGGCTCGTGTCTATTCCCCTCCAGAGACACACACTCACCCGCCTCCCTACAAGTCACACAAGTACTTCCCAAAAAGGGAAATGGAACACATTTTAAATCAAAAGAGAGGCTGTAGTTTGGTAGCCTTGTGCTACTGCTACCTTACGTGCAGTTAGACTGCTTTTGACTCGGATAGATTGAAAGTAATTCAAATTTCGTTTATGGCTAAAAAAAAAAAAATGTGCACCCCCCCCCCCCCCCCCTCTTACCCTTTCCCGTGGCTCGTGGAAGTTTCGTGGTTTTGTTTGCTGCTCTTAGGCCAGGTCAGCCGGCCTCCGCTGCTCTTCAAGTTCCGAAAACGGGAAAGAGAAGGATGCGAGGAGGCAACAGGCACACCATTGGCAGGTGGCGTGTGACGTCAAGTCCGATGAGCAGCGGCGACGTCAAAGAAAGGCAAAAGAGGCAAGGAGGAAAGCCGTGATGTTAGCCTGGTGGATGTCCTAACAAAAGATGGACTGCCAGACTACAGCTTTCACATCATGTGGCGAAAAGGTGTCGCCTCACGCGTTCTGAAGTATCCTGTTTAAACAACCCCCCTGAAAAAAAAAAAAAATTTTTTTTTTTAAACAGTTTGGTTGGGACACACGTGTCAAGAAATTCATTTTAGTAAAAAAAAAATTAATTTTTTAGTGCAATATTGACGGCGCGAGACACAATTTAGTCGGTAGTCACCTCCTTTCCCCTCGTCTTTTCTCTTGGCATTTCGGGCACGTGGAGGAGAGGTGGATCGGATTCGCCGTCACGTTGGGGCGGAAACGTTGAGGTGGAAACTTCGCCGTCACGTTGAGGACGTCACGGACCATTCCGTGACGTCATGGACCTTGACCGTAGAATTCCAAATAAATTTTTTGCCACATTCATTGCTCTTAAAATTTTTTTTTTTTTTTTCATGTAAATATTATTTTTTGACACGCGTAAGAAATATATTTAAGACAATAATCGAAAGTTCTGAAAATTCACACAAGACTACGGTAACGATCTGGCCATGTAGTGGGGCCTATGCTATTATATTTTCAGTATTAATAAAAGGAAATTACGTTTTGGCACAATGTTGGCACAAATTCATCACATTTTGGCAAAATGTAGCAGGGTGAGCACTTTGGTGCAGCAACCATATCACAGTCAGTAGCATAACCTAGAAGTGGTCACATTCGTAAGAGGTTTCCTCCCCCTTTAGGCACTCTCAGAGGCATTTAGAGAGTTTAGCGTTCAAGATCTCAGCCAAGTGCCAGTCACTGGCATGCAGAAGCACTATCACATGAACGCATGAAACCCGCCCAGGTGCGGTCACTGCAGACGGATGTCTCCGGAGTTTGAGCGTGCCGCACGCCGGCTCAAGGACTATGGCATCCCATTGGCCAAGGTGGATGCCACCAAGGAGAAGACCCTAGCCGAAGTGCATGAGGTCAAGAGCTACCCCACGCTCCTCGTGTACCGCAAGGGCCGAAGGTTTCCTTACAACGGGCCCCGAGAGGAAACAGGTGACTTTTTCAATCGATTGATCCATTCACCTTTTAATGTGCACCCACAACAGCTAGCAGGCCTTGGGACAGATGCATGTACATGAGGCAAAAGACAAAATATGACTAGTGAGTGATATGAGTGCAGCTTTGTGCAACACCTGTATTTGAAGAACCATTTCATTTTATTTTCTATTTATTTACCGAAATGGCGGCTCCCCACTGAAAGTCATAAAACGAGTGGTAGACAATGTAAAAAACCCACAAAAAAATATGAACACAGAAAAAGCAGTCTAGGAAATTAAGCTAAGTGCAGCAGAAAACTTTGCAAGTGAAAAAAATGCTAGATCATTTTCAAGTGATTTTCAGTCTTGTATTGGCTGAGATAAAAATTAATGTTCTCGAATGCTGCATTTAAATCTATATTGCTTAGCTGGTCCGGTGCAATTGATCCTGGATGATGTGGTAAGTGAAACGGTAATATATTTTTAAATACTAATATATTAAATTTGCCATGGAGAAAGAAATAGTACATATTTTTTTAATCTACTTATCGTTACCCTAGCTTCCAACAATTGACGCAAAGGGACGGCTCTCTTTCCGCAGGCATTGTGAATCACATGAAGCACCTCTCGGAATTCCCGAGCAAAGAGGTTACGTCTCTGAAGCAGCTGAAGAAGGTCCAAGGGACCTTAGACACTACGATCTTGGCCGTGCTCAACAAGAAGAAAGGTCCCTTCTACAAGGAGTACGAAGCTACAGGTAATGGCAAGAGAGGTCCACGGGGCTAAAAACAAATCTGCTTTCTTGGAGTGTGGATCGTCCACACACCCTTTGAAAGATTCCAGAAACCGGGTTTTTTCGTTGGGAGACAATAATAACCTTGGAATCTGTTGATCAGTCTAAATGGCTTTGAAACCTTAAAATCTAGTCACTGACAGAACGAGAATGACAGGGAATCTAGATCGCATGCTCGGCCTCCAGCACAAGCGCGTTGCCTTCCACTGTGCTTTGAGTGCGGTGCACGCTCGAGGCTCACAAGGCGCCGAAGCATCACTGAAGGTAGGAAGCTTGCGCTGGAGGCAGGACAACTGAAACCCTGCTTTATCATTCTCACCTAATCAGTTACTACAGAGTGACGTATATAATCCATCAAAATGTATTCCTCCTGCTATTACAGCGAATGCCCTCAGGGGGAAACACTTGTTTTTGCACACCTACTCGAACGACATCGCAAAGCACTTCAAGGTGCCTCTGGATTCGCTCGTCCTGATGCACCCCGACCTGTTGCTGTCTCAATATGAAGAAAAGTTCTTCACGTTAAGCAAGGTAAGGCGTCATTTTAAAGAGTCCAAGGACGTGCATCGCTGCTCGACCTTGACCAAACAAGCGCACAAATATTTTCAGTCCGATGCCACCCAAGACCACATGGTGCGCTTTGTGGACGAGCACCTCTACCCATTGGTTGGACACCGCACTGCAGAAAACTTGTGGAAATACATCACCAAGTTCCCCCTGGTGGTGGTGTACTACGACGTCGACTTCAGCTTCGACAACAGGGACGGTAAGTCGGTTGGCTCACAACGGGAACATTGTGCACCCTCCTGTACACATACCGTAATATTACGAGGGATTGCCCACCCAAAAGTCGAAAGCAAATCGGGTGAAATTAAGGAGTACCGTAAAGTACCGATCAAGCGCCCATTCAAAATTTAGAGGTAATCGCAATAAAGTGGGGGATGGGCGCTTGTTAGGTCACATATTTTATCTATATTCGTACTGCACATACTTTTTCAGATGTTACATTTAGGGATGGGTGCTTAGTGTGGAATGAGCGAATGCATGGCATTTTACGACAAGTTAACTTTCGGAGTGCGACAATGAAGAGCTGAGAAAATGCTAGTTTTAAATTCTGTGACCTGCAAAACTTGTGATCACAAGAGTGGGGGCCAGACAATCATCCTTCCCAGTCAGCAATGTTCACTTATCTCCCGTCGTGGCTAGGTAACACCTTAGCTGTCAAGGTCAATGTTCGCCAGGGCCTCGCAATTACTAAAAGTAAGCTATCTTTCGGTGTTCTTGAAAACAAATAGTGAATCATGCTAAAAGATACCGGCGGGTTATCTTTTGGAGGTGGGGCATCTGTCGGGATATCACCGTAGCTTGCACCTACGTCGCATCAGCAGCCGTTGTGCTGGCCTTGCTGCCGAGCACTCATCTTCGGGATGATACATTTCGCGCCATCAAATTTGTTTTTCTTGGCAAGAACAAGTAGGAACGACTACCAGCATGATGCACCGACGACACGTGCAAGCCAGGTATAGACTGCGCCATACAATGCTATCCAGTCATAATTTGACTGCTATGTTGAGAACAAAGTTTGGTGGTGGGAGACAAGCATGATGGAAGCTTGCATTCTTCGCTCGCTCAATGATAGGTACAAAGCATTACGAGGGTTTGGCACATTAGAAAACAAATTAAAAAGGGTTTTCAGCTACTTGCTAAGACTTCTTCATGGCAACCCCTGCAGCTTCGAATATTCTCACCAACATTTGCAGTTTTCGATTTCCAAAGACAAGTCTGGCAGTGAAAGGGTTAGAGCCAACATTTCTAGATTAACTTGATTCCAGAACCCCTGTGAAGAAGCGAACGTCCCTCTCTTTCCTAATGCCATTACTCGTCGTTTAAAGCATCACTAGTGGCTGTACTTCGAAACGGTATTCTTTAGAAAAGCACCATTGAGACGCTGTGCTTCAGAACCCGTGTATTCTATGAAGTACCAAATTTTCCAGACTATAGTCTGCAACCAATGTACAGTCCACAAAAAAAATTTTGACTGAAAAATAAGTTTTTCTCAGGTAGTCTGCACCAGGCACGTAGCCAGGGGGGGGGGGGGTGTTCAGGTGTCAGAACACCCCCCTAAAATTTTACTTTACTATATATAAATAAATAAATATATACATATATTTCTTTTTTTTTTATTGTGTGTGTGATTGCATCAGCACCTTCCAACACCCCCCCCCCCGAAAATATTTTCTGGCTACGCCACTGGTCTGCACCCAGTGCATTCCCTGCAATAGTCCAGAAAATATGGTATACCGTAGTTACCCAAACACCAGTCTCCAAAACTGCGGTGCTTTGAACAGCAGCAGGCGAACCTTTGGAAAAGGGGGAGTGGTGCACATGGAAACAGGATTTGCGGCGAACATTGATTAGTGTCGAGAGAGAAACCGTAAACTGCACAAAAAGGCCACCCTGTTTGTTCAGAGCCATGGGCAGGCTCGGCGTTGCCTTACCAGCATGAAATGCGACGCCTGCAGACACCCAGCACATCCGCAACAAGGTGTTGAAGGTTGCCCAGCAGTACAAGGGCCGGGTGACCTTTGCCATCTCGAATGAGGTGGAGTTTGAGGATGAGCTCAAGCACCTGGCGCTGGAGGACACCGGGGCAGAGGTCAGCGCGGGCATGTACCAGTCGGAGAACGAGCGCTACCGCATGCCCCCCACTGACGACTTCAAGAGTGGCACGCTGCGCAACTTTGTAGAATCTGTGCTCCAGGGTGAGTGGCCTGTGCACTAGCATGCTGCAACAATGTCTTTGGATGCACAAGGCATCTTGCAGTGTTTCACTAGAAAAAATGTGAAGGTAACGGATTAAAGACCAACGTTGGATCAGGCTCGACTTGTGCCTCGCAAGCCAATGCTTCTCTCGTAAAGCTTAAGGACTCATCATCTCTTCTAAGATGATGCTCGTGGTGGCATGACAACTTTGTTGCTGATTTACAAGTGCCACATAATGTTGGAAAGTGAAGCAAAAACTTTCCTGATCGGGAAGCATGCTAATTTCCTAGCTGGTGCAAAAAATTACTGCTACACTGGAGCTCCGCCTAGAAAAGCTTAATCTCCATCTCACTTCAACAAAAAGTTCCATTTCAGATATATGCATTGGGAAATCCCAATCCTCCCCCAAGTGCTTCTATCTAGGCCTGCAGACTGGTAAAACACTTATGTTGTCACACCAAGAAAAAAAGAAAGTTTTGCGCATTATTCATGCACCGCACAAAGTAGTTCTTGCAAGATTTGGTTGTTGAAGGAAGAAACTAAGCTTTTGGCGTTTGAAACATGCAACTCTCGATAAAATAATGTACCGCCTTCCTAAGCGAGAACAAGAGCGCAGTTTGCACTCTTGTTCCTTTTCTTTTTTTTTACACCACTTCTCTTTCCTTAAAAATTATTTATGTTTCAAAAAGAAAAAAAAATTTGCACTAAAAGATTATGTAAAACCAGTAAGACACGTTTTATCCCACACTTCATTCAACTCAACAGGCTGCAGAAACATTTTTGCTAAATGTGCAGTGCCAAAAGGAACTCTGGGAACTGGCTGTATAGAATTGGTCGTAACAGACGACAGAGGCAAACGGGTGAGGGAAGGCAAGCGACGCTAGTCTCTCTCACTCTCCGCAGCGTCATATGGTAGACGCTGCAGGAGCAAAAAGCAGCATACGGAACGTTCCCATTCATTCGTTGCACAGCCTTTTTGGACAATGCTCAGACGGCCCACCGTGCTCGATGTTGCAGGCAAGCTGAAGCAGCACATCCGGTCCGAGCTTCCGCCGAAAAAGCAGAACCCCAGGGTGCTGACGGTGGTCGGCTCCACGTTCCACTCGCTCATCACGTCGTCGGACAAGGACACGCTCATCATGTTCCGCAGCCCAGACTGCCACATGTGCAACGAGATTGCTGAGGAGGTGGCCCAGACGGCCCTCCGGATGGAGTGGATGGTGCCCGGGGCATTCCAGGCGGCCATCATAGACGCCACCCTCAACGACTACCCGACCACTTACAAGGTGCCACGACTTGTGGCGATGCAAGCCACCATTTCCCATAGTCGGCGACAGGTTGAGAATGCCTCCAGTGCAAGCCTTCTGCCTTCGATAGCACTTTGTGGCACTTGCAGTCGAAGCTTGGTAAAAGGCAACAAGCACATGCTCGATGCTGATGCATTCTTAGCCTGTGACCAACCATAGATAACAAGGCTCCGAGCCCACCTATACTCTGTTCCGAGCTCGTCTATACTCCGTTTCATTTTACAATTAACTACAGTGGACGCTACAAACCACTGAAGGCAACCCAATGCTTTGCGAGCATCGCATGACCTTGGGAAGGGCTTGTAGTCACTTAATATGTTTCACCGTGCTGGATTTGCTTGTAGCATTTGCTGCGGTCTATCGTGAGGTGAAACAAAGTATAGGTGGGGTTGGAAGTCGGGATGGGCATTTGATGTGTCACTTGCTTATTTTTCTACTGTTACAGAAGTAGAGGGTGGGCATTTACTAGAGCATGGGCACATGCTCAGTATTCTATGGTAGGTTTGATTTAAGGAGAACGGCCCCGCCATTTCGCTCAATGAGGGACGTAAACTGCCCTCTGAAAAAACCGCGACATCTGGCAACCATGACCCCATACGAAAGTATTATAATATAGAAAGAAAAGATTAGTCAAAGAAAGTAAGTTGGATTGGTGAAAATTATCTAGGGAAAATGGAATGAATTAAAACTAACGACCACAGCTGGGGACGGACGGGACAGAGGAAAGTCTGAACTCCCTCCCGCGTGACTACAGCCAAAGTTTCAACCCTGTCTCCCAATGGGCCCAGTGTTGAGGTGATGGTGACTAGCTTTGACCAGAGAAAAATTGGAGACTCCCTCATCGGGGAAAGGCGGCACGAGCCCAACCCCCAAAGGTCATCCTGGCGATATTCCACACTGCATGGTGATAGAAAAATGCAATGTGGGAGCAAATTGGCTTAGAAAGGCAAGGGGGTGAATCACACTTTTGGTTTCTATGCTAGGTGGCACAAGCTACCATCCATTATAAGGGGCAGAGCCGCTAGCATCACAGCCGTATATATAGTCTGGTCAATGGGAGGAGCGGGCAGAACCAGGGCGTGCACCAGACACAAAACGAGGGCCTGACATGCTCGCTTGTCCAACCAAAAGCCAGAAATAATCCCCAAGCGGTGGTAGCAAGAAACGGTTTTGATAAGTGCGTAAGAGTTAAATGGTAATAACTCCTCATGGTTGAAAATATGGTGCATGCAGTGTTTAGATTATTATCATGCAAAGGAATGTAGGAAAGAAATGTACCGCTGAGACTCTGTTTTGCTCGGATGGAGTCTGACCGCTTGGATGGCAGATTCCTGGCCCTCAGCACCTGGCGTACAGATTACGTCAATTGTTCTGCTAGTCACGCACGCTTTTTATATCTTTATATATCTTCCACCATGATGTTGCATGGCGGTGATGGAAGCATCACCAGCACCATATTTTCAGTCACAGAGAATTACTCCGACTCACGTATTAACGCGAAAGCATTAACTATCCCATGGAGCAAAGCCGGCGGCGTCTCTAACCGCGAAACAAATGCCCATTCTTTCATTGGCTGAGCAAAACGGCTCCTAGGTAGCCATTGGCGGCATAATCACAAGAGCGCGCGCTCGGCTGCCGCTCCCGTGTCAGGCGTTGCTGGGGGCAGGCGGGCGCTTCTGCTCATCTTGGCGCCGAGGAACATGCCGGTGCCTGAGGCATCTATGTCATCGCTGGCCGCAACCCCGGCAGTAGCGAAACATGGCCATCCACACCAGTACACCGCAAACCAACTAAGGGAGCAGAAGAACTACATTCATGCTTTTGCATTCACAACTCATAAGAAGTGCTTAGCTGTCCTCGGAATTTTTAATTTTGTTTCTCGCGACTACTGCCAGGATTTTATTCGTGGCTTCTGGCTGGACGCATTCAAAATTTGTGAAGACGCCCTGGAATACGCCCAGCTCGCTTTCGGCCAATGGTGCCTCCTTATTTGCTTCCCAACAAATGGCCAAACTCTCTCTATATCCACCTCTCCACACGCCTCTTGAGAGCAGTTTTGTTCTGTGGCTGGAGCCCAACTAAAGACAACCATCAAACTTAGGCAGTTCCACGTTTGTTGCAGATGGACGACTACCCAGCCATTTTCTTTGTTTCGGCGGTGGACAAGCAGCACCCGAGGCCGTTCAGCGGCATCCGAAAGGCCTTTGCCCTCATCAAGTTTGTCAAGGAGAACCTCAGCACACCACTGCCAGAGAAGTTCAAGCTCAAACCCGAAGAAGCGGCCACATCGGCCAAGGATGAACTCTAGCTTGCCCATCGCCCCCTCCAAATCATCCACTCACCAGACGCTAGTCACCAACAGGTGTGCATTTTTTTCAGTCACTATCCTCATTCTCACATGTGCCCGAAATCTTGTTTTATCTCTATAGTGTTTTGTGACATCTTCACCCAAGTGTTAATGTAGGGGTCCTTAGTGTTGCATTTTCTCGCAATCGTGCAAAACTGACTTCCTAAAAGGGAAGCAGTGAAGTGTGTGTGTGTGTGCATGTGTGCACGAGCATGTGCCCAATAAAGAGCTTATTTTGTTTCAAACACGACCACCCTTTATTCATTTTCAGAGAGAGGAAGGGTGGACGGGGGCATTTAGGAAATACAAACACATCCCGCTCAAATGAAACACATGCTTCCTCTTTGAAGGGCAATCGACATCCCAGCACTCTCTACCCAATATATTAATAGGACTAAAACCTCGGTGACAAAGGAACAGGCCGCGGAGAACAACTTTAAAACGCAGTCGATGCTCGGGTGCCTCGGTTTTAAAAGCTACACTTTCGGTTCGCAATAAATTAGCTCAGCGTGACCAGAAACAAATGATGTACAAAGCCTTGTAAAGACCACATTTAGTGTTTATATGTATATATGCACATTCACTCACAACACTCACACTTAAAAGAAACAACAAAAAAAAAAAAAACAGCTGCCTTAATGCAAAAATGGAATGGTACCTCACTGACTGTAAAAGATGAGCTGCTGTAGACTCTGCAAGAAAACGTCTTGAGGAACAATGACATTAATTATGGACCCCAAACGCAAGGCCTGTTTCCTAGAGCTGCAACTTAAGCCCTTGGCTCTCCAGAGATCCTAGATGACTGCTTTTCCTCACACAGAAACTGCAACTTTTCGGGGAGGCTACGAAGCTCCATATAACCTCCTCTACTTATTAGAAAAATTAAAAAAAAAGAAAAAGCACCAGAGGTAAGGAAGTCTGGTATTTCTCTATACTAGAGCCACTTAACAAGCTACGCTTCAGAGCAGCGACATGTCGGCCATCTTGGTGGTTAAAATTGTTTTTTCCAGCTATCTAAAGCTTTATCTGAAATAGCGGAAAAGGGTTTTCCGTGGTCTAAAATTGATAAAACCGTCTGCGGTAGAGAAAAATGTAGTCATGCACGAATAGTTCATTTTGAGCTAGTAGAAAACAGTGGTTTTGGACAATTATTTTCTAATTGAATATAATAATTTCTCGAGTGTCTGAACTACTCTGCCCTGTGTTTAAACGAAAATTCACCCGAACTTGAGCAGGTTGTTCACAAGCTTGCACTTGTCCTCTCCTAAGCTCAGTTAATTTTTATATAGCTATATTTATTAACTATGCCATGTAAACGACAAAATTGTGACAGCCATCCTAATTGAGGCGATTTATAAATCTGCTTGGTATGTGCAAATATTCTTTGTTCAAATCTGACAAAAAAAAACAAAAATACACAAGCATGAATGACGAGCACAGGATATCAAGACATCACTGCCTAGAGCATGCTCTTGCATAATTTCGGCAGTTTAGCCCCGTTGAGTGCGCTTCTCACAAAGCCCCGGAGCACTGTGGGGAAGCAATCCCCTCGGAGCCCCCAAGCTCTGCAGGTATTTCTTCCCCGCAGTGCAGATGTGCTCGGTAAGAAGCGCACTCAACGGGGTTAGCTTGCCGCGATCAACACTTCGAAAAAGCACGAATGTCGCAGTCCATCTCGAAGCGAATATTGAATAGCTTATTATTCGAAACTACTATCAGAAAATTTGAATATTCGTACAACACTAGAAAAATGATACCGCCTAAGCCTTTCCTTGCTGCATGTAAAGTTCAGGAAGTCGAATCTTCAAATCGTGACTTCCAATATCGCCTGCTCTGTACCGAGCAACAAAATTATTGTGCCCACGGGACAACTGGGAAATGGAGTGCCGGTACTCTAGGCGTCACCTATTCAGTGGCTCTACCGTCTACCAATAAATAAATTGAGGGAAGAGAAACCACACACCGATTATTTTCTCCAAAAAGGAAAAATATGCTGGCCCTAAAAAGCTTGTCTCAGCCCTATCCACAAACACGCGCACACACACACACGCAACAAGTACAAACACGCACGCACACGTTTCGAGAGATCCCTTTAGGAACGCATCCGGCGCAGCGGTGTCCGCACCCACAGATACCTTCCCGGCCACTACAACACGCTCGCATGTGCGCTCGCGAACGCCCTGCAAGCCCCTCCGAGGTGTCCTTGCTAACACTCAATATAGACGGGGAGGGCAAAGAGGGAGAGGAAAAGAGGGGGAGAGCTATCGACCCTGCAGCAGTGGCGTCGGTCACAGTACAGCGCAACGGGAATTCTTCCACCACTTCCTCCGGCGCTTCTGGTCCACCGGCGGAGGCTGGTTCCTGCAACGTCCACAAGGGGGCAGATAAGGAGATGTCACATAGGGGAAGTATGCAGGCTTTTTAAAAGAAACATTTCTAAACACCCTCGTCTTTTTTAAAGGTGAGCCCATTAAAAAATGGGGGGGGGGGGGGGGGGGGGGGGTAAAGGAAGCCTTCCCCTTACCAAAACAATATTTTTTTGCGGTGTTTAGATAAGTTACGTATGCCACAAAATTCACCTATCTTTATTTTGGGCAATAATTTAAGTTGCAAAACTCGTGTGAGCAAATTTAGAACACAATCCTGATCCGGGGTCAAAGTCTCAAAATAGAAGCATGTTTCGGAATATTTCATAAATTAAAATGTGCTTCGCTTTGTAATTACTGCACTAAATAACTTCATTGATTAAAGTATATTTTGTGACATGAGGTTCTATCTAGGCACTTAAAAGAATGTTTTTGGGGAGTTGAGCTGAAAGGCACTAGTGGGTATTTTGAGGGTGTCTTTTTAAAAAGCAAACTCAACCGCCATCTCACTCTCGATCCCAGAAAACAAAAAATTCCAATCACGCGTGGCCTTTTTCTCTCCTTAAAAATACAACCAAACACTGAGACATGCCCTTTCTTCCTAACAGGTTTAAAGGGGGGGGGGGGGGAAGGCGGAGGTGTGTTTCACGATGTTCGCTTGCACCTTTGGGGCACCTAATCCTATTGCCGTGCCCCATACATTCAGTTACTTCAAGAGGTGAGCTCTCCATTCTGGGGCTAGGCCGTGCCCTTTGAACACAGTGATGATAGTGTCGCGTTTGTTTGTGAAGCAACTGAAAACGGTAAGCATGAAATTTTACTCTGCTTCCGTCCGGACACAGGAGCAGCTCAAGGCACATAAATAATACCATAGACTATATAGAAATGAATAAGACATTTACGGGCCGACATCAAAGACTTTGAGGCTGGGTTGCAGAATCATTGGTGGTTTCCCAAACCCCAAATAACACTAAGACAATGTCGCAATAAACAATTCAAATTATGACAACTCTACAGCTAAGCTTATGGCGCACCGTGAATTCACGAGGGCGCCCATCAAACCATTCGGCCAATCTTGGCCGCGACACGATCACATGGTCGTGTTGCCGCGGGGTCGATCGGGATCTCGAATTCGGCTCCCGACGCGCCGCTTTCTCTCCTAGCCACTGGAGGGCGCTGCAGGCGCCCCCGTGGCAGGCGAGGAGAAACCTCCTCGCCCATCGATAGATACTCGGTGGGGCAGGGGGCGAGAGGCCTCTAAGAACTTCGGGCGAGACCGAGACGCAGGCACTGGCAGGCAAGTGGGTGGCGACCGGATCTAGGCTATCGCGGGACGCGAGGCCTAAGGGCCTTCTTTGTGTTTGGTGTTGGTCTTAACGTGCGTTTGTAAATATCTGTGTAATGTCACGTGTATTTGTAGTTTAGATTAAGTGTTTTGTAGAGTTGTATTTTATTGTATGAATAAACGGGGAGCGGAATCCCGCTCCCGTGAAAGAACCAGGCTGGACTCGGTTTGTTGACGGACCACGTGGGAAATGGCGAATCGGCGGCGGTACGCGATTTCCTACAAGCTAAAACATGGTTTGCAGCCTACGAAGTCCCAGCATTTTAAGGCAAAACATTCTTTGGCTCTTAGGGGTGCGTCGCCAGATTTAGTGAAGCCAAAAAAATCGGACCACGAAGCTCAATGCCGACTGGCTGGCAGAAAGGTCACGTGATCAACACTGATCCCCAGATTCCGGTGCATATGGGAGGTACTGGAAAACCACCACGCTTTAAAACCTGACTAGAGCCAGCATCTTCATCCCAGGAACTGCAATAAAGTTCATATGCCACGTGTTAAGTTATCCGATGAAAAGCGCCGTGAGCAACCGCTCCGGGCTCGGCAGCGTTCCGGAGCGATACCAGAACCTTTCACGTGGAACGCAACTGCACAATTGCCCAGCAATTTGCTACACAATTTTTATAGACATAAAGGCAACCACAAGGGGAAGAAAAGCATACCCAAACAGAGACTGTAGTTAACTTAAAGGGCCCATGAAATTATTTTCCAACTTCTTCCCCTTTAGCTTTCCTCCTCAACTCAAGATCGATATGAGAATTCATGTGGTCGTGACATAGTATTTCACCTGATGCGATGATGCCAAGCTTCCACCACGCTTTTTAAGGGGGGACACTACCCAGAAAAAAAAGAATTCTGGCAAAAAAAGTTGACATTGAAAAATGGTATATTTCCATCCACCAACATGTAGAGAGTGTTCCCAGAAAGTTTCATTTATTTACACTCTATGGTGTTTTTTTTTTTATGAATTATTTGAGGTTCATTGATGCTAAAGATAAGGTAGAGGTTTGAGCACCTTGAACACGCTTTTCTCCATTCGGCTTTTTGGCACAAATTTCACTTTAGGAAAACTATTGTTTGGTAATTGGACAAAAGGCAAGGCTTACTCGTTGTTTTTCTTAAGTGAAATTTAACGGGCAATGCAGCTGTGGCATTAATGTGTTTTTTTTTATTTTTTTTTTACTACTTTGTCAATGTCTTTTAGAAGAGATGTTAAGATTTTGTCGACAACATAAAATGCAAGAAATTTTCAGCCCCCCCAATGTTAGCATAAAATAAATTACTTTTTAAAAATTTTGTTTTCACACCCGCGCTCTCCGGACATTCTGCTCCATATCTAGAGAAAAGAAAAATGTTGGGTATTAAAATAATTTTCTAACGGCAGTTTTCCTAAACAATGTCAGTGTATTCTTGGTAAAAACCACTACATGTAATTTATTTTCCAATTTATCTACACAGATGAAACTTTGCAATGATTTCTGCCTCACAAAAGCCGGTATATACTATAATATTATTTAGAGCCAAAGCGCACCATGCAATTGTCATTTGCAAGTGATGATAAGTGCCGTCACGCCACTCATTGGTTGTGAACACAAATCCAAGTACTCGACAACGGATTGTCGACGAGCGCATACGTCCAAGTGACACAGTGCTCCTGTCCAATGTGCGAGTTGGGGTCGGCTGACATACTTGGGCACTGCAGACGCATCACAGTGAAAAGGTAGAGAACTTTAGAAGGAAATGAGGTGAGAAATAGTCCTCTACATTTTCAAAATTTCGTACCAAAAAGCGGGCTTTTTGGTTTTCTACCCTCGCACACTAGTTTTCTTTTGGCCCACCAAACAATATCTGATCAACAAAATCCCAATATAAGCATTTATGTGGAAGGGAGCGCATTGGAGATGAAATACAGAAAGCATCAAAGAGGACACACAGGGACAAAGGACAACACATACAGCTCTGAAAGAGCTGTGTGTGTTATTTCCTGTAAAGAGCTGTGTGTGTTGTCCTCTGTCCCTGTAAGTGTATCCTCTTTTGTGTCTTTCTAAAATCATTTATCCCAGCTGAAAATCAATTTCATGGTCCCATTAACTCCAGCAGTGACTCCAAGCGACGACACAGTGCAGCGCTCATAGGAACTCACTATGTAACAAAATTACACTCTTGTGACTTAAAAGCGTTTGGGGATAACCATCACAAATAGATGTGTGCAGACGTGTAAAGATAGATTCAAGACACTGAATCCTTGCGCGGACATTAGGGAGTTTTAGAATAGCGCACGCTAAAGCTTTGCGCATGCAAAGAATAGCGTCGTCGCCACTGCGCATGCTCCGAACGCAAACCAGGTTTTGCGCTTTGCGTGCGCAATTTTAGCATGCGCTACTTCTCGGAAATAGAGTGCGTACGCAAAGAGCCCTTGCGCTTCTCCAAGTAGGATTCATGATGAGAAGTTGGCTAAAGCCAAGACAAGCAGAGTTAAGCAAAAAATGGCGGCTTCCAGGATTATGTCGGTGGCTGCTTTGGCGGCGTCGTGAGTGTGACGTCGGCGGCATCCTCGCGACTGCGATTTTCAATACGAGACAAAATTGTACTTGGTTTGGCAACGATCACCGGCAACTTGATGCTTGCGACGCGCGAACACTTTTCGGCAAAGGTCTCTTGCCGAGGCGATGCAAGCGGGCACGACCGGTCAACCGCTCGTGTCGCATTCTCGTGTTTAAACAAATATAAAATGGTACTCTGGACCAAAAAAACTTGTTTCTTTCCAAAGTTACAGCATTTCGTGTGTGAAATAAAAATTGTGACTGTATCTTGGTGGCGTCGCAAGCGCGAGATGCTTGGGCTTTTGCGTAGCGACGAATAAACGCTACTCTAAAACTCTCTTACGTCGCGGGCGCTAATACAAGCGCTAAATTTAGCGCTAGCATGCGCTAAAATTGTGTACGTTATTCTAAAACTCCCTAGTAATTGCCATAGTAACCATTTCGTCATAACCAGTCATAAGCTGCTGTAAGGTAGTCGGCCAGACTGAAATGCCGATATCTAAACCAGCCTTCCAGTGTAAATGTAATAAAATACACACATGAAATCGACCAATCCCCAACTGTCCAGGCAGTAACACATACGGAGGCTGCAGAGAGATGGAAACCCACCTGATGATTCGGACAACCTCGTGAAATGCGGCATCAACATTGATGGGAGGATCTTTGGCACTTGTTTCAATGTAGCTGATCTGCACAAAAAGAGCACCAACAGTTGGTGAGTCATGGATAAAATGCCCTGTACTGTACAAGTTTATTTTTGTACCGTTAAAAATGTTTTTAGACGAAAGTCAACATTTTTTTTTGTCTTCTAAAGGCGAGTTTTGGACTCTTTCCTTATATCAGGAGCACTGTGCTGCACTGTTGCAACAGGAAAAATTGACTCCCAGAAACCTACCTCATCCATAACACGTACAAGAAAGCAAATACTCCTTTCCGTGCAATAGCCATACGGAGGGATTGACAAATAATGCAAATTTTTCATCAGTACAATTGACTCCAGCATGAGTTCACTGCATTTGTTGGATGTTGAGTACAGATGCACACTCATTGCTTATGCAATGCTGCAGTGCTTGTACCAGAGAGGGGAAAAAAATACTGCCCTCCCTCTTTTTTTTTTGGCACCAATGAATAAACAAATACAACTGAACTCTTTCAGTCACTAAGCTGACAAGGTGATGGGAGCTTTACGCTAACTGGGCCAATCAATCATCTGCCTTCCATCGCCCGACCCTGCTCTCTGCGCATAAGTACGCAAAAAAGCATGATCACACAGTGCCAGGTCGACAGTCACTGGTCCAACAAGCAAGTAGTTTTTACCAACCCATCGGCATATACTTCGCCTCACCATACAAAGAACTAAAGGCAAGCTGCCAACCGCCCGGTCCAATCACCAGCTATAAGAAATCATGTGGTGCACTGCTGTGATGCGGGCATCGTCGGAGCAGTGTACAACCCTACAACCTGGTTTCTATGTGGCTTCTGATCGGACCTGGTAGAGGGGCGGATTTAGGATAGGGAGGGGGGAGAGAGGGAGAGGTCAACTTTTTTTTTTTTTTTTTAATGAAAAGATTTATATATACACCAGCCAGAAGTTTAGTTCTTGGTGACATAGCAAATAATAGGCCAACAAAATAGATATGAAGAACATGTCGCCCCCGACGTCACCTCTACAGATTTCTTCCCCCAAGCCTGACCCACACATTTTTCGAATCGATATATACTGTGGATGACGGACATCTCCCTGAAATAGCCCCCGACACGTCTCCAGGCATTATCGACGTAGTAGTCACCGAGGAGGGAATTTTTCATTTATTAAATAACGTTGACCCAAAGAAATGTCCTGGTGCTGATGCCATTCATAATGAGTTTTTGAGACGTTACGCAGAGTGGATTTCGAAGTATCTATTCATACTCTTTAAGGTGTCACTGCGTTACGGTGTACTACCAATGCAATGGAAAGTTGGGAAAATTATTCCAATTCACAAATCTGGAGACAGAAACAATCCATCAAACTATAGACCGGTATCTTTAACTAGTACGTGTAGTAAACTTCTAGAACATATAATGTTTTCACATATGATTCAATATCTTGATAATCACAATATTCTTACCCCGTTCCAACATGGTTTTAGGAAATCATTATCGACGAGTACACAGCTAATTGAGCTAGTTCATGAACTTGCAAATAGAATAAATGACAGGGGGCAGACTGACTTAATTTTTCTTGACCTCTCAAAGGCGTTCGATCGCGTATCGCATCCTAAACTTCTTCTGAAGCTATCGGCTATTTTTAAAAACGATCAGTTAATTACGTGGATGACCTCTTATCTCTCCAATAGATCGCAATATGTATGTCTTGAGGATGGGACTTCTTCTCTTCTGCCAGTAACATCAGGGGTACCACAGGGTTCCGTGCTGGGGCCACTTTTATTTTTAATTTATATCAATGACATCGTTAAGGATGTTCAAGTTCCGGTTAAATTATTCGCGGATGATTGTGTCATTTACTCTGAAATAAAATCACCCCAAGATCAGGTAGCACTTAATGAGGCTTTATTAAAAATTAAGGAATGGTCAGACAAATGGCAAATGAAAATAAACAACGATAAAACCGTTGCAATGACAATTACTTGGAAAAAGAATCCCTTGAAATATTGCTATTCAATAGATGCGATTCCCATTAAATTTGTTGACCACTATAAGTATCTTGGAGTGACAATAACCAGTAAACTTCTTTGGAACCAGCATATCGATGACATAACGAATAAGGCCAGGGCAAAATTATACACACTAAGACGCACCTTAAAATTTGCGGATAACGAAACAAAGAAGACTGCTTACCAATCAATTGTACGACCTATTCTAGAGTACGCGCACACAGTATGGTATCCGCACACGGCAGAAGGAATTAGTAAACTTGAAAGCGTACAAAGACTGGCTGGAAGGTTTATATTTAATAAGTTCAGATATAGTGTGTCTGCCTCGAGCTTACTAGAGCAAGCTAACATCCCGCCATTGGAGGTTAGAGCTAAAATAGACAGACTGCGAAATTTATATTCTTTTATTAATGGAATCTTTAATGTCAGTAGTGATCGATACATACAATTTTCATCAAGCGGATCTGCTAGACTGAACCATACTAGGGCCATTAAACAATATCCTCTTAAGCACGATGTCTTTAAATATTCTTTTTTTCCTCGGGCAATCAGTGAATGGAATTCTTTGACGAATGAAATAGTCACCCTCCCATCACTTGATATTTTTGTTGAAGCAATCGCTTCCGCCACGTGAAAGTGCTCATAAGTACATCATATCATGCCATTATGTAACCACCCCTGCTATGGCTCACAGATGTGAGCCGCAGTATTCTTTAAATAAAAAATAAATCTGGCCCTGACCTGGTAACCCCATAGCCTCAGCTATGGTTGATTGTAGGGTATAAGATAAAGCATGGCAGTAAACACTTTCACCATACTCTTTCTCACCCCTAAAGTGACAGGGCGGTGGAAGGTGCGTCCTTGCAGGACCAATCATCCACCTTCTTCATCACCTGACCCAACTCCCTGTGCGTGAGTATGGGTGGGAGAGTAATCACGTGGTGAAAGATTGATGGACAACCGGTCCTGCAACGCTTCCTGTCAGCTAGCCAAACGCCAAACCTTGAGCTGCTGTGCGAGGTCCCTTCCCTGGTCCTCGGAGACCCTCCTGAGGTGCACCAGGTCCACCTTGTTGGCCACAAGCAGCATGGGGTAGGCATCTCGGTCCTTCACCCGCAGGATCTGGGTGTGGAAGTGGCCCATGTTGTCGAAGCTCTGCTTGTCCGTCACTGAGTACACCAGCAGGAAGCCGTCCCCCTTGCGCATGTACTGCTCCCGCATCGCGCTGAACTCCTCCTGCCCGGCCGTGTCCAGCACTGCGCAGGAGCCACACGTAAAATTGAGGGCAACAAGCAGAGTCAATCAGTACATGTGAGCCAGAGTCGCAACCGCTTTTCTATACTCGGCGTCAACTGTTTTGTGCTACGTTGTCAAAATTTGTGTAGCTTCCACAGTGCTTTAGCTTGCACTGTTCTGGGAGCACATGGCTCGATGTCGAGCCTCATTCGCACATGCCCTTGTGCGATTACGCCAAACAGAGCCACGTGCTCTCGATGCAACTGGGTTTGACAGTGTTGGAACACTGCACAAACTACCTCAACTATATAGCAGAAAAATGTTTATACCGAGGATCCCTCAAGAATTAGAGAAAATATTCTTTTGTAATTTTTTCACAAAAATTTTACACAGTGCAGACATGTTTGCATTTCCTAAAGTTTGTGCCTTCACCCATATGCGATAAGCAAAAATGAGAGTGTGCCTTCAGGTATGTCCAAGAACAACAGATGTCTCTGCTGTACCACAACTTCGACCCTAAATTTGCCAGTCGTTGAGATTACCTCAAGCATTTCGCCAAAATTTCAGGGTTTGAAATTGTTGACCTACAACGAGCAACATCAAAAACAGCAAGGCTCAATGCTAAAGTGACAGCATCTTTTGGTTAACACTCGGGCAAAATTCTTGGCAGATTGGTGGAGGTTAAGAATGGCAAAATGCCACAGTAAAATTATTTTAATGCGAATGTGCACATGAAATTTTGTTTAAAATACTAATTTCCACGTATTTCCTTGACTCTGGCTATCTACGGTCCCTGATAATTCCAGGAAATCCCACTGGTACTCACCAATCAAAAGACAAACAATGTTTCAAGCTCCTACAATGCAAGATGTTAGAAGTGCTACTATCCTTACTGCCTATCAGTTTTTTACAAATCATATTACAAATCAATGAAGCCCTAGTATAAGACCTCCACAAGCGCAACTTTAGATACTGCTGTGGTTCTTGCGTACCATACTGCAGATTTTCACAAGGACAGCAAGCAACGACAATCTCTCCACTTGCCACTACTTACAAAGGCTTGAAATAAAGGCTTTCAGATATTATTTTTTAAAAGCTCCTTCTATCCTCGGTGACAACTCTCGGTGGAGATAGGACAAAGGAGTGTTGGCAGGATAGCTCTAGGGGCACATGGGAACACTCCAAACGAGGGAGTGCAGGGTAATATGGGCTGGTCATCAATTGAGAGCAGAGAGGCAGTGAGTAAAATAATTTTTGACCAAAGGCTAACAGACATAGAGAACATGCAGTGGGCGCATAAAATCGATAAATACTTGTATACGAGGAATATGAACACGAGATGGACGAAACGGATTCAAAAGCTTAGGACGAAATTCCCACAGACTTGAAATGGGGTGGAGCAATTGCATTCAGTGGAAAAGGCAGTTAAGGAGGCAGAGAGATGGACGTGGGAGGAGAAAATGCCAAGGAAATCAGCTCTAACAATTTATATTCACAAAAGCAAGAAATAAAGAAGGAAGGTTTATCCTATATTTCAATAAGGAGCACTCTGCTGTTTGAGGTGAGGACAGAAGCCTTTAAGGGGGGAGGGGGGGCAACGATTGTAAGGTTGAATTTGCACCTTGTCATGTTTATGTTGTTTATAGTGTCCCGGAGGAGAGAGAAAACATCTTTTATTAAAAAATTTTGCGATTCTGCTGCATAATTGCAAAGCAAAAGTCGAGCTTTTTCCCTCACCTGCAGCCGCGAGTGGCAGCCGAAAGAAGGAACTACGGCAAAAAGCTTACGTGACCTCGCTCCGCTCTAAGCTGCAGCATAACGCCTGCTAATGTCAGCAGAGAGAGGGATAGGAAGCGTCCTCCGAGAGAGCACATGGGAAGCTACACGGCACCCAGAATGACGTCACTAGGAGTGGGATTAGGTGGGACCCTGAAGACTGGAAGAGAGTTGAGGAATGCCAGAAACTAGGACAGACAGGCAAAATCGGTTTTCTGCTTTTACTTCAGAAGTGTCAGGGGGCAACTTTCAGAAATTTTTGACTGAAGTTTGGAAATTGTTGCACCCTTTTTAAGAACAGAAACATAGAGGGCCAAATTTGAAGACACAGACACAATGTGTGCAGTATGTAAGGAGAAGACGGCGTCAACTGAGCATTTGATTCTAAAATGTAAAGAGCTTAGTCCTGCCATTCCCTAGGGAGCAACAGACGTACGGGTGGCCCTCGGTTTCGCTGGAGAAGATGGAAGGGTGGATTATAAAACAGGAGTGCTGGCGGAGATTGTCTAGGGAAAATTGAACCGAGTACAACTGGCACAGCTGGGGGCCAGGTGGGACCAAGAAAAATTAAAGCTCCCTCCTGCGTGGCTCCAGCCCAAAGTCTCTGGTCGGGTGTTAGGTGATGCCGACAAGGTTAGACCAGAGGAAAGTTGGCGACTCCCTCGCTGGGGGGAGAAGAAATTGGGAGTATTTTGAGTTTTTTTCTTTTTGACCGATTCCCCCCAAGGTTTGCCTGGCAATCATCTTTATGACCTGGTGATAGAGAAATGTATTGGCTTGAAAGAGGAAATTAGGTTTTTGTTGTTTTTAGGCTAGGTGGCGCAAGCTACCGCCCGTTACAATAAGTACGACCGTTATCATCCATCCATCCAACGAAGAGTGCACGCGCACAGCTATGATAGGCGCTCTTTATTTTGATTTACCAAAAACCACACAAAAAAAAAAATCCGAAAAGCTGACATTTGTTGCATCTTTGTGTGACGCTCTTGAGCACTATTTATGCACAATTGGAAACGCAGGTCGACTGTCATGAAATGTGCAACAAGCAATTAAAAAAAAAAAAAAAAGGAAAAAAAAGGGGGTTTAGCTGCGACTTCGAACGCTGATCGGAACAAAGCAGTACTTTTTTAATTTATTTGAAGAAAATAATTTTTCCTCGATTTTTTTTTCTGGTTTAGATATACCCTAAACCTGTAAATTTTCGAGTGCAAAAACGGGAACAAAGTTCGCTCAGCTATAAAACCCAGGGAGCCAGGGTCAAGGCTCGACCGGCTCGGCAAAATCAGGCAGCGGATTGCAAACGAAGATTGGATAGAGACGTACCGTCGAGGATGCACCATTGACCGTCGATTTCGGTGTGTTGTATGTAGGAATCCTCGATGGTCGGGTCGTAGTCGGTGACGAAGAGTTTCTGGAAAAACTGTATCGTGAGGGCCGACTTGCCAACGCCTCCATCACCCACCACGACCAACTTGTAGGTGGTCAGGTTGTCGCTGGGCGGTTTGGACATCGTCATCTAGCTCGATCACTGCACCACCCGCTTGTGTGAAAGGCGAAGCGCACTAAAGTCTGAACACATAACGTTCAAACAACCGAGTAGCGCCGGCGGCAGCACAACTCCAAGGCTGTCCCACTGCTGCAACAACTGCTGCCGAAAACGATTAGGCTTAGACCTAGCATTTTGCACAAGCCGCGGCGGCCCGGCACACCAGCTTTCTGGGGATCCGCGTGTTGGGTAAAAAAGTCATCCTAGTTCTACCAGGTATTGTTTTTCAGTACCTAAATCCGACACACAAGCACCGTAAAAGCTTACGCTGGGAACACATCATAGAAGCGGTTGGAGCCTTGGCCGGAGCACGAAAAAACGCTCACAAAAATATGGCTTTGCAAAAAGGTAGACCCGCAGCACAAAAAACAAAACCAGAAAGCTGGAAATTTTTGGGAGCTGTATAACCATGTGTGAGAAAAAAAAAGTTATACATAACTAGTCAATACATATTTTTTTTTAAATATGTTTGAGCCAAAATGTGTACGATGACATTCATCCCGCAACTTGCGCAACATGAACATGGCGGACCAAAGAAAACGAAACTATTCACAAGACGCGAATTCAAAACGAAACTCGCGAAATTAACATGAGGCATGTGAAACTTGCATCTTTATTGATCAATTATTTTTCGGTTCATGCGGTAAACAATTGTATATAACGACGCCGAAGCGAGTCTAACGTTGTTTCAAAATAGCAAGGCATGTAGTTCAAAAAGTAGAGCTTGCAGGGATGCTTTATGTGTATTTAAGACACCTATTGAAACGCCCGAGTATAAATTGCAAGTGTAAACTGGGTAAAGAATGGTGAACGTGCAGTGTAAACTGGGTCAAGACTGATCGTGCAAATATCCAAGGCAAGACGCACGACAGTCACTTAGAGGTTGATGTAAGACCAGAATTTAAGCGGCGCAACTGGAGGCGATGTTCGTGCAGCTGTGACTGGAGATCCAGTAGTGAAAAGGTAGAAGGCTTTTCCACCGTGGCCCGAAGAACGCGAGGCCGAGAATACCGACACTCCAAGGTTCACAACTCCACCTGAAATCGAAAAAAAAAAAAAAAGATTACCTTAGCAAACATAATTTAAACATACACAACATTTTAAGCTTGTTACTAACATCTGATAATTGGTGGTTCACTGTCAAATGTTTGTAACAAGCTTAAAACGTTCTACTATCTTCGATGCATACAATACAGAGAAAGCGTAAAAAAAAGTGGCACATTCCTAAAGTGCACGTGGGAAGTTTCACACCATCAGCTACTTTCCCATATTAGCGAGATGAAAAATTTGTGCCAGCAAGTTGATGGAACAAAAATACATCCATAGGAACTTAGCAGTCAAATAACCTGCCATCATGGAAGGCACTCTTCCACAAAAGATAGTGAAAAAAAAAAAAAAAATTGGCGGCTGGCAATAGTGACGGGGGTCTATTGGGCGAACGGGAAAAGGGGGGGGGGCATTTAAGTTAGGTTTGTGTACTTGTGTAGGAAATCCTGGGGGCACGGTTGAACACAGCCTGGGTGTGTTTGAGGGGGTTTATTAGCGATGTGCGCGACCAAAAGCGTCGCTGCGGTCAGCTTTCCACGATTGGCCAAACCATGGGTATATGAGCATTCTCAGATTGTCAACTTTGACGGTGTTAGTTTCGGATTGCAATGGCTCCTAGCTTCCACTGTGCTTTTTAAACATACCACCGAACTCGTCGTCGCACTTGATGGTAAGTAGCCAGGATAACAACTGGTGACGTCACGGCGAGGCAAATCCCAGTCGTGACGTCACAGATGGAAACTATAAGAGGGCGCCACTGAAACATCTCGGCGCTAATAAATCACTGGCAACTGAACAGCAAAAGAACACCACAGCTTGGGGCACCAACAGCCTTGTATGTCTTGCAAGTAGTAGACTCACCAATGACTTGTGCCAGGGTGTTGGGGCTGTCATCTCCAATCCCCAGCAGCAGTCCTCCAGCAGAGAGAAGCTGGCATGGCTGGAAGGTGGACCCGTCTATGGCACACAGGAGCAGGGCGGGGCCACTGACAGTACCGACAAGAGTGTGGGTCGCTTGGCCAGACTTCACTGTGAGTGCCACCTCAGTGGTTCCAAAGCGGGGCCCCTGAGAATGCTTGTGAGACACCTGCATCGAGATAATTGCATTATCAAAACGAATTGGGCCAAACTTAAATGGGTCATGAAGCAATCAGGTTGGAATGTTCACGATTTCGCAGAGGCGTAGAGGTCCTAGTCTAGCTCAAGTATACTTGCACAGAGCGCCTAAGATTCAGAAGCTTCTTTGTCGCGGTGAAATTGCGAGGATGAGAGGGGACTATTTCTTTCAGTCTTGCCTTCAGAAAGCTTGACATAATTGTGGGATCGAAACCACCCGTCTGACGACAGTCGAGTGCAGCTTGGAGAACTGTGTGAGCACTCAACTTCATCTTATTACGATCGATGCCATGGCAGACACTCGGGTAGCGGCTTATGTCCAACCCCTGTGGTGATGAGAATAGCCAAACTAACAAATGCCTGGAGCTCAGCATGCGCTTTCTACACTGCCGACCCAAGCGCGTGGATATACAATTAATGTTGGTGGCATAGGATAGGCACCAGGCCACATGGCCGCTTCTTCTGGCTCCGCAAGTTGAGGGGTTGAACAATGCTCATATATTTCTCAAGATTTTTGGTGACTGCCTTTGTCTAGAAAGAAAAACTATGGCAAGTTTATCCAATTATTAAGGTTAGGGAGTGATTATAAAGAGTATTTAGCAAAAGTAGAAAAATCTGTAGCAGAGGAGTGAACTTTCCTGGCCCGGGACTATTAACCAATCTAACCACCTTCAGACAACCTTCCCCATACTTCTTTAGGGAGCCAATGTACATGAAACTTTTTGAACAAACATGTCATCATGACCTGTCATTTGAGTGCAATAGCACCTGATGTGAAAGAGCCCAAGATTGAAGCAAGTTTGGTGGTTTCTAGGGTAGGAAGAAGTTAGATGAATAGATAAATCTCCAAAGGATAATTTGTGAAAAACTATGCTCAAGCTCTATAAAATGGTTGGAGTTGGCTTTTATTAGGCTTGTGTCACACTGTTGTAAATTTGATCATGTATAAATAAAAGCACCTTAGACAAAAGGCTCGAAATAGCTTGCCCACCAAATCATCAGCATGCCTAGCGATAAAGAGACATCTTTCCAATCGCCCAGATGTAAAAATTGCAAGTTCACCTTGACTCCGGCATCAGATGCCAGTACAGTCCCGTTGATGAAATTGGCCTGGCTGTGACCGAGGTGTTTCAAGACACCGATGCACGCCGCAGAACTGAGGAACTGACCCTTCTTCTCAAGCTCGTTGCCTGGAACGGAGAGAGCACATGTTGAAGAACAGTTGACAGTGCTGCCTACAGGCAGGAGAAACTGTGTAAACAAGGCAAAAAAAAAAAAAAAAAGCAACATGTCCAAACTTACCATATGTGACAAGTTCCAGCTGAAGGCCCGATGAGAGGGATCCCACAATAGCTCCTGCAACCTTGCCCAGCGCAACACAGAGGTCAGCCCATGGCTTGTTTTCAGGCACTTGGGTTTGGGACAGTGAAGGGGCATTCACCTGGGTTCAAACAGCATGGGATTGCTAATGTAATTATTTGAAATTTAAAAAAAAAAATTGCAGAGAGAGAAGGTTAAATACTGCGAAGGGCACCTTTTGTCTGCCAGAGGTGGTGGTACAAACAAAATGTAGCACAACAAAGAGATGCATAGTTTCATCTCACTGCCAGTAACCATTGCTGAAACTGACATTCTCAACACATAGGTAGGAATACAGGGAGTAATTCTTCAACATTACAGGACTGCTCAGCACTGCCCACTTGTGAACATTTGCTTGCTTCTGCTGTCCACTGGTGGGGCAGTTAAAATTTAACATCCTTCATCCAGCCTAGGTATGGTGCACTCACTGCACAATATATACCATGCAACAACTTTCAGGCAACAATACAAAACGACCCACAGTACAAAAGAACTGAGGTGGTCACAAACAACCCAAATTTGCCATGTAAGCTCCCAAGTGAAAATGAGAGTGACAAAGTTGCGACAGGATAGCACCAGTTTTTAAATATAGTATGTAAAATGACTAATATGCATCTGCCTGTAAAGCAAAAAATGTCCCTGGAAACTGCCTGAATTCGGGTGCTGGATGACAGACTTACCACCCCAGGCACAGACTTGCCCTGGGACAAGTCAACAAACTGCTCAGCGATCTCCTGGGCCACTCTCAGTTGAGCCTCCTTGGTGTTCGCACCAAGATGGGGTGTACAGACCACCTTGGGGTGTGCAATCAGCTGAGTGCTCTTGGGTGGTTCCTGCACAAGAACACCCCATGTTAGTTTTATTGTATCAATAGTCTGGCCCACAATGCAAACTATTAAAGAATATAGTTCAAGGCAATACCTCGAGGAAGACGTCCAAACCGGCACCACCACAGTGCCCAGACTCCAATGCAGCCAGCAAGTCGTCTTCATTCACAATACCACCACGGGCGACATTGATGATCTTCACTCCTTTCTTGCACTTTTGCAGACTGGCCTTGCCAATGAGATCTGCAGCCACAACGAAATACAATCCTAAATGGCTCCCACTTTTTAGTCAAGCTGAAGATTTGGTTTGTCCACACAGTTAAAGACCCCAAAAACCAACAACATGATATTTGTTATGATTTATATGACCGAGAGCCCTAGGAGGAGATGTACATGAATGCTGCTTTGGCTTTCAGATGACAGTTGCTAAAAAAACAGCAAGGGACGCTGCGTGTATGCGCTCACCCTTAGTTTGTGGTATGAGGGGAGTGTGCACCGTAATGTAGTCTGCAAGGGGCCAAATTTCATCGAGACTCATGCTCTCTACACCAAACTCTCGGGACACCTCTTTGGGCACGATGGGATCAAATCCAATTGTCTGAAAATAAAAGAAAAAGAACCGATCAACACGAGTGCTTCTTAGAGTACTATCAGAAAGCAGTCATTCTGCTCCCTCACGCACATACAACTAAACTGACCTTCATGCCAAAGGATTGCATGCGAAGGGCAACCTCCTTGCCGATTCTTCCGAGACCCACGATGGCAAGTGTCTTGCCATACAGTTCATTGCCCATGAAGGTTTTCCTGTCCCATTTGCCAGCCTTCAGGGACATTGTCGCTGCCGGAATCTCCCTGGAAGGAACAGAGACAGGCGGCAAATGACGTTCGTCACTATATGAAGCAGGCATTTCTCAAGGCATGGTGCAGTAGGCACCAGGTGCAGACTTGCAATGGGAGCGGAATATACAAGGAAAAACTTTCCATCGAAATTTGCCCTGCGGTGGATTCGAAGGGAATAGTGGCTTTGGACGATTATTTTTTAATTGACTATCTAATAGTTTTTCCACGCCTTGCCCTACTATTACACCATGTTTAAATGAAAGCTCTCAAACTTTTGAAGGTTGTTACCAAGCTTTCACTTGTCCATTTGTGAGCCAACTTTAATATATCTATATTTACAGACACCTCAGAAAGTCAGGTGCCTTGGGATGACAAGTGAACTAAGGATTTGACATAAAATTAATCCTGTGGAGATGCCCAACCATACCCAATTGAGTGAATATACAAATCTCTTGCTATATGCAAATATTCTTTCATCAAATTCGAATTAAAAAAAAAAAAAAAAAAAAAAACACCGCGCATGATGAACGCAGGTTGTTGACTCTTGCGTAACAGTCACGAGTATAATTTTGAATATTTTAATATGTAGATATCAACATTCCCAAACTTCCATTTCTTTTGAAATACACCAGGCGCGCGCGTGCACTGTCCCGCTTTGAAAATGTGCTTTTCCTCCAAGCACGCAGTTGTAATATTCCTTATTTTTAAGTGTTGATCACGGCGGGTTAGCCCCGTTGAGTGCGCTTCATACCGAGCACTGGTGCACTGCGGAGAAGCAACACCTGCGGAGCGCTTTCCCGCAGTGCACCGGCGCTAGGTAAGAAGTGCACTCAACGGGGCTAACCCGCTGCGGTTAACACTTCGAAAATTACGAATAATAATTAGTTTATTTTCGTATACATTGACGGTGGAGGTCGAGGGAAAAAGCCGTGAAATGCAGCTTGACAAGGCCCTCGACCCCCTACATAAGCAAACAGTACAGCAGAGGTACAAGAAAAAATGCTACCGCATGCGGAAGTACAAAACGGGTGGATAATATACGCTCACACACAAACCAAAGGAGATTGAATAATCCTGGAAATAAGAAACCGCCGGATCACTGTTCTTCTCGAAGCGAACATCGAATAGTGTATTACTTTAAACTACTATTCGAAATTTCGAATATTCGCACGAACCTTAAAATGACTTGTCACGATCAATTTAAATTACCTCGACAGGGTCACAATCATGGCACAGGTCAGTTCAGCAGCACTGAGCGTGTTCCCTCCAGGTGCGCTAACAGGGGCGAAAAAAAAAAAATAAAAGCAAGGTTAGTTCCGACTTCAATGGAGGCGGACTTTCACACGTGGTTTTGCGTACGCCAGCGACTCACTTGATAACGAGGATGCCCTGTCTCGTTGCGGCGTCACAGTCGATGTTATCCACCCCGGTGCCGGCCCTTCCGATAACCTTGAGAGCCTGGCCGGCTTTGATGACATCGCTGGTCACTTTGGTCGCGGATCTGACGATCAACGCGTCGTAGCCCTGAAATAAATGTTTCAAAAAACACCCGAAGTCATGCGTGGCCATTCAACTCGACAAAGATTCAAGGTTCACCGAATTCCGGGTACACGTCAACTGCATCACTTTTTTCCCCCTTTATTTTTAACCATGATTTAGCTGACCAAAGCTACGATTTAGATCCAAACAAAGCGAAACATTTTAAACGCGCTCATAGAATATAGAGATAATTAATACATGTATAAGAAGGATTCCTAATCCGGCCGGTTCGCTACGCACAGCCCGATTGTAAGCCGCACGTCCGATACGCAAACTTATCATTTTATCAATATACAATACTTGCCATCCTTCGCAAGAATTTATTGCAAAAATCGAGAAATAATCCACACTAGAATAACTGCGTTATGGGTGATAAGAATAACTTTACAATTTTTAACACACACACACATACAAAAAAAGAAAAAAAAAAAAAAAAAAAAGGTTTGTGCGTATTACAAAGGGATTCGCGCCGCGTCATTTCCCGGGACAACAAATATACGATGACAGAATACCCTCGCAAGCAGTTTGAAGAGTGCATAAATCAGCACGCAACAAGAAAGCCACTACTTTGAGAGATCCAGTAAAAAGGTTAAAAAAAAAAACATCTGCGCGCAAATAACAGCAGACGCGCTTGTGGGCGTAGCCGCGGGGGGGTCCTTTACCTCGATGGCCTGCAGCAGCTCTGGCTTGGTGAAGTCTGTCTTGAGAGTCACTTGGACGCCGTTGTTCTCGAGAATTTTGACGCAGGACGCGTCAACGGCGTCGCTGATGAGCACCTTCTTGATCGTGAGAGCCATGCTTTCTTGTCGACTGTCCACGTGGGAGTGACCGAAGAGACACCGGAGACCGGAGTACAGAAAGCGAACCGGTCCTCGGCGACGGGAGGGAGAGAGCGCAGAAAGCGCCGCTCAACGAGTCCACTCTTCCACGCGAGGGGTGGGACGGTGGAAGCTACAAAGCCTGTCGCCGCCGGCGCACAGGGGCACCGGATAAGAAAGCGAATGCTTCGGACAACACATCCGATTATCATCTTACATCATCCGCCGTTATCGCGTTTCTGTCTGGGACTTGGGTGATGCAGCAAAGAAAACCGGCACATCGACTTTTCATGTCTGGGAGAGAGATTTTTTTTTTCGATTAGATATATTGTTTGCTGACGTATCCGCGCGCGCCAGCAAACATTCTTGAGTGAGAGTTCAAGATAGGAGAAAATAATTTATGGATATGATAATATGCTTTCATTCATATCTTCTCCACTGCAAAGGGGAACGGCCGGCAGGGCTCTGCAGATCTTTTTTTTGTTTTGTTTAATTCAAACTTCAATCGGTTTACTATATAAAAAAATAAAAAAATAGGCTGGTAGCCTATTTTTATTAAATAATAAATATTCGAGAACGTTATCTCTGACGTAATTTTGTCCTTTATTTTGTTGTTGAGAGCTGTTTGGCTTGTGCCGAAGGCGAGCATGCCAAGAATTTACATGACTTCTTGCGTAAAGCACAGAAGCTTATGTCTTACCTCACGCTGGCATCTCAACAGGTTCCGATGTAATCCTTCATATTAATAAATTTGTTTGAAAAAAAAAAGAAAGAAGAATTAAAGACGTTTAAAACTTTTTGTAATGCCGAATTAGAGCGCAGCTTTGAGGGGGAGGAGGAAGGGAGGGTATGCCCCTCCGTACCCTCCCCTCCTCCTCGTCTGCTGCCCTCCCATTCACCCGAAAATTTTCGCTAAATTTAGCGGGGAAACTGAATGGGTGTTGAGGTCACGTGACGTCCATCTCCCCGATAAAATTAGTGGGCTAAGTTTCCCCACTAAACTTAGCGGAGAAACTTTCCCGTTATATTTGGCGGGTTAAAGTGGTTAAAGGGGCCCTGCAAGCACGTTTTTACTAATCTTTAATTTGTACCAAACGTGAGCGCACTGAACGTAGTATCTTAGTGTAACTTTTATTTTCTTGAAATTCGCTTTATTTTAAAAGTTATAGGCAAATCAAAATTACAAGAACAAGCAAAAAAATGACCTCCCTCATGACGTCCTTGGTTGCTTGAGCGGCCGTGAACTAGAGGAGGGGTAGTGAGCTCATCGCGAGCGCTCACGGCTACCGCACTCCGTGTCGACGGCGCGAGAGGGCGCCACTAAAGCATGTTCTGGACAGGCTGTATGCAGCGGGCAGCCAGAGCGGCTCTCATTGCATTTGCTGCGTGATTAAACACTAATTCGGCATGACACTTCATTGGCCGCAAACGACAGCAAACATGGGGTAAAGATCAGTTCAGAGTGGGAGCCACTTCGCGCTGCAGTACCGCGAAACGGCCAAACCGCAAGACAAGCACCTCGCCGAAGGCCTTCGGAAGGCTCGGAGCCGGTCGGATCTTCCTGCCCATACGACCGCAGCGCTGCCGCGTACATCTGGGATTTTTCCGTGTCGGCGCCTGATCCCACTACTTCTTTCTAGTATGCGCCGCCTTTTCCACCGCTTGGTGGCGGGTATGTCGACGGGTCATTTCTTGTTTCTTTTTTGTTCTAAAATAGTGAACAAAAACTACTTTTATAAGTAATTGAAACGGTTCGCGCCACTTATATTTTGTATTTCGACTAAAAAGAAGCTTTTAGCGGCTCTGACCAGTAGTAAGCCAAGGACCAAAGACGTCACATTTTGCGCGCTTTCGGTACCGCGGGTCGCCCTCGTCGGTGGAGGAGGTTTCCGCGTCGCCCGGTTAAAATATGACGCACTGATAATTAGTTACTCTCTTTGTGCCCGCTGGCTTGCCCGAACCCCAAGAGACGTGGAAAGCGCAAAAAAGGTAGACGCTTAATTATGATTGCAGGGCCCCTTTAAGTTTCCCTGCTAAATTGAGCCGGGTAAGTTTCCCCGCTAAATTTACCAGAAAATTCACCGGGGAAATTTAGCGGAAAAAAATTTTCCAATATATATAGCGGGAAAATTTCCCATAATGCAAAGCCGACGGCGACGCCGCTCCTCAACCCGGAAACGGGCGCCTAAGAACTGCGCTCTAAAATTGAAAGACGTTTACGAAACTATAGTCGGTTGCAAGCTAAGAAAAAACCGGAAATGCCTATCAGAGGAAAATGTAATCTACGCCGAGAAACGCCAGCCAATGGGCGCGTTCAGTAGCGCCTCCCTTGCCTCCGAACGGAGTGCCTCGAGTTGGAGTCATCGGAGCGCCTACTGAACGGCAAAAAAAACCCGCGGCTCCAAACCTGCTTCTACGCAACTTCCGCTTCCTCCGCTGTGCCAGACAGTCTCCGAATAAACTGGAAGCAGACCATGGCGAGCACGATCGCTTTTATTTGAAGCCGGTATTGAAGAAGTCTTTACAAGGTCGTTAAAGAAAAAGCTGGTGATTGTACACATCAGCGCTGTTGTTCGAAGCGATGCAACGCGATCGAGTCCTTCGCTTGGCGGTGCAAAGGCAGCTACTGTTATAAAAGCCGACAAAAAACGTCGTCAGCACAGGCAAAATACAGAGCTCAGCGAATCTACCCCTCCGGTTGCGATACTTTTATACGGCCATAAGTTTGTTCTGACCTTCGTAACGAACTTCCTATAAAATGTATTCGTATACACACGGTAAATTCGGCCGCGCTCGGCGATCAAGGCTTTGTCGGCCGAAGCGAGCCTCAGCCAACCTGCACCCCGATTTAGCTACGCAAACAAAACATTAATCGGGATCATGCTCTGCGCAAGTGTCCAACCGGTTTCCAAAGTCGCGTTCATACCCTGTTTTGCTCTGTTGAGCGCGGACAGGACTATCGTCAATACTACCGAGTTTCCGTGCAACGCCGATCAAGACACGGCGTCAAATGAACGTTTGCGTTGTTTATTAGCATATTCAAACCAAACAAAATACGGCCCAATGAATTTTCCGAAAGAGCCTTACCTGAAAAAGATATTCGAACGCGTTATTCGTCTTACCTTGAGCACTTTTCATTAACAAAAGCGAGCAAATCGGGCACCAGCGACAGAACCGAAGCAGCTTATCCCGCCATATTGTTTGTTTTTTCCTCTTTTAGCGCCGGAAATCGTCACCAGTCAGGAAATGACGTCATTTTAGCTCCTTTGACTCTACGTGCACCGTCTCCGGACTCGGTGCTTCGGAGCTTGACTCCGAAGCCCCGGAGTACGAGCGATTCGGAGGAGGAATAATGGCAGGTCACGTGACCCGACGTCACCGGAAGTGACGTCACAAATATAACGTCACGTGACAAAAAAAATGTTTTGCTTGTTTTTTTTTCTGTGACGTCACGGTTTTTAGCGAGGAAACTTTTTCTTATTTTTACTTTGTTGACGTATTATTTTTTTTTTTATTTTTTTTATTTTCTTGCTTTTTGCAACCGCGGGACCGCGTTTCTGCGCTTCAGATTGCGTTTTTCCGACTCCTTTGTTTGATATCGTGTCGTATCGTCGTATTTATGTAGTTATTAGGAACGGCAAGGCCTACGTTGTTGCGTCCTTTACCTGAATATCGTGACCGAATCGAGTGTCGTCGATTTGAATCGTGTCTTGCGAACCATCGTCGAACAAAAGGTGAGTGATTTGCGTTTTCCTGTGATGTGATTTCGATGTGTTCGTTCCACGTGTCCGAGCTGCTTCTTCGTTTCAAATACATTTGGCGCCGCTGCCTATTGTTTGAGCCTGTGCTCACGATGAAAACACGCATCGCAGAAACCTGAAAGCCCGCCAAAAGAGCTCTAAAAACCGCATCCCAGACCTGCCGGCAGACTTCCGAGCTAAGCCTGATTAAACAAAAACGTTTGATCCGGCGGAATAATGTGTTTGATATTACATCCCATGTCAACAAGGAACTGCGCTGTCTGTCTTCGCCCCCAACAGGTTTTATTCTTCCGGGTTTTTCAAATCTTTACCAACCCGCGTCCGATCGTAATACCCCCCGATCACAACAAATAGTTGATCGTGCTCCGATGGCTCCAAACATCAGCCGGCAAGGAAGTTGCGTTTTTCGCTTCTATATTTTGACCCAAGTAAGCTCATGTTCTCAAACTATGTCATTCTGTCACCACCTCCAGTTGCACATTCTGGCGCACTTGCAGCCTCGTGCACCCTTGCGAGGTTTCCTGCTATCGTACCCTGGATATCATGGATTTCTCGCCGTACGCGAGTGCTCACGGAGGCGTGCTATACACTCTGTATCATAAGTTGTGTGCAGCAGAGGCGCAGGCCCGAGCACATGACAGTAAAAAGCGCCTTTTTTGCACGAGTACCCGCGCAAAAGGACATTCTGCAGAGCTGTGCCCTCGCACCCGTGCCTTTGCTGCACACAACTTACGAGGCAGTATAATAACCGAGCCGTTTTTGTTCCTTTTGCACATTACTGTGAAAAAAGTGTCATTGCTGTTTTCTTCTCAAAGAAAACTCAGAGACGTTAGACAAAAGCAAACAGATAGGAGACTGCACATTCATATGTTTTTCCCCTTGTGCTACAGGTGATGGCTGGTCGTGGTTCATCAGCGTTTGTTTTGAAACTGATGGGTACCACAAGGCATGAAGGAGGTGACTTGCAGCAGCAAGGCACTGCAAGCCTTCGCAGCAACTGGCTAGCCAGTGCTGCTCTGTTCTGAACTGCACTGCGTGTCATGCGGAGGTTTTGTGCAAGCTCTCTGGGCGGTGACGCTAGCCACGGTAAGTGCATTCTATGCAGCTTCCTTTTAGGGATATATGTGGCTCGCAGGCCATGTCGTGCCAGCGAAATATGTGCCACCCGAGTGACAGCAGTGCTAGTGGCAAGGCTGCGCTGACAGTAATCAACACTGCACTGTGTTTTCATTCAATGACTAGTGACAAGGAACCAAATACTCCCGAGAGAGTCTCGGTCGTGCTTTGATAAACTCCAGCTCGCTTATGAACAGGTGGATGGCACAGATGGCTTTTCCTGGTGGACTTGGTGTCCGTGTTAACATTGCAACCAGACTTTCTTTCAGTTTGTGGCGTTTTTTCGTTGCGGGTGACCAGCATTGCAGTAGAAAAAGATGCAAAATAGTATAATGTTTGCATTCGTTACCTAAATTAATGGCAAGAACAACCGACATAC